ATCTTTATCTCCCTAAATTTAGCCAATAACTTATTTACAGCATCAAATCAGTTTTCAAATGAAAATAATTTGGTCACGCGGGTGAACAAAAAAAGACATACCTCCTCAGGTCTTCTTCATTTTTTTTCTTTTCCAAAGAAACTGGTTTCCTATTAGTCTTAAACGAGAAGACTTTTCTATTAAGCTATAGACAAAAGAATTGTCTGGGAAGCATGTTGAGGACAAAACGGTGTACATCACATGACAAGCATATTGATAAGTTGTCTCGGTGGAACTAGATACAAACAGTTTTTCCCTTGATGCTCATGCCAAGGACAACTTCTTAATGGAATTGCACTTTTTAAGCTATTTACGCTGCAATGCACTCAGGTTTCAATGAGAGAAATAAGAAGCTTAGCCAGTGCTTGACTTGTGTTTTTATACATTTAATTTTTTGCAAAGACCTTTGGTCACAGGGGTTCATATTATATAGAGTCTTTTCTGGCTCGAGTCACCCTTGATGGATATTAGAGAAATTGACATGCATAAGGAAAACTTTCAATAATTAAATAATGAATTAAAACGAGGAAAAAAAACCGGCTAAATATTCAGCACTTGTCAACAGTGTTGTTGCTGAACATACTTAATTTGGCGCCAATTTGCCGTTTTGCCTTGGAAGTATTTCCGCTTTCATCAGTTACAAAACAGTCACGTAGAGACATTTACGGCCAGTAAAACCATGATATTTAGAATTTTCTGAGCTAAGTTCTAGAAGTGTTGTCAAATGTACGAATTTTAGCAGTGTAGCATCTGCATGGCTCTTAGCTCAGCTATGCATAGTTTAATTTTCAGTAATTTTGGTGGGGAAATTTCTGTTCTAACAGTAAAGATAACATAACAGTATCTGAGGGAAGGTGGGCTGAATATCTCAACTTTTAAACATCTGAAGTCGGTATTTGATCCGAATATCCTTTGGAAACCATGTTTATCTTTGTCCTTACTTCGGAGGAGAGGAATTTTGCATTTTACGCATTTTTGCATTACATTTTTACAAAATGAACCCATGCTTTGAGTATGATATTTGTGGTCAACGTCGCTTGGAGACAAGGCTGCAGGACAAAGAAACCGGACCGGAGTGTAAAATTGCTCTTAAGTTTGGACTTTCACTAGCGACAGAAACTTGCTCAAGTAGGAATTTTTGTATTTTAGGATGAGACCCTGTTCTTTATGAATTCCGAGGAAGAGCTGAGAAACTTTCTTATCAAGGTATGTGGAAATATTTTTCGTACGTATCCTTTACATTAAAGTAAGTGAGAAGTCGCTTCATTACTTACGCACTGGAATAACGAGCGAAAGATACTCAAATAAGTTTAACATTTCGGTATTATAGGTTGACTCGTTAGGAAAGTGCAGTCAGCATTTCGCTCGCAAAAATAAAAAGCTTATGCGCTCTAGTAAGCTATAGAATGAAGACTATTCGCTGGCTCTAGAAATAAAATGTTGGTACAGCTAACGTGAACGCTCTACTTCAAGTCATGTTTGCTTAGTAGAAATATTTCGCTGTAAACTGATTGTGCTTCAGTGAGCCAGATTCTACCTGGGGAAACAGATTAGCCCTGGTTCATTCATATTTGATGCCTAAAAAGACTCATTTTCGATGACTTCCTCCAACAGGAGTTAAAGTTACCCTTTGGTCAAGGATTCAAATTCAGCAGATTTTGGTTCAAAAAATATCATAAACGTGCAGGTTTGAAATGCATCAAACTTTTTTTCTTTTTATTTCTTTGTTGAAATTTTCCTTTTATGTCAATTCTCATGGTGGGTTCATGTATAATGAAATTAAATTTTAGTGCAATGTTCGAAGCTGTCATCATATATAAAACTGACCTCTTGATATCATATTGTCGACAACCTTTTTGCGTTTACAACACTGAAGTCAGTCTTGCAGTTCATTCGATTTCTTTCCATTCTTTAATCGAATTATAAATTTGAGACTCAATTGATTTATTAAGTCTTAACAAATATATGGCCTTCTTCAGAATGCGTAAAGTAATCACTTGAATGAAAAACCTCTGAATACGCTGGTGATACTGTTATTTTTTTAATGGTAAAAGAATCATTAGATACTCCCGAAATGCTTCAACTTGGCCAAAATGTACAGTCTGACGAGATAATAGCCTCCAAAAACGCGAAGTACAAGCCAAGTGAGCTAACACAAAGAAAATTACAAGGTGAAAACTCTGCAGATGCCCAGTGGACTCCTTCGTCAGAGCGATACCAAGAAACAACCAAATCACTTACTGGTGAAATTCAAGTCGCGCATGATAAAATGGCACATGGAGCAGCTACATTGCACACCAGTACAACCGATTCTGAAGCAAAATTGGGTAATTCAAACCGAGGAGAATACTATCTAAATGAGGAATACCAGAGAAGCAAACAAGTTCCCAAGGGTTTACAAAATGAGAGTAACAATGAAGAGTGTCAGCCTGACGGTGAGTTTAAGCTAAATTAATAAAAACACTCTCGGTTGATATATTTGCTTAAGAAATAACATTTCCGGACACAAAAGTGTGCAAAAGCGAGAGATTAACAGGGAATCGACCCTTCACATCGAACGTATTACAAAGAGACCGAGGCCTTCCGATACACGAATTTTTGAGGTATCTTCTTCACATTAAAAAAATTTGCTATTTGTCGACTCGCTTGTTCCTAAATTTCAATTAACGAAAAAAAGGAAGAGAAAAGTCCGGGAAATGGTCGGACAAAGCACAATTTGGCTATCTTTACTCAGATAGAGCGCGCTGTTTCAACCATGACAACGCGCGTTATATCCGAACTTTATTATAGATTTAGAAAGTATTTAATCGTTCTCGAAATGTGACAGCCTTTTCTAACTTCCTAAAGTGGACGTGCTTAGTTTATTTACTGACCTTGCTTTGGACCCACACGTCAGAAGTTGACTCAGTTGGTCGGAAGCCATGTCGGCTCAGATAGCTCTCGTTGCCTAGACAGAGCCCCCTCAACACTGGATACAGTAGTCTCGGTTGGTATCCGTTTCGGTGTTACTGAGTGTTTCAGTCCGTATGACAGTACGCGAGCTTCAGTTTTGTCTGTTGCCAGTCGTATTCCGGTTTACTTCTTCTCTTTTCCACCTTTCTCATCAACATAACACTATTATCAGGTCTCGCTTGGAATTTTATATAACGTCTCTTTCTTAATAATGCGTGTATCATGCAATTATAGTATAATTTTTATCTTTTTTACCCACATTCGTTTGGCAACAAAGATTTTAAACGAAGGTGGTTTGAAATTGTCATCCTAAAGCTCTTCTCACACTAGTCTCAAGCTATGTATAACGCTTGGATACAAAAATTTTCCACTCGGATGCTTTGGGTAGGAATCATTTTCACAAATTCTCAAAATATCGTTTCCCCTAACTTTTCCCTTGTCTTGTCGTACCAGTCAGAGAGATAAATTGATTTTTGGACTCCCTCTTTCTGTGTGCTACCATATCTCCTCAAACATATTACTCTCTAATCCTATGGGTTTTTACCATCAACACGTTTTCTTGCTCCATATTCCGACCTTTCATTTTTGTTTGTTATCTAGTTTGTATGGTATGTTTGCTTATGCAAAATACATTTGCAAAAAAAATGTTCTCGGAGATCAGAAGACCAATTTGCGCTTCCATTAAAGTCAGATCTAATTGTGCCATTAACTTATGCTTATTCATGAAATGATGTTACAAAAAAAAAGCAAAACAATATTCTCTTTCAATCGAATTTCTAGGTCAAAAACAACAGCATGTAACCAAAGAAACAGCAAGGGAGCCTCTAGGAAAAAACTCGTATAGGATAAATGAAAAGGAAGCTCAGTCAAATACCGTTGGGTACGATCAGCCCGGAGACATGTCGTATAAAGCTGAGCAAAGTGGGTCTAGCACCATGGTCTATCACCAGCCCGAAATCCAGAAAATTGAAGAGAAAAACTGCCAACCTAAGAATTCGGAAATTACTGCAACTCACGGAATGAACGCAAAAGAAATGTCATCATCAGCTGAAGAAAGTATGGGAATACTGCATATAAATTTTTCAACTTAAGAGATGTTATATATTCTGTTACGTTACAAAAACCAAATTATGCAAAAGCCATTTTTGTTTCAATCATCATTCCTTCCGTACCGTAGTGTCACTTGTTTGGCGCAGGATTTCAAACTTGATTTTAGATTCACGGGTACATAGAAATTCAAAGCTTAATTCATTTTTTCCAGTGTTCAAGAACAAGTACAAATTTGACATACAGGTGTCCTCTCGTATATGATAAGTGTACATTGAAATTATGAAATTGTTCGAAAAATTCGTTCTACCCTTCTCTAAATTTGGAGTTGTAAACAATTTATAAGCACCATTCAGAAGTTTTAACCCTTGGGCATTGTATCTTTTTTGTATTTTCAAAGGCTCGACATTAATCAAATTTGAACTTTGCCCAAAAGAAGGGAACTCGAGCCTAGAAATTAAACTGGACACCACCTTGGAAGACGAAAGCGAAATATACCACTCAGACAAGACAAAGACCGAAACAGACGAGTTCAGTCTGACGAGAAAAAGCGAACAAAGCCCAGGCGAGGTGACGAAAATTATATGCTTAGGCAGACCGAATGCTAACGACAACAAAGACGACTCCATTGACCTGCATATCCCAACAACAAGCTCCATTAGCGAAACTAGTCCAGAAGAAACAAATGAAAACAAATGTCATCAGAAAGCTTCTGAGACTGTTCTGAAATGTGAGTATAAGTAAAAATTGATGGAGAATAAAGTGCTGTGAAATGAAATAAGGGTCAGAGTTAAAACAGGACGTTAAAAGTTAGAGCTGACTTACGAAAAGTAGCTAAATTTATTTTAAGATGCTTTTGGAAACTCGGTTATTCAAATTTAGTCTTCAAAAACGTGGTAGAAAGAGTACTAGTGATATTTAAAGTCTTTACCTGATGTAAACTAAATTGTTAACTTGATTTAGGCACCCCAAGGCCGTTCGGTGTGAAAGGCAAGGACACATCTTATGAAAAGGGTTTTGTGCTTGATGCAGAGGAGAACAGGGAAGTGGAATTCAAATCTCTCACCGGTGCACAACTCTCTACACTTCCTTGGAAAATAATGGATAAGGCAAAAAAGTTTATCTGTGCCTGCTTGAATGCAGATAGTAAAGGCATCATCTATTTCGGAGTTGGAGATTGTCAAGAGCAGTCCTCAAAGTTTAAACGAGGTGAAATTCTTGGCCTTGATGCGGAAGACGTTATAGACGAAATTATGAAAGCTTTCCAATTTGTCTTGGACGATCATATCAAAAGTGACTCTGGTCAGCTTCAGAAGGGAGGAGATCAGAGCTGTATCAACCTAGAGTTCGTCCCAGTGACAAGTAGTGGAGCCCGCACAAGACTCTATGTCATCGAAATAGAGGTCATACGAGACTGGAAACTATGCAAAGACAGTGTTTATTATTCAAAATGTTGGTCTGAGAAGCGCGGAGCAAAGACTGATAAAGATTCTTCCACAAAAAAATCCTTAAATGACCTCTTCAAGGTTCACAAAGATGAATACGACGACGTCGCTATTCGAACTAATGGCGCATCCACCAGCGTTAAACAGCACGAAGTTAACAGACAAGTAAGAGAGCCCCTTACTGCGAAGTATAAAGATTGGAAGAGAGAGACAAAACAAAGTAAGTATGAGGTTTTTGTTTGAGGAAAAGTTTTTGAAATTCTGATCATCTTTGGCTATTGTCAAATGATGGCTTGTGGAACAAATCAGTTATCATCTGTCGACAATTTCTCATCTGTTCAGACATCTTACTCGTAGAAGGGTTATCTTTTCAATATTAAAGCGTCGGAGGCCAGATTTGAAGCCAGAATAAAATATATATATATGTGTTATATTTATATATGTGGAGGCGCGGTGGCCTCATGGTTAGTGCGCTCAACTCCGGATCGGCCAGGTGGTCCGGGTTCGAGCCCTGGCCGGGGTCATTGTGTTGTGTTCTTAGGCAAGACACTTTACTCTCACAGTGCTTCTCTTCACCCAGGTGTACAAATGGGTACCAGCAAATATGCTGGGGATAACCCTGCGATGGACTAGCCATCCTATCCAGGGGGGAGTAGCAATACTCCTAGCCGAAAAAAGGAAAAAAGGAAACCGGAGTTAGGCACCGGCCCCATGGGCCTCTTTACCATATGTATATGTATACATACATACACACACATATATATATATATATTCTTAATTCCAACCCAACTTTATATACTCCTCTTACAGGTGTCAACGAGCCTCCAGTAGGTCCTATTTTGGATGATTCTGACATCAAAAGGTTCAGCAATTTGGTGAGAGAAAGATTGCGGAACATGAACTTTAAAGATTTTGGCTACATTCTCATAGCGAATAAGATGCCACCACGTTACAGAGACACACCACATTTGGCCTTCCTGCAAAATATCCCCTGGCTTGCAGTATTCGATTTGTTTGATGTTGCCTCTAAGAAAGATGGCTTGTACTTCGTTTTCAATGAAACCACAGATGCACCTAGAGCGAAACTCAGAAGCCTTGATGACTTCAAAGATGTGTCATCTGATTTGATATCGAGAAGCGAATTCACTCTGCCAACTAGAGGAACCACCTGGATTTTGAGAAACGAAGAAATGCAGAATGGTGACTGGATAAAATGTTGCAGAGACTGTTTTTACCGGGCTCTCTCTGCTTATAAACTCTGTTTTCCACCTGGACGGCTGTTGTGCGTCTTTCTTGGCCTTAATGAAAGCGCTATTCAAGAAATGGCAGACATGATGGAATGCTGTTTTAGCATCTTTGGAAACTCAGCGAGTAATTGTGTTTCCATTCTAAGTGAAAACAGAAATGTAACAGACGCATTCATGAAGGCCTCAAGAAGCTCGCTCCAGAGAGATCTCAGAGAATGTTGCATTCCTGGCATTCCTTGGAGCCTCCTAAAGGAGATCGTGCGTGAAATGATTGGGCCGAGCAAATTTGAGGAAAGAGGTGCTACTACTGCTCTTCCATATTTTACTGGTCAGAAAGAAGTGCTTAACAAAGTTATCCATTCATGGGATGATCTCGAAGTTTACAGTCCAAACCCTAAACTTTCAAGCCTAACGGAAGAGATAGAGAAAGCAAGAAATGCTTTTTACAAAGGTGCACAAGCAAGCCAGACGAATTTGCTTCATAACCATTGCATCTCAAGAACACTGGAAGAAGAGACGAGTCTGAAAATTGAAAATGCATTGAAGTCCTTGTCCAAACCTTCTAAAGACCTTAACTGTCATGTCAAGACGGTCACCGTTCCTTACGAGCCTGGCTCTGGTGCAACCACCATGTGCCGTAGAATCCTTTGGAACAAACGAAATGATTACCGTTGCGCCGTTGTCAAGGCCATAACACCAGCAACCGACTATCAAATTGAGAATCTCCAAGGAGTCGCTTACGATGAGAAAAATGCAAATTTTTCACCGCCTGCACTTGTACTGGTGGACAACTTCCCTGAGAACGACACAAGGCGGCTAACAGAGAAGATTATGAAAAGGCAGACTAAGTGTGTCATCCTTTCAACGCTCCCAATTGGCAAGTTAACAGAAAACTCTGACTTTGACATACCTTCACTGCGGCAGCTGGATGAGAAGGAGATGTGTCTCGTGAAAGATATCCTTATCAATATCACAAGTGACAGCGAAAGAAGGAAGGGGGCGGAGGAAGTTCTTGAAAGGGAAAAGCGCTTCATTTGGTTTGGCTTAGAGCTCTTTGGACGTGAATATCACAAGATCGAGAAGAGGCTCCAAAACCACATAAATAGCACCTTGGACTTTATGGGCGATACCTTAGAAATTCACAAGACGGTTCTCAATTTCTGCTGTTTTCTTCATTACTACAGCGGTGGTCGTGCTATACTTCCCCACCCAGTCACTAGCGACTTCCTTTATGAATCAAGTAATGAAACTGAAGAAGATTGCGCGCTCATGGAACATGTTCACAAGATCTTTGGTGGGCTCCTCCTTGACGATTTCAATGAAACAAATGGTTATCATGGCTGGCGTCCAGCACACTCGTTGGTCAGTGAAGTTGTCAAATCAAGGATGAACATCGAAGACACCGCAATACTGCTCTTGGAGAAGATACACAAAGGAAAGGCTTATGTGAACAAGTATTTGAAGGAGCAAGTTTTCAAGCTTTTCCTAGATCGCAAACGAATTTCTGATCCAGTATTTCTCGAAAATCTAGAAGCCGACGATGGCAGTATAGATTCGGACTTCGACAGCGAGGTTGTTGGCTTTCATGAGGTGCGCACCAGATATTCTCCTTTGATAATGGACGTCTTAGAAGGGGACAATGGTATTCGATGCGCCCTTAAATTGCTGATCAATATTTGCCAGAAGGCTTCCCAAACTGAAGAGAAGGCATACGCGTGGCAACAATTGGCTCGGTTCATGGGATATGAGATGCGAACGAAAGGAATGGATCCAGACGATGACCTGCATAATCGTCTTCACAGCACTATGAATTCTAGCGTACCAGAAGGCACGAAATTTGCTATGCCTCAAACTGGCATAGAGACAGCCCACCTTGCTGTAGATATTGCTATAAAGCAGCAGCCAAAGTACAGTCATCACTACGTAACTAAAGGTGTACTTTACCTACTGCAGCTTCGAGATTTTAAACCCGAGGATCTGCCTAACCTTCATTGCTCAATGCCAGCAGTGATCGATATATGTCGTAAGGCACTTGAAGTGTACGATAAAGCACTAAGCAAAACGCACGCCCTTAACCATTACTCGATGATCGGGAAAATTCAAGCCATCATATCTCTTCTTCAGATTGTCAAAGGAGTACCTTGTTTCCGTCACGAAGGCGAGAGATTTACAAGATATTTGAAAAACTCTGAAATTCCTAAAGAGATGCCTGAAAACGCGCTGAAACTTGAGGATGACAACTATGTCCAGGATCTTGGTACAAAGGCGCTAAATCTATTTAATGAACTATTTCGAGACGTCAAGCTGCGGCAAATGACTACTTACGATGAAAAGGAAATCAGAGGCTTGAATAATGCGAAAATAAGAGCATCGAAACTGCGGCGAACCTTTTATGAAGTAACCGGGTTCGACAGAAGTGACCTTAGTGACGTCGAACTACCAACGCCCTCGTCACCTTTAATGAGTAACGCACCTGCCCTCTACCAGCAGGTGGTGCAAGACATTCTGTTCAAGTATAACGAGACCCCATACAGTTCCTGGGCTAATCTCAATGATGGCGAAGTGTCGTCGGTGTATAATTTACTCAAAGAGCTTTGCCTCCGTGGTTTTGGGAGCCACGACGATATGTTGATTTGTTGCAAGGCCTGTTTACGCCTAATTGAAAGACCATCCGTGGAAGAATTGGACAAAATTGTCAACAAGTGGGTTGCGAAGTATCCCAACTCAGAATGGGCTCACCTTTTCAACTACATGATCCACTTTCCAATACCAAATGGAAGCCTAGCCTCGTTAAGTAATTCCTCAAAGCTGTCCATTAAAAGGTGTGACAAAATTGTTCGAGACAAAACGGGAATAGGCTTTAGGAAATCTGGAGCAGAGTACTTTCTTGGAAAGGGAATTGGATTATACGCCATTGTAAATAGCCAAGAATTTCGATGGTTAGAAACGAAGAGGGAAACGAAGACTGACTTTTGGAGAAGTAAAGAAATCTCTGAAAAGCTGGAACGCGTCTGTGGTCAAAAAGACGTCAACTTTAAAGGAGTTATCAAATACCAAGGAATTCAGCTTCGTTTCGATGACACGCGCTATCCAAAGGAAAGTAAAGACGACTTGTGGTTTTACATTGGTTTTTCTGTTGCCGGACCCTATGCGTATGACCCAGTCGACAGTGACACGTATTCCATCATGACTCGCAAAACCAGCGGAAGTTGGTCACAGTGCGTCATTGCGAATTCAAGAGGCACAGATGGCACGCCCGTGCCGAGAAGAGGGAAAGGACTTCAGCTGAGGTATTCAATCTCTAAAGAAAGCCAGGAACTAGGTGAAGAAAATGCGGAGAACCCAGATTGTGAATTCCCAGGACTTCCTCTGCAATTTTACCCAGCGAACATGGGGAAACCGATGAGCTCCTCCATGCCCCATTTTCTTAACACGATATCAGGCGATTCCTCTGAAAATACGTCGCATCTTTCAACGTCTGGTTCTTCTTCTAGCTCCAACGGTTCCCCAAGAATGTCCTCTTGGGTCAGTGTTGATTGCCTTAATCGCCAAGCAACAACAATACCGAATTCATATGCTTCTGCCTTGCAACAAAGAAGTGAAAGATCAGAGAAGCAGATGGCTAAAGCATCAACAACGCAGCAATCACGTGGAGCGTGCAGCATGTTGCCTTCAAAAGGTCGCAACTTGAAAAGCGTACAAGGAACCCAAGGAAATAAAAAACAAATGTTCCCGGCCAAATTCGTGGATAAAAGAGGAAAAGTTCATCATGGTTCTAGTGTTCATGGTCCCAGAAAATCGAGCGAGTGCAAGATTCATACACGACAAAGTTCTGATGACATGAGAACAAAAAGTCATTGTCGTTATGCACATCCATGGTGGGGTGATACTCTTCAATATATTTGTACGAAGTGCACACGGAATAACGAGCCAATTTGTAAAGATCGAAGAAACCATGAGATGTATGTTTGGAACTTAGGCCCCTACGTCACAGAGAACGGGACGATCTGGAAAGACACACAAAAATGAAAGTACCTGAAATGAAAGTACCTGAAATGAAAGTACGTGAGACCAAGAAATCTCTGTCAGTGCAGCTAGAAGAATTCTGGCTCGTGTGTCTTGCTGAACTGGAGGAAGTGTCAATTTCGCTACGCCTTGGTGCGGGGGAACTCGAGCTCATAAGAACCCTAGGATTTACGACGAGAATCGCACTTTCTTTTCACTAAAGTTGCCTCTTTAGCACATAAGTTAATGACAGTAATAACTGACTCTTGATTCGGGTAAATGCTCACTTAAATTCGAAGAATCTGCAATGGTACCCTGATTGAACCAAACATAACCTGGCATCGAGATTGGAAAGCAGATGACAAAACGAAACTGTCCGACCTATTCGAGAAGGCAGTAGCCACATCAACAAACAAAGAATGAGTATAACGTAGTTATTCCTTAAATTAAGGGGCACTCAGAGGAATTCAAAATTACCAACACATGGAAGCATATACCTCAGTTAGCTAAAGGATGATTGAAGGAAGATGGTTTCGTGCAGTCCGTCTACAACATGTTTTATGATGACTGAAGCAAGTTACCCAGACGAAATGGAGAGAGCGAGAGGTGATGACTAGATTCATGAAGTATAAGAAGAAGAGCTCACTTAGTTTTGAAGAAATCACAAAAACCACTCAGTTACCCTGAATTAACCGTCGATCGTCTAAGAGAGGTGTTAAAGCGGCCGTTCTTTTAAACTACCGCAACTGAAGAATAGCCTAATGGTCAGTTGATTCAGGACCGGACCATCTCCAGCGGAAAACCCTGGTCGACCACGTCGGAGAACAATGTTCCATTGACGTTGATGGCTGGGTGAACGAGTCCACAGACATTGAAAAAATTGCACACAAAGAGTGCGACACACGATACATTTTACACCAAAGATAACCAGCCATGAATTATCATAGTGACTAACAGATAGCAGTGAATGAACGTCAAAAACCTTACTGTCAGACATGCTTTTTCAAATCTTGCTATCGTCCAGACAATAACGTTATCAAAATAATTTTTTTCAAAGACATTCAATGATTTGGACTCTGATGAGGAGGCTTGTACCATTAATTTTGAATTTAAATTTCCAAAAATCTTCTGCCATCAACATTTTTTTATCAGAAGCAGACCAATATCAATTTGCTAATCTTTCGATCATTTTTTGTATTCCTCCCTTACCGTCAAGTCACAAACGTAAATAAATGGATTTGCTTTGTGAAGAAAGGAAACATGATACTGATGCAAAAATATTATTTAAAAGAGCCACTCTATGTATTTTAGAATTGTTTTGGAGAACGAGTTTCAGATCTACACAAATCACACAACATATTATGATAGGGTTAATTTCAAAGTGATTGCACCTTAAAAGATAAACATCTTTTCATTTACAGTCAGTTGCGATTATAATTCTTTGTAACCTTTTCTGCGCAAATGTTCCCTCTGTCAATAGCCTGTCAGTAGCAAGTTGCTATGTACGCGTAACCTTAGAAACACGACTCTTTCTTTTCTTTACACCAAGTTACAATCAACTGTACAATCGTAAGTTGAAAAAAAAAACCGTCTAAACTCTTCTGATATTGGCAAACCATGAGAAAAACTGAACTTAACATCTGGAAAATATTGAGCCAATTTCTTGTCTTAATTTCTTTTCACATGTAAACAATTAATCCTCCGACCATCATTTAAAATTGATCGCAAATTTCCATATGGCAGTTGTTTTGAAAGCTACGGCCATGTCAGCCATGTTGGATGTAAACACTTTCTTCAACACAGGATTTAAATTCTATCCGGACGATTAGTGTTATCAAAATATATCAAAAACAACTGATATACCTCACGAATCAAGCCAAGAAGGACAAAACCTTTAAAAGGTAAGTTTGTCTGAAAAATTTTCGATATTGTAAGGTTGGATTTCATTTCCATGTTGGTCCTTCATATTTCAGCTGTCCTTCGAAGCTTTTAAAAAAAATTAAAATTTAACGGGACAAAAGGTAGAATTTGATCGTGATTGCTTAAGTAATACAGAAACGACAGGAGCGAACCTTGAATACTTTTGTTCCATGCGTATCAAATAAGCAGCGTTTCTGAATGTGTTGCAAAAAATCGCCATGAAATTTGCTTTGGGTGAAATCACAAATTGCACGATTCTTTCAAGTCATGATGTACGTCGAATTGAATTTAAATGAAAATAATTTTATCGTATCCTGAGTTCTTAAGTCTTTCTTTCTCGATTTATGATCGGATATACAGTTTCGCTGTCTTATTTTTATTAGTAAAATTGGTTAGCACACTTAAATATTGATGCTTTGCCTTCGAAAAGAGTGGCTTATCATTTTGACGTTTACTGAGAATTGATGTTCGAACCGCTTCGGCAATTAATGCACTGAGCAGAACGACGATCATTTCGAGTAGCACATCGTCAAGGAACATTATACCTTAAGCAGGAATTCGAAAATTTTACATAACCGTATAATAATTCACTTTTATTTGTGTTCAGATTTTATTTGACTGAAGCAAAGAAGTCTCAAAAACGCCATTTGACAGGGAAGAACAAAAGCTCAGCGCCTCGCGGTCGCAAAAGGTAAGCTTCTGTGGTCACATTTTGCTAATCATAAACAAGTTTAATCTTCATAATTGCAAAAAAATAAATAGGCCCTAGGCTGCTGAAAATACGAGTATGAAACCACAGAGAATAACAATACCTATTTCATTTTTTGGCAAGTCTTCAATTTCATCTTTTTTCTACCCGTTGTTGCTGTCGGGGTTTTTCCGGCAGTTAGAAAACTGAAAACATAGCCTCTGCTGACAGAATTGAGCCAACGTTTGATTAGATGTCTTTGGAACCATGGAACTCTCGCTTTATCAAAAGCGGTATCAGCAAAGGAAGACAGGCAAAGCGAAACTAAAATTATAGCTCTTATCTGAAAATATGGTATGCACCCGAAGGAAGATAAAAATCACTGCTACTCAAAAATTTTTCATGAAATAAGGACGACAAATGGTTTTTTAATGATACAAAAATATTCTTTCGCTTTGATTTGTTCTGGTTGAACTTTACTTGGAGACCAAAGAACGTAAAAATATTGACCTTATGGCAGCCGCATAGTAGCTGTCAATCACGTTGACAAAGGAAGATTAGTCTCAGCAACATAATGACATATTTTTCTTCTGCCAAAAAAAATAACGATGAAAACAGCGAATCAAACGCATAAGAAAACACAGGAAATTTCTTAACGACATGAGGTAATTCGCTCAGATAAGCGTCCCTTATCATAATGAACTACGTTGTGAAGTCTAATATTTCCAAATATCATGGAAAAGTGTAGTCAGCGTAGGCCGGTTGTATGTTCTTGTGCCGTTGTAGTCACTACTCGCGGGTCACTGTAAGCTTAAGGACCTTCACTCTACCTAAAAAGCTTTCTCCAATTTGTGTCCTTTAAACTTTTGACCTCTAAGAGTGATTAGCATTTACTTTCTCCTTAACAATATCACAATATAACGTCTCAAGAGCAAGGTCATGATTATAGAGGAAATTATTATCAACTAAAGAACTCAATTGATTCAACAACAAATTCTCTTTGTCAGCATCTTAGGAAATGTATAGAGAACAGTACGGAGAATATGTATATACTAACGTTGTTAGGGTATAAAGGGTTAAAAACTGTTATTGAAACGTCTCTTGATAGGTAACCAGAATGGCGGCGACAGCGTGGTCGTTAAATCCAACAGTGACTGTCAAAGTCTACAAGAATGGTAACCCCAATTTTCTTGGAAAAACACTTGTTATCAACCGACGCCACATACGTAATATGGAGGCTCTGTATGACGAGGTAACGATGCACATTTCAGCCTTTAACGCCGTGCGAAAAATATGTACACCGATCGGCGGGCGACCAGTTCAGAGCCTAGAGAATATCAAAAATAAGAGCGTATACGTGGCTGCAGGGAGGGAGTGTTTTAAAAAGCTAAACTATGCAGATCTGGGCATAAGAAAGCCTCGCCCTCCGCGAAAGGCGAACTATTACCCCAGGAAAGCCGTCATCGTGGCCGAAGGAAGGCACAAGATGGATTACGAATGGGCGAAAAGAGACCTAAAGATCATCCACGTGTTTTGTAATGGAGACGTGTTCAAACCGAGCGTCAAGATTGTTCTTCAAAGACGCCTTCAGCAAAGCATGGAACAGATTTTAGGCATTGTGCAAGAACACGTTTTCCTAGCGGCTGCCATTGTATTGTACACAATAGAGGGCAAGCTGGTTTTCGCTCCCTCCCAGTTGATCAGTGGACAAAATTACGTGGCTGTGGAACGAGGGAGGATGTTTAAACGAGTGAATTATGGCGCGGCTTCCTCTTTACTTTCTAAAAGTCCACGAGGGCCTTTCTTGCCTTTGATCGGCAACGGACAACTAACCAACACAGTAGGACGCTCGTCTCCAAAGAAGATTTCAAAACGAAAACTGCAGGTCACAAAAACCAACGTACAAAACAAATCCATGGAACACACAACAGGCAATCAGTCAAGTGTCACCTCTATGATCGTGGAGTCGCCTCGTGATGTTATCTCTAACATGTCCCCTGACCCCCCACTGGCCACTTCACTGTTACGTGCATCACAAGACATCCAAGATAGTTTCACCATCTCTGCTTCACCACCAACACAACTTGAGGGCGATACTCCCGTTCAAGAGTACGTTGCTCTACCGATAAAACAAAATGACAATGATGTTCGTTCAGTTGCTGACAGTGTGTTCAAAGCGAGTGGTTTACAACAAGAAAAAGCAGCTGAAATAAGGGAGAGCCGTCAAACGAAGGAAGAAAAACCAATAGACCTACTTCCGGCGGAAGAGATTCTAGAGGAAGTGCTCCAGGAGGTAGAAGACGCAAAGACTTCCATCGAGAATTCTCACGTGCCAAACAAGGACGAGACCCACAATGGAGAAGTTGAAGACGACGTTGAAGTTATAGAGGATGAATCCAACTTGATTCAAGTAGCGGACAGAACAACTCAGTCCCAGGCGCAAGCTTGGCAGCATGAAGAGCAAGAAATAGCTGCTCACGATAATAACTCCGATAAAAGGATAAAAAATTCTCGCCTCTCGCCAAAAGAATACCGCGAGGATCCCTCAGCCTCGATTAAAGATCGAGATGAAAAGTCTTCTGTTGACGACATTCCAACACGAGGAGACGTGAAAGAAGGCGAAATACAGCCGGAGTCTTTGTCTCAGCAAAAACCTGCCAACTCCACGGACGAAGAAGAGGAACAAAACACATCTCCAGCCTCGGAAACGGAAAAATCTGAGAATGAAGATTCTGATAAAAGTGAGGAGAAAAATGAAGATGACAATGAAGGAAAAAAACAAATAGCCAACAAGGAATCAGAATCAAGCGATTCTCGCAAAATTTCGAAACCAGACAACATTTCTAATGACGTTGATAAAACCAGCTATATTTCTTAGCCATTGCACCTCTCGGGAAGCAACTTAATTGCAGCTTCTTATCACAAAATTAAAACATAACTCAACATCCCGTATGTGATGAGAGTGAATTAATTTTTCCTCCAAAGCATCTATCTCGATCGATATGTCATCAAATTCTCTTAACAAATTGGAAAGGAAATGGATGGTAGCAAGAGATGAGAATTGCGCATCTGATGCTTCATTTTATTACAAACTTGAGCTAATTTCAAATAACTGAGAACTAGCTGAACCGTTAACACACGCACAAATCTTAAGGAGCTGGGCAGCAGTGTTATGGCGATTGAATCACTGACTGTTTTATAATATGTTAGCAAAACGACCAATGAGAAGTTAGCGAAACGACCTAAGACGTTAACAATCTGGTAGTTAGCAAACGACTCAAAGGCGAAACGACCGGCTCCCTCCACAGAGGTTATTTGCTGTAAACAAGAGTATCGATGTCATTTGATTTCGTAACTTAAATGTCGTGAAATTGATAAATTAATCGATATTTATACTTGTATTATACAAAATGAAGCCAGATTAAATATTGTAAATTCTGTGTTTATCTTTCTGTAGCAGCATTTCACCAACATTCGCTTGAGTTTTTATTTACGGATTCATTTTGGCTTTTCCCTCAGTAGCTACATTTTATTTTTATTTGAACCCATTCCCCAAAAGCACCTTGGCTTAACGAGGGGAATTACAATAACTTGACATAACCATCTTATGCTCTTCATAGTTATACGGCACATTGGGGAGGACTAGCGGAATGAAATTATGCGAAAGCAAAGATAGGTCACCCTAAGGAAAAATAATAAGATAGAGAAGGAAAGTCAGAGCGTTGGCAGGGATGTGCGATTTCACTTAAGTTGTTTTTAGCATTGGGTGGAAATCATTGTGGTTTCCTAGTGTAAATTCTTATTGTCGAAGTCAGTTTGATATCAAAGCACCAATCTCCTCGCTTTTCGTCAATACTTCAATCTTATTCACAGGCAACCAAGACTCACTCAAAGATGACGGCTGTTTTTCATTTTTCGTGAGCTTAAGGCCATATACAAAACGAAAAGCGATGCGCGAGGAATCATTCTTAGTAATCAAACTGATCGCCTGGTTGCTCTCTAAAAGACCGACAGCAATGAAATTCATATCGCCAGAAAACGATCGACCTAAAAACACGATTCGGACACTTCTCGAAGAAGCTATCAAGTGTGTGCATTGGGACCGCCTATGTTACACGCCAGGTATCAAGCTTTTTGTTACCTCTGTGAACGCATTTATCCTTCATACATTTCTTCTACGTTACGTTCACTTTTCACCAGACGCGGTATTCATAGAACTTCATTTGTTAGATTAATCAACAAATTCTTGTAAAGTTCGTGGCTGTGCTGTACTGTACAGGAAACTGGGGAAAGTATTCTAAGTTTGAAAAGGACGGAACAACCCCAAAATGGCACCAGTGCCACAAAAGAGCTCTATATCAATGGTACCCCTGAAGGAGTTAAAAGCTAAATCTACCGTTCATGCTTTAAAAGATATAAAGGAGGTGCTAAGAAAATTGAGCAATGTTCGTCTAAAAGAAAAACTCGTTGTCTTCTTCACTTAACCTAACATGCATGTTAATTACCGTTTTTTTTAAGACCGCTTGAAATTTATTACAAAGTGAAAGAATTAACCTTTTCTGTTGTTTCATCCGTGTTAAACTAAATTGGAAGAGGATTATCAATTACCTCAAAAAAAAATTTTATTAACAATATGAAAACGAATTATTTTATGGGTTGAAACTCAAAGCAAAGTCTAGACTATTATTGTTTGAATGATTACATTTTCCGGAAAATGAGGTACGAAAAAAGTATTTTGAAAGTTTCCTGTTTTGTTCATAAATCATGGATTTAAATTGTGCTTTGTTCAGTCAAAACACAAAAAAACATCTGCTTCTGTTATGTAGAGTTTTGAAGTAACATTCAGACACACAATAATTGTTTTGATATGTTTATGTGCCCATTTACTTCGACTTCAATTACATTTTCCGGTGCGAAAAATATATTATTGATGCATCATAAACAAAACTCTCATTTGAAACTTCTCACTTATAAGAAAATGAGTGTGTCAACGGTAAATACCGTGCAGATCACAGAGTTAAATGAAAGTCGCTTTAGAGAAGAGGCTGTTGATATATTTAGAGTTAAAAAAGCCGCCAAACGCTCTTTTTTGTGTAGAGATCGCCGTGAGTTTGGTTCTCTTCAGTTTACGATAGGAAATCTGAAAAAAACCAGCGAGAACAAGATCAAGGAATATGAAGAAAACAAGCGTAATCTACAGTGGTTTTTGTACAATCTTCGGCAGAAAAGAACAGGTAAAAATTTACCGCCAGAGTATAAGATCCTTACTTAAATTAGATCATTCATGAGTTACACCATATTGTGAATTTAACTGTACCCAACAGCGCTTTTTGGGAATTAACACGCTTTTATGTGTCTTTAGCGTCGTATCCCAACGTTCATTCCTGATTGCTCTCGAACTCATCGCGAAAAATAGCACTTGATTTTGATTCGTGAAACACCTTCAACAGAATAGATAATACTCTGAAACATTTCGCATAACTAAATTAATCACTTGACGTTTAAAGTCCCCTTTTAAATATTTCGATCTCCTCTGTGATTGTCGCTTAACCCTTTAACTCCCATGAGTGACCAAGATAGAATCCCTCCTTACAATATCAGTACAATATTGACCAGATAAGCGATGGGAATAAAAAATATATACATTTGGGGATAACTATTTGATCCAGTACTAAATTCTCTGAATTTGTGTCACGCGGTTGAAAGCATAGGATTTTCTGCGAACTGATCATTTACAACCTCCTGCTAGATAGAACCCTTCAATCATGATACATGATCTAAAATGGAAAATTTTCTCTATTATCACCTTGACTCGCCGTTACCAGTAGAAAACAACCCACTCTGTGTTGACAGCTTTTAATTTTAGCCACAATCTTCCTTCTGAAAACTTAGTGTAAACAAATTGATTTACGATACCCCGGATGAGAGCTATGACGACGGTATGAGGAACTATTGCTTAAGAAAGGGTGCGGCTCCAAGACAAACTTTAGTGGAGTCCAAAACATCATGACTGTTTTGCAGAAAATTTTAAATGGATACATTTGATATTTTTTCACCAAATGTCGGTACTGATACACAACAAAATAAATATTGACAATTGTCAGGCTGCAATTACACCAAAGTAGCTTTAACTTTAAATATGAACAATAATGAAATTCAAATTGAAACACGGGAAAATTATTCTATCATGTTATTGGTTCTGATGAAGTGAATGGAACCACAACATTAGGAAAGATAAAAATCTTTTAGGGCCTTTCTTTAAGAAAGCTTTTAAATTATTTTGAACTAAGTAATACCATATAAGCATCTAAACAAGCAATTTAGCTAATAACTATTTTGAAAACACAAATGATTATGCACTCACCTTTGTGGCTAACCGATGTCGCTATTAGCAGATTAACACTAAAAACTTTTAAAGTGTTATTGCCTACGCTAAAAAAATCTCATGCTTATTTAATTTTCGAGAATGGATTTTTTTAGGAAACGGTGCGAAACTTTGAACTATGAAAATAATTTGCGAGAGGCGAAGTTGTGTATACGGTCTATATTTCCGACTGATACTTTTCTTTTTATACCTATTTTATGTTATTTTCAGTTAAAGTGCGTAAGAGTTACCTTGGTAAAAAATTAATTCTAATTTTCGTTAATAGCACCATGTCCTCTAAAGCTCAGATGGAAAATAACAAAATAATTGCTTGTATTATTCATAAGACTATGAAGTGTAAAGAAACACATTCGCGGTACGATTTGCACCTTCAGAAGGATTTGAGTGCTAATTTCAGTGCATTTACAAAAAAAAGCCTCTGATTTTAGCTCCTGAAGACGGCCAATCAAAGACAAACCCTTCATTCTTTATATAAAATGATAGCAGTTAAGAAAAAGGGTGTACGTTTCTACAATTCATTGCGTGCAAAATCTATGAAAGATTCACGCCTTAAACAACAGTCACGCTGAGAGTTGTCTCACTGAAAACTCTTTGCACATGTATTTCGATGTGAAACATAACAGTTTGCTCGCTCATACGGGAGGAAAATTGTTAAGAACAGATCAAATCGGGCTGCCGAGGTCGCCCCGGCTTCGTCGGGAATATGTTTTGGATGGCAAAAATTTTGCTGGCTCAACGAAAAAAGTATGTTATGGGAGACTTCGTAAAGAAAGAGTCTCGCTGCTTAGAGAAATGAAGGTGTTGCAAGAAAAGGTGGAAGTAAATCTTAAAAGACAAAGGCAAGAAAAAAGTAACTTGGAACAAATTGTTCATCATTTGAATTCTCAAAAGGAAGGTGAGAGCGGCTGAAGGAGTTTAAATTCAAATTAATCTGCAAACGATCCAATGGAAGGGGCTTTTCGTAAAATAGCGAAGCATTAGAAACAGGACAAAACCAAAAGGTCGTCAGCTCTAGTTTAAAAGATAATATTTTTTTACAATTTTTCCGACAAAGTTCGAAGTTTTCTTGGTGGAGTAAAAAATCGTTCGAGGCGTCTAAATGAGTATTGGTGTGGGCTCCTAAAACTCTGTCGGTTGAAGAAGAAAATAATTACTAAGTTTTGACGGCAAAGATAATTTGTCAAGGTAAGGTGACGAAGGAGTATTATTTTTTGTGACCGTCGTCGTTATAAATTTCGCCTTCCTAAGATTGCTCGCACGCTGAAGATGCATTAACAAGATTTGTCTATAATTCCATCTGAACTTTCAATGATTGATCATCGGCAGACAAGTTTAAGTCGCCATGATCATGATTATTATGCTTTAAAAAAAAAGGACCTACGTCCAGGACTCTTTGCCACCCTTGGCTGTGAAAAATAACCGCCTTTACTTATCAACTTCTCACAGGTGCGACACCTCCAGGAAGTGTTATCGCTGGGAAGGCGAGTGGTCTCGTGTCTCTACGCGGGATGCAGGCGCAAAGTGATTGTCGGCTCATCAAGAGCATTCGTCGGCCTCTGGCACCGGAAGCTACAAGAGATCACGGAAACAGGCTAATCAATTTCCAGTCTAATTTAACATTCAAGGAGGGCTCCTTTATTCCACGGGTTGTAGAACGCGAAATTCTAAGAAGACGAAACAAGCGCTTGAATGCTAAAAGACAAGAGCAATTGGAGGGTGTGAAACAACGAGAAATGCAACTGGCAGACACCGTGGGCGTGTATACAAGGATAAACATGACCAAGGGTAGTTTGAACTACAAAGGAAAGCCGAAATACAGGTAAAGGAAGTCTGAACAAAGATTCCGTACTGTCGGTGCATAAAAAGGGACAGCGGTGACAAACACGACAAAGACTCACACGTCGCAAAAATGTGATTTTAAGTACTGAATGTTTCTTATACTTAGGTGTTTATCTTAAGGGAAAAAAACAGACACACAGATAAATGAAGCGTATTATCTTCGTTTAGATATTATCACCTTGTCATGGCAGATTTACGAGCTGAAATACTCCTAGTTGCAATCTTTTTACCTTCAAATCGTACGGGGAACATCGAAAGTATGCAATTTCTTTCTATTTCTTTATTTTTCTTTACCATGCTAAGGCAAGGTTCCCAAAGTCTTGTGGTGTTGGAGTACCTCTAGGTATGGTGCCCTTTCGTGCAGATGCCATTTTGCAAAGTTTGATGATAGAAAAAAAATACATCCAGTTATCCATTTCTGGTTGTGGTCGGAGCTGATCTAAATTAGGATTTAATTTAAATGTTACCTGAAAGAATAGAGATTAGGGCTTTAAGCCTGCTTTTCGGCGAGGTCCGTCGCGCGAGTCACAAAGAATCAGTGGGGAAAAAAATTTATTGGAGTGAGAGTGAGGCGCACCAAAAAGTAGGCCAGAGGTACGCGCCGCGCCCCGACATAATTTTGATTTTTCCACTGATTTTTTTTTTGACTCGTGCGATGGACTTCGTCGAAAAGGAGAGACTGCGCGTAGTCTTGATGCATGGCTGAAAATCAATCATGCACGTTAAAGATTTAGTGTCTCTCAATGCCTCTCTCCTTCTTTCTTTTTTCGCCCATTTACTTGCAGGGAATTTGAAATGAGGACAGGCGACTCTCATGCTACCTTACCACGTTCGGTGAAATGTCACTATGATATACCATCAATAGAACTCAACCAGACGGCCAGCTTGTGGTCTAAGGAATTTATTGAAAAGAAAAAGCTCGACAACACGTATGAAAGGCTTCTACCAAATATGGAAAAGATGGAGCTTATCCTTCCAGTACAAGATAATTCAACAGATAAAATCTTCAGTGTGGTTTCGAAACAAACAAGAAATGAATGTACACAAACCAAAGAAGTAATTCGAGGGAAAAGCAAGGCTGCCAGCGTTCAAAAAGATGATCGTAAAGGCACCAAAAAAAAAGCTTTGCTAAGGACTGTGAAAAATGCAAGAAACCCGAAGACAATAAGGTTTTTGCGCCTAAAGATCTTAGTGAATATCGAAAAGACGTTTTCGATGGAGAGATTCCTGTCGATTTTGTCGCGGTAGAAGAAACCTCCTCAGTCGCGCAAAATACAAAGACAAAAAATGATCTTCAGAGAAAGGCAGACCAAGTTGTAGAAGACAGAGAAGGAATAACTTCGACGAAAAACAACAGTACAAAGATGGTTCGCACCGTCAGGAACAAAATCATTCCACTTGTGAAAATTCAACGGCAAATAACGCCAGCTGTAAGAAAGGATCAAAATGACTTTTACATCGACAGTGTCATGAAAGAGAATAATGTTACAGGAAACCAAGCAATTTCTGAGTTAAAAGAAGTGTCAGATGAAGTTGATGGGGAAAAATCCCACATTCCCCTGAGCACTGGAAAGCTACAACAACTTATCCGCGAAAATGTGCTCGGCCAATCACAGAAGAGCAGCAAGCGAGCCAATAAGAAAACAGTATTGCTTACCGACTACGTGCGCACTCTACAAAAACACATGGGTATTAAAGCCTTAGGACCAGAAATTGCGAGCAATTCGCCCGATTTTAGTGCAACACCGTTCATACCTGCAGGAAAGAGATTTGGATGTGACGACGAGTACGGTGAAGAACCTAGTCTCTTGGAGAGAAGGTTGAAAATTTTGCAGAAGCAAATAATAAGACTGCCCGCGACATTCACACTGATCGATGGAGACTTGGTAGAAGACTAAAAAGACAGGGAGTCCAAATCTCTCTTGTCTTTAGTGTCAACTGTCTCTGGTCTCCTCGCCCCAATTTCCTTAAGGGGCGCCGAGGAAACTGGGGCGAGGAGATGGCTGACAAGAGTGAAATCTCCGCACAGTGGCAAAAAGTTGTCACTATTCAAACTGGTGCCATAAGTTGAAGAAAGCCAGCACAAACGAAAGATTTGCTTACTCACTCGTTAGTGTCAATATTGATAAGATAGAGATTTTGCGCTGATCTCTATTGAAGCTTGCTTTATCGTATAAATCAGTATACAGATTTACGATGCGACTTCGTACAGAAAGTGTCATAGTACTCTCTCTCGCGATCAACGATAGACAGATATGAAGCCACGTTTATTACAAATGAAGGAAAATTATCTACCCACATTAAGATCGAATACTTCTACGTTACTGCTCTTGTATATGGCTGAAAGAAAAAGAGTAAAATTAAGGTTCAACTGTCATAGTTCATCTAGTAAACATCAAGCTCATCCTCGGCTCAGGGCAAAATACTCAATAAAAAAAAAAAAAAAAAAGAAACTTGGCTAGTTGTCTCCCGCTCTTTGAAAAGAGAAGACCATGAGTCAGACTGTTTATAGAAATGAAAATAGTGACTGAGAAAGATCGGCTGCTTGGTTCATCACGAACGGTATGAGTCACGAGTTTTATGATGATGAACATCAATATACTTCGGGCGGTCATCAATTAAGATTAAATCTTGAAGCATCTTTTCTAAACGATTCGCCCCAAATATTTATGAAATTTCCCCCTAGGTTTTTCCTTGGACTTCTTTACCAATATAAAGATAAAATGCTATTTCAATTTTCTCGTTGCCTAGAGGCACTTGGCAGGGGTTTAGGATAATAGTTGATCTGAAAGACGTTCACGGCCTGTTAGAATGTTCCAGAAGAGAAGTTTATTTGACCAGTAACATAGCATAATAACAATTCAATGAACAATCCAATAAAACGTAGTAGGTTCTCGGACCGAGAACAACTGCCAGAAGAAAGTTCTTAAAACGAGTTTGGACTTTAGAGGTCAGCAGATCGAAAAACGAGTGTGGAAAATTACATATCTATTTGTTGACTTGTTTCAAGGTTTCGAAACTGGGTGGTGCAAACTTATCAAGAATTCGTAGGGGGTACCTCCCGATCCTCTTTTTTATTGAAAGTAGGAAGCTCTGTAATCTTCCAATTCCGAGAGATGCATGGTAAAAATCATACAAAGTAGAATAGCCAATTTAATTCTGGATTATTCATCCGCTCGCGTACCTCAAATATTTTATCAAGGTTATCAGGTCTGTTGGATACCACAGCAGCTACATGCATACAACATCATTACGACATGCTGGCTCGCTCTGGAGAGGAGAGGACGTCCTGTGGACAACCCTTTGATTGTCGACGTCAATTGAATATCCTTCAAAAGCATTATTCTTCAAGAAAAACAAGTTTATTTCATTGAAGTAATTCTTGACTCTACCGCTGAACTCTAACTTAGCAGCACTCCAAGCTTTCATTTTTCTTGTTTGAATGATGACGTTTATGATATACTGTTGTTACAAGTGGACGAGCTTTGCCATTAAAATACTTGATTTGATATTTATATTACGTTTCTGTTTTGATATTACTTGCAAATTTTAAATGCTTTGTGTGTTCCCTTTTTGTTGTATTAGCATAACATAAGCTTTTGACACTTAGCGAGGATTTTTCGATTCCAGTCTCAGTTCCACATCGAGATAGAAGTGCGGGCCTGTTTCCCTAACTAGTCATTGAGCCGCGATGACCTTAATGCCAAAAAAAAAAAAAAAAAAGAAGGCACAAAACACTGAACCTTCAGATATTTCCTCTGAGGGACCGCAAAAATATTTATATGATGTGTTATGATAAATTAGTTGCCAGGCGGAAATGAATTACTCTTTTCCTTTAAAGGCATCAATATGTCATTCTCTACTTAATAAGAGGAAGTGTTAAAGGCACTGAGAGAATTGTTGAAGCTTCATTTGCAATATCGGCCCGAAAGTAGCCTTGCATTGACGTAGTAGCAAGACTAAGCGACGAAGCGCAAGCTACAAACCGGCTCGTCTCTCGCTTCTTCGTCACTCCTAGTTAACCCAGCGCTAATAGGAGTTTGTTCGCAGACTTAATTTGCGGATGATGTTCAATAGACAGCCACTACCCGTTTTAGACCCTAGAATATTCTGTCGTTGCAAATTTCCCATTTCGCCCATCGTTAAATAATCTCACTAGGATCTATGCGGGGCTCCTAGTGCAAAATGTTGTTTAATTAAACCTCAGCGTCTACTCATTTTCGAAGTCAGTCGAAAAAACCGCAGTCCACAATGGTGCCAAAAATTACCGATTTATGGGAAAAAAATTAATGATTTCTCGCAGCCAAAGACATGCAAGGTCTAAGCTACGGAACATACTGAAAATTTCCAATCGATGCATCTTCTGTTTCACAAAAATAGGGGCCAGAACTTTTCCATTTGAAAGAAACCTATTTGATAGGAGGTTCTCTAAAATTTATCCTCTTACACCTGAAACATCTGTAATCAAAAACTAAAATCATCTCGATAACTGTGTTAGCTCGCCTTGTCATCTGAGCACACTTTGATTTGCACAGACTTAAGACTGATGGGGTGAGTGAGACGTCAACCTCGATCCCAACCCACTCAGGATACCGTGTTTGTAGAAAGAGACCCCTGTTGGTGCGCTGGTGGATTTACCTTCCGTTACCAATTTGGCAGCGTTGTATTGGTAAAATAGGTGAATAGGTGGCAAAAATTGCAAGTACAAAAGTATTCCATTATTTATATCTTGAAAAAACATGATTTTAGTTTTAAATCACAGTTCCTGTCTTATTTTCGCGTGTGCGAAAACAGCACAATATCCTTACTTGTATTTTAACATCCGTACAATATAGTTTCGTGTCAACGACGCGTGATGCTAAAAAACATTTCATGCTATTTGCCAGCTGGTTAAATACTGTTTATTTCGAGCTGTGTAAAAAACTTAAGTTTACTTGGATGGTAGTACAGAACTGTATGATTAGTCGTCCATATTTTGGATCGTTTCTCTCTTGTTCTTGTTTTTTTTTCCACGTCTTTTTCCACGTTTTTGTCAACAACCTCAGTTCAAAACAACTTATATTCGACCAAGTTAGCATGGCACTTGAGCTGATAAACATACCCCTTTCGTAATATTGTAATATTTACTTACCACCTTAAAATAGCGGGGCCACGACCAAGTAAACTCGAGTTCGCCGCGCGTGGGCTACGGCCAGACTGGATAGAAAGAATTTTGAAATTCTTTTCAAATTGCAGTCCAAAGGTGATCAAACAACGGCAGAAAAATGCGGTTGTATTATGTCTTTTCATGACAAATGCCATTGTATTTGCCGAAAAATACATTTCCGGAATTCCTGACCTTGAATAAGTGTTACTTTGCGAAAGAAGCCATATCACGATATATTTTCAGAGTGTATGAAATAATCATTGAGTAACATAGGAAAATCGAAAGGAAAAGTTTGCCAGGGTAGAACAAAAAGATAAGACCAAATCGAAAATTCAAATTAACATGGATGGCTGCAGATGGTTGCAAACGGCGATTGCTACTGCACAAACTGAGGGGTTACCCACTCCACATAACCTGAAAATTGTTTACCGCTTTCTTCTAAGTTCGGACTCGATAAAAAAAAAAAATACAAGAAACCAATTGTAAACTGCTTTCTTAGCATCGACTCCTTATCTTTCAATTTATTGATTTACCGTGAATCCCTTGAAGACGATATTTATGACACAGTTTAGTAAACTAGGAAGGCTAAAACCACGCACACAAAAATTCCGGGTGCAATAAAATTCGGTCGAATCAATTACTGGTTGACGACTGTCGCTAATTACTGTTGCTCTGCCGTGCGATAAATTCCTTATCAGATGCCTAGCGTCTTCATTTCGTGATATCAAGTTAAGGGTGCACGGAAGCCCAAAGAGCAAAGTTAATGGTTCGCCTACCTCACTATTCTAATGGTGGATTAAAAAAACCACTTATCATTTCCTAAATTTAAGAGGTCTTTAAGTACTCAAGAGAAACTGAAAGTATTCCGCTTCAATCAGAATGAAAGGAAAAATGAAAATTTCAACCGTTGCGTCTTTTCCATATTAAGCAGTGAAGTGTTACCGCACGATCACGGGTTCCTTCCTGAAGCTGTTGACCATAGAAAGAGGAAGGGCGTAATAGATACCAGACAACGAGAGACGCTAAGTGTTACATGTAAAACGTAAAAGATAGATTTATCACCTCGATAAATGCAAATTCTAAAATTGCACCTTTAATTTGGCTTAGTTTTCATCCAATCCTATTAAGAAAGGACCAAAAAGTATCCTTCCTTTGCAAAATTCAAATATTTTCACGTTATACCAGGAATGTTTTAAACACAAATTTGAGCGGGTTTCCACCACTATTCCGGAGAGAAATTGGAAATTATCGCAGCTGTAACATCTCAGTTAAACATGCTGTGCCTAAATCTAATACCATTAACACAACAGTTAGGATATGTATCTATGACTCTGGTGTTTCCGGCATCCAGTAACAATTTCTTAGCGTACAAATTTGTTAGTTTTATCTCTTCACATGAGTCGTTTCTTTTTTGTTTTGTTTTGTTTTCCTCTTTTACTTAAATTCCGTCTGAAACAAAAGGAAAATCTCCGATTGAAACGATTTAAAATAGTCAGTTGATGCTTAGCAATTTAATTCAAAAAGTCAAGTATTGAGAGGAGGATCTCGTTGTTCTCTCAGACGCTTTGAGGGCAGATGATAAGTCTAGCTTGTGTACAGAGTTTGTATGCCAGGATTAGTTCTCAACCTGTAGTGCATCAAACAAAATCTTAAGGATGCACGTGCTCGTCTCGTATCGGTATGCACCTCGAAACGCTTGCAGTCAATCCGGCATTCTCGTTTCACGGGCCCCTACTTGATCCGTGCGAGGCATGCAGCCAGCCACCACTCAGCAATTTCCGCCTCAGCTACCGCAGCTTGCTTGACGATGACCATGACTAACATAAACCGACTCAAAACCACTAATGGAATAAACAAAAGAAACGTCGTACATTTGATTAATGAGACCCGTATTGTTAGTTGTTATTATTAGTAGTTTCTAATAAAAGAAGAATCTGCATCAGTTTTCTACCTTCTCGTTATTTGCCATGTTGAACCCACCTTGGATCGGAAGTGACTTAAAAAGAAGGTAACACAAGAATGAAGTTATTATCAACTGAATAGAAACAAGAATGGGTTGGGATTAGAAATTTTTCCAAGGGCGGTGATGTTCAGGTGTACACACACTGACATCTGATGCCGACCCACGTAAACCTAAAACAAAACAAATGGATCCTCGTTTCTCACTTTGCATCATTTCTTATGTTTATATTAGATTCATTACACATAGGTAGGCGGTCCGCCGACTTCTGGGATTGTTTGTTCAAGCAGAGTTTGCATTAAAAAAAAGGCGAACTCTTTTAAAGATCAAAGCGCCGACATATTATCCACAACAGTTTGGAACGTCAGTTCTTAAAAGACTTTGTCGCCTCTCGGGAGTTTTACCGCTTTCATTTGTTTGTTTAGGAGGTGGTGCTTTTCGAATTGCAGAGGTCAGGTCAAACAAATTGAAGTTGTTTCGCTTTCACACTGGGACAGAAAAACACCTCATCATAATTGGTTTCATTTTCTTGATCTTTGTGTTTGGCAGCAGGGTTCCGAAAGCCTCCAGGCGTGGCGGGTCTTTTTATGGGAGCGACGAGAATGACTATGGGGAGGGAAAAATGCACCGAATGAACTGTGCACAGTCAAACTTCACTATATAACTTCTATTCAACAATTTTATATTAAACCAGCCGACAAAATTGAAAAAATGATTCTGGTGATTGTGATTAAAAAAGAGCACAAAGAAAACAAAACAGTGACTTTTGATTTGTATCAAAATCACCAAAACCCACCACAATCGAGATTGCGAGCTTTCAGTAGCCCATTAGAGAAAAGAATCACACGTGTATCACGCAGAACTCGCGCGCGTGCTGTTACCTTAAATGTTTGATGCGTGCGCGGGTGTGCGACAGGAGTGAATCACGGGAAGTTTTCATACCCTGAAGGCCAGCTTTTCTTTGTGCATGCTACCACAGAAATTTATTTATTGCTGAAGCTGACGACGCTTACGTTGGCAGAAAAAATTTCCCATTTTCTCGATCAGTAATCATCGGATGAAAAATGTCTCTTTAGAGAAAGGTGGCATTAGCCGCGTCTGATTCGAAAAAATGGCTTTAGTTGCCAAGGGAGGATTAATTTTAGCTTATATTGTGATGAACTCGTTTGCTTTGAAGCTGCAACGAAGAAATGAAGATGTTTATGGCAACACATGGGTGGTCTATGTTGAAAGGGAAAAAAGATTTGTCGACGATCTGGCAGAGAGAAATGGTTTTGTGAACAGAGGAGAGATTGCAGGCTTCCCTGGACATTTCTTGCTTGAACACAAAACACTCAGAAAGCGGCGAGTTCGCAGAGATGCGCCGCAACACACAAATAGTCTGCTACGTGAACCTTTAGTGAAATTTGCTCGCCAGCAGAAAGTTTTGAGAAGGACTAAGCGAGGATATTTTTCAGACCCTTATTATAAAGATCAGTGGTATTTGAACAACTCAGGTAAGTAAAACATTTGTAAATATATTTTTGTGTCTGCGGTGAATTAAAATCTCCTCTCCCTGTAATGTAACGTGTTGTAAATGTGTTTGTGCTACTGAAAAGTGAGATCTAGCTTTGGTTATGGCTCATTGCAGCGGAATTGTGTAGATGTTGGTAAAGGAAGCTGTTCTCTAATGGAAGCTTTCTAATCTTGATTTTGTTCGATGAAGACTTTCAGAGTTAAAGCCAAAATTATTTTTGTGTACTTAAATTTCGAGTTCGTGCAGAAATATTTTAGATTTGTGGTATCTCTTTTTTGTATGACAGCCAAAACATTTTGTCTGCTGTAAAATTAATTTATTGATGACGGTAAGAGTTAGCGTAGAATTTAGTTCAGTCGGCTATCGGGCAAAAAAAAAATTCATTTACAGTGATCAAGTAATAGGAATAATACACGATGTTCCCTCAAGTAGAATTTTAAGTGTTTTTGATGCCCTATCTTAATGATCGAAAACACATCTAGAAAGCTAGGGCATGAAAAATTCCTCGTGAATATTCCTTAACTTCCCGTGTACTTAATATAGTTATGAGTTTGAAACTAAACACTCTTATTGGCCCTGTAAAACGGTCATGAACTATATTGCACTCCAACAGAGTGAACGTACCAGTGATTCCATAAACGAACTGAATCGATTCGAGCTATTTCTTTTAATCCCGTAAATGCGTTTTGCATGCGTTTTGCCTGTGGATTCAAATTTCAAACTTCAATCCCTTTATCTTATCAAAGCTGCTCAGCTACGGCTTGGAGGTTGGATTTTGCTGGTATCTATTTTTGCAAGGGACTTCAATGACAGAACCTCTCAAAACACAAAGGGAATCGTTAGCATTCAATTATCGACCCACATTTGGCGTGTGCAATTTATTTGCTGAATTTTTAGTCAACGCCGCTCTACCGAAGACTTAGGTAGAAAACGAAAGGACATCAATTTGGTGAATTCGTTTTGTAATGTTTTGTTTTTTAAAAAATAAAGTATAGGGCGTCTGCAAGTCATGTGTTCATAAAGGAAAATCACAACTGTTGGAATATTCTTCTAATTTATTAAAAATCTCATTGTGGTTAGCATAAGAAGCAGTTGCATACTTGATAAAAGCTAGTGGTCACAGTTTGAATTTGGCTAGAGGAGAAAGAACTACAGCTATGTTAAAAAGCCCCACTGCTCAACATGATAGCTTGGCCTTGTGTTGGTTCCCTGAATTTCAAAGTGCACACATGAAAATCAAATATGCAGAATGTATTTCCGTCCAGCCTACCTCTAATTACACTTGATCATTAATTAATCACCCCCTGGTCTTTGCAGATATAGATCATTTTTCAATGATAAGACTTCAGACTAACTTGTTTGCTAATTTAGTGTAACTGGTGTCTTAGACAGGCATTCTTTCCCAATGAGCAGATGGTTAATAGCTCTTTTTGGAGATAACAGCACTCTCTATGACAAATTTGTCATCTTACATTGGTGTTAAAGAAGCTTAAAATGTATACTTTGAATCTAGGAGCTGCTTTATTAACCATTTGAATAATTGATCCCTTCCAGACTCTTAAGCTTCTACACATTATGGCAACCTTTAAATTAAATTTAGTGTTACATGTGTTCCTCTCAGGAAGAAGTCAATTTTAGAGGATCTAGAGAAAATTGAGACATATGTCCTAATGCATGATTAAAAGCTCTGATATTTCTATTTTCCCATTACAACATTTAGAGTTTTCAACAGGCAGGGTTTTATGATTGAAGAGAACAGTGAATACTCTTTCAAGCTATTTTTGAGTAATTATCCCTGAAGTTGATGTGTGTGAGACAACTCTGTTTGATGTCAATTACTGCAAGGACATTTATATTAATTAGTTAAAGGAAAAAGGAAATTTTATAATTATATAAGTAGGTATTGTCTAATTGCATTTTGTTTGATGTTGTGCATTTTAATTTATGTATGTTTTGTGTTTTGCATTTGATATTAATGAGTGTTTTTGAAATTTTGCACAAGTGTCCTATTACCAGCTTAACTGACCCAAGATTGGTACACATGGCTTCTTAGCATGAGGGATTTCTTGAAACCTTTGGCCTTATTATTAACCTCAGGGAGATATTAAGCAAATAGGATTGCAAACTGGCTAAGTTCATGATTATTTTGAACATCTAATCGTAAAGTTCAGAAAAACAGACAGCCAATTACTTCTTCAGTACACCTGCTCTTGAAGTTGTATTTTTGTTTCTCTGACACTCTGCAAGTCAAGAACAAGGCAATGCAATGCACTGTGTATGTATTGCTCTATTTTCAGTCAGCTTTGAGGATTTGGTCTCAGCTTAGCTTAATCCTTTGTAACAATACTTACAGCTTATATCTGATAGTTGAGAATGCACCTTTTACTGGAACATCCTACCTTTTTCTCTGCCCTATGTAAACTTTTGCAGCCTCTTGAGTACTATTTTGTTTTATATTTACGTCTAAGATGCTTACAGTTGAAACTCTTCTTAAAAAGCTTAAAATTTTTTCTGCATGTTTTCAGGTTGAAATAAGAGTGTTCTCACTAATGACATTAATTTAGGCATGTTGCAAAAATGTGGCGTACAGGAAAACATCATTCAATACAGTCGAAATATTTTTCTCTTTTGTGAATATGCATAAAAACTCCTTAGTTTCCAATTAGTCATAGATCTAAATCTTTTTTTTCTCATACCAGTCAAGTCTCCTCTCAAGACAAGTTACCTTTTGTGTCTTCCTTACAGTAACAAATACTTACTATGATAAAGTATTTTCAGCCCTATCAATACAGGATGTAGTATAATCTTTTAAGACCCTTTTCACCATAGCTTTGCATACCTACATGTACACAGTACAGTGTTTGATGCTCTTAAGGATGAACTCTCCAATACATTGAGAAATGGGAAAGGATTAGTGCCTTTATTTAGAACACAGTGGTTAAAAACATACATACCATGTATCTAATTGAATGTATTGTAATTATTCTCCAAGCCCTTTAAAACATTACTACGGCTGTGTTCAGCTTTATTATCCTGTCAATATTTGTAAATGTAAGGGTTCCCCAGTAAACAGCTTCTTTTTGGGAGACTTTTTGTTTTCATCTACCACTTTTTTATGAAAAAAAGTGCATAATTTAATTGGGCCTTCTTGACTTTGCTACCTTTTCAAATCATCCACTCTTAATCTCAGGATATGTACTAGAAGGTATGCTACATGAAAAATAGGATTAAGAGATTAATGTTATGCTGTCATTCCCCTTTGGTTTCAGCAACATAGTTTGGACAAATTCCATATGCTAAATTTGCAGTTGGTAAAACTTGATAAGCAAATCTTGTGTACATAATGTATATATGTGAGATTGCTTGCATTTGGGGCAAGGTGGGGTCTCAATTTTTTTCTTGTGCCTGTGACAAAACTATTGACATCTTTATTTGGTACAGAATTTTAAGTGACAGACAAGTACTTGAAAACTGTGTTTAAACACCTTGAATATCACTTTCTCATCAATATTCTACAGGACAAACTGTAGGACCTCGGGGATTTGACATCAATGTCGTGCCGGTGTGGAGAAAAAATATCACAGGACGTGGTGTGATAGTTACAATTTTGGATGATGGTATTGAGTACACTCATCCTGATCTTAAAGACAATTATGAAGCAAAGGCTAGCTGGGACTTTAATAGTCATGACAGTGATCCAATGCCTCGTTATAGCAGAGACAACATCAATAAACATGGCACAAGGTAGCTTTGCATTCTTATTTTGGTCAGAATTGGCTTTAGGCCAGACAAACAGATCCTCAAATTGCTGGAGACACTGGCCAGTCACTATGTTTTATGTGAAAATTTGTTTTGTTCTTAATTCATTTGGGGTCTAGTTCTGGTATTTTTGACTAAATAAATTGATATACTTTCTTATGCTTAGCAACATCTTGTAGTGGTCTGTCAAGGTATTTTAATTTTTCCTCATTAGCGGTGGTAATTTATTTGTTTTGGTTAGAGTTAGTTGAAATGCCTTCTTAATACTTTATTATAAATAGCGATGTTTTTTATTAATTTTCAGGTGTGCAGGGGAAGTAGCAGCCAGTGTAAATAACAACAAGTGCGGAGTAGGTGTGGCTTATAATTCGCGCATTGGAGGTGTTAGAATGCTAGATGGGGATGTGACTGATGCAATAGAGGCCTGGTCACTGGGTCTTAATAAAGACTTCATAGATATCTACAGTAGTAGCTGGGGCCCAGATGATGACGGAAGAACTGTGGATGGCCCAGGTCCTATGGCCAAGAAAGCATTCAGAGAAGGTACTTTGGCATAACATTCATTAAAACATGCAGTCTGTAATACTAGATTATGGAAGCTGTAACAATAGAAGTAGAGAAGGGTAGCAATATTACCATTGGTGAGGGTGTTATCTTCTTGACTACACCACAAATCACTTTCCAGTAACTGTCAATGCAACACTAATATGTAGAGGTGTGGAATTAGTAATTACCAGAATTGTAAAGGGTAGGAAGAAATGAAGAGCAAACTGGGCAAACTGATATGAAGCATGAGGCAATGCTCTCGGTGAAACTGCTACTTGACTTATTTGTAACCTTGCCCTAATTAGTTTTAGTCTCAATGTAGTTTTGAGTGTGCATTTCTGTTATAAAGTTAGTTGAAACAGCTGACTGAGTAACTGACTAGCTGGACATGTATGTGCACCCAACTAACACTGCATTTTGCTACAGGGATCAGAAAAGGACGTGGTGGTTTGGGAGCCATCTTTGTCTGGGCTACAGGTAATGGTGGACACTATAATGACTACTGCAACTGTGATGGCTACATTACAAGCATTTTCACTGTATCCATTGGTGCTGTCAATGATCGTGGCAAGTCCCCGTGGTATGCAGAACCCTGTCCATCAACTCTTGCTGTAACCTACAGCAGTGGTGAAACCAGAGGTACAGACAAGCAGATAGTTACAACTGATTTGCATCATCAGTGCACAAAAAGCCACACAGGCACATCAGCTGCTGCTCCTCTTGCTGCAGGTTTGTTTTGTTTTTGTTTTTTTTTATGTATACCTATGTACTCTGCTGCTTGTAGTACACTCATGCGTACAAGACGTCACATAATCTTTCAAATTGAGGATTAGAAATACATTAAATAAATTTCAGTCACAAATACCCATTCTCAGCCAGATGTGTATTGCTAGGATTATGATAAATTTTTAATGGAAAATTGTCTGAGTTAGTGAGACTGCTGTAATTTTTTTTGTGAAAGCAAGACGGCAATTGTTGCCCAATAGTTAAATGATTTAAGCCCTTTTTTTGTATTTCAACATCATTTAGAGTGTATCTCTTATTCACTGTTAGCCCTGAGTAACAAAGCTTGGATGGATATATCTGTACCTAAAATAATTATTTAATAAAATTTGGCCCTTCTTGGTATTTTAAGCTCTTTTCATTTACAGCTATTCTTTGGATTATTGATGAGAATTTATTACTTGTATTGTCATACTTCTGTTTGATGATTATTCTGCTCAAGAAACACAAATGAAATCAAAGCGTTTCCAATATCAAGGGTCTTATAAAGTACCTGATGAAGAAACATTTTATCATCAAACAATATTATTCTGTGTTATTGATAATGTGACTCTTGCAAGGCTGGTATGATTATTGGCATACCAACTGAGCAGCAATGGAAACATGAAAAAAAAATTGTTTTGTTATCAATATCTACAGCTACCACTGCAAGAGATTTAAATGAAGTGTTTGTCATACCAGATATTAAAATGATATGACTTATTTATTTTTGTGACACTTGTTTGAATATTTGTGGCATAGTCTACATTCATATTATATTTACAGATGACTGTGTCATGTTAAAGATTGTTTGTGGTTCCTTTGGCTTCATCACTTTTGCTTGTTGGACAAAAAGCCTTTTTTTAGATGGTTGATCTTATTAAATTTGAAATAACATATTTTTTTAAACTTATTATTGTTCTGCAGATTCTATGACTTTTGTATTTAGCATGAAACACTTGTTATACAAGGCCTAGAACTTGTTGTATCTAAAGTTTCTTTTGTGCTTGCTACAAAGGTATAACTTTGTGGGGATGAAAAGTCAACTTGCCTGATCTAACAATAGTGATAACATTAGAACATATATTGATGTTGGTGAATCTTTTGGACTTTTACAATATTTTTGGTTTTATTTTTAGCTGGCTTTTCGTCTTCAAAAATAGTTTAGCTTACATTTCTTGTATTTTAATCAGAAACCATTTTACTTTACAGGTATATTTGCTTTGGTATTAGAGGCAAATCCTAAATTAAGCTGGAGAGATTTGCAGCATCTGGTTGTCAAGACTTCCAAAATAACTGATCGTTTAGACAAAGGCTGGCAGAGAAATGGTGCAGGACATCGTGTGAATCATAAGTATGGATTTGGAGTGTTAGACACAGATGCTCTTGTGACAGCTGCCACTTCTCCCACCTGGAGACCTGCTGCTGAGCAGCACATGTGCCGAGAACAGGATCACACTGATAACAAGAAGATCCCAGCCAAAGGGACTCTCACATCATCAATTATTAGTTCAGGCTGCTCCAGTAAGACAAACTGTGTTATGAAACTAGAACATGTACGAGTATACATCACACTGAGTCATAAATCAAGAGGCTCTTTAAGAATTATTTTAACTTCACCTGCTGGTACTAAATCAGAGCTTTTAGCCCCCAGAGACAGAGATTATTCTAGTCATGGTTTTCAAAACTGGCCTTTTATGACTGTTTTTAGCTGGGGTGAGAATCCTGCAGGCCTCTGGAAGTTAGAGGTCACTGATACCAAAGGCTTTGAGGGGGAGTTCAAAAAGTGGTCCATTCGGCTTTATGGCACATGTGAAGATCATCGCAACATCACACCAACTGATTCTAAAATGTGTAACAAAGTTTGTAGGAAAGGATGTGAGGAACCATTTAACAATTTGTGTCCCAACTGCTCAATGCTGTGTCATTGTGATTTGGGAAAGTGCCTGCCCCTTTGTAATCCTGATGACGATGTTGATCAAGAACAGAAAGAATGCCGTAAGAGTGCACAAGCAGGTGGAATTGGGGCTGACGATGATGATGAAGATGGAGGTGAGCAGGATGTTACCAAGACTCCAACCACCACTACGCTGCATGAAAAGGGAATATCAACATTTATGAAGTTACTTATCATCTTTATTCTTGTAGCTATTATTTTAACAGCTGTGCTTATCATGTGGCACTTCAAAATCAGTCAAAAAGTTTGTTGGGCCATTCCAGATAAAATAACCAATCAGAACCATGCTATCTCCCAAACACATGTGGGATATTGGCCTGTCTCTGTTACACCAGAGGTGAATAATCAGAACCTTAAAGGACTTGGTAACCTAAAGATGTAGGCTATTACACATTTGTTTTGCAAGTTTCTGCACTCTATACCATTTTCACAAGGGGTAAGATTTAAAAAAAGGTGGACAGCTCATATTCTTGCTCATCAACTTACAATGCATCAAAGATGGAGTTGGAATTCCAGTGTAAAATGCAGTCAAGCAATAAGTAGTAAAAATCAATCACATCCCTGTAAAAGTATAGCTGTACCTTTGCAGTGTTACCCTACAATGGTCACAATTCAATAATCATTTGATAATTACAATCATTCTATTTGTTAATTAATTTTGATAAAGACAACAGTTTAGACTTGGTATTTGACAAATATTTTACTCTGGGTGTGAAAGTGCATTACCAGTTCATGGTAAGGTTTTGGTTCCAAATAACCTTAAAATTATTATCTCTTTAAATACCACTGGAAAGTTTTCCTTGATCTTATCCATCTAGTTTGGTGTCTCAAGTTCAATAATTTTTTTGGTCCTTGCAAGAAATACACAAGCTCTTCTGGCTGATTATTTCTTTGATCAATGTTTCATACGACAAAGAGGTTTTGTACTTTATACTGTAAAATGCTGTACATAGAGTACATCAGATTGATTTTTTGTAATGAATTTGAAAAGAACCGTTTTCTATGGTATAAACAAATTTGAAAATGCTGTAGACAAATACCATGAAATAACATGCCTAATACATGTACATTTGTCCATTTGTACATTAAAGTGAGCTTAATTTGATTTAAAACCAAAAGGCCACTGCATTAGCTTTACTTTGGCTTATATTTCTTTTTTTGTAATTACATTTTTTTTCATAAATTCCAAGTACACACTTAGGTGGAATGAATACCACTATAAGTTGTTCTTGAACTCTTTTGCTTAATGAACATATAAACATACTTGTAAAGAGCATTATTATGTGCCTCTCAAATAATGATACAATATCAATAAAATTGCTTTCATTTTGAATTTGTCAGTCACCTCTATTAAGTTGTGGGGGAGATTCTGAACATTAAGTGGTCAATTATGGCATAAAGTGGTGTTGTATTACCCCTAATCTTTGGAACCTGTGTTTAGCGGTCAAACTGTATTAAGTGGTCACTATGCCATTCCCCATAGGTGACTGCTGAAGGTTTAGCTGTAGAATTGATTGTGTATAGTGCCATTTATGCCAATACTTCCAGATTATCTCAGAATCTCCCATATACAGAATGGGCCCCTCTTGTTTCCTTACCCTTTTTACCCCAATGTCCATATTCTTCATATTCTTCTTTATGCATTTTTTTTGGAACTGAAAATGAGTATTCATCAAACAATAAAAGCTTATTATTAGTATTACGTCAAGGAAGAATTAGATGCTGTTCACTCTCAGAGTTTAAGGAGTTAGAAGAAGTCTGGATACACTGTATTTTTTTGATTAAATGTGGCCCTTAAAGAAATGCAGCATTTTAGAGCAGAAGTATTGATAAACGCTACCCTCGTATAAATGCTGCATCATGATGCTGTGTTTATTTGAATAATAGACTCAAAAAGCACACAGCAATCATTGGTTAGATCACAGTTGGAAATTTTGAGTGAGCCAAACACAAATCATTTTCAATGAACCAATTCTGATGTCCAGAAAGCATTTCCAACATTAGATCTTTAGTCACTTTCTGTTTTTTTAAATTAAAATGGTCAGTTACCATACTATTGTTTGCAAATATTAAATTGGATTTTAAATAAATGTGTAAATTAATGTTTCACTCAAATCACAAAAAATTTAATAAACACCACTGCATTTAATCAAATAAAAAGGGTATATGTATTCTCCACTAAGGAGGGAAAATTACATACAGTACTACAAGTTGTTTTTTAAATATAAAATCATGTGAGATTCTTTTCAATTATGTTTTATGGATTATTTTGATTTTTATTTCTATTTCTGATTAATGTTCACGCAATCAGGGACTTCAGTATGGAGAGAGACTGGGCAGGTGTTAATCTAGCAGTTGGGTTGGAGAGTTGATTTAAGATCATACATTTTCAGCTTTCATTCCAAGAGCTATGAGGGGCAGGGAAAGTAGCAAAATGTCTGCACATACTTTAGTGTAACTACTGAATGAGAGATCATTCAAACACAAGAAGATTTTGTGACCTCAATGATGTTTTCTGGTAGGGTTGATGAATTACCATAGCTTACATTATCTGGCCATTAGTGAAGTGTGTATGATAAAGTCATGAATAATGTGTAAAACTTCTAAAATGTCTTTGAGTTGAAATGAACTTACATTCTACCCACTGGTATTAGCAATACTCCTGATCACTTCATGCTAAAGAAACCAGGATAAGCTCAGCATGGATGGGCCACATGGTTCAAGCACAGCCTTTTGTACTCTTCACAAATTATCAATAAAAGTGATTGTCTTCTACAGCAATAGTTTTCACCCATTTCTTGTCCGGCACAGTCTGGCCATTGGCTTTCTGTTCTTTGTCTGCCCTGCCCCTGCTTGTTCTGTTAAGAAAGGATGTAATGAATTCACTACAGTTTATAGTCAAACCTGTATTAAGCAGTCACTCACAGTTTGCACAAAATAGAGGTAGTGTGAAAAAATGATAAAAACATCACTTTTGCCATAACTGACCACTTTATGTACAAAACTCACTCAAAAGTAAAACTAACATTGTTTTAGAGATAAACATGGATTTAATTTTTTAGTTCTTATAAAGAGGTTTGGCTGTAAGTGACTGTTCGGTTAAGGTTAAGGGCAATGGGACTCTGTAAAGGGTGACCATGCTTAATTGAGGTGACTGCTCAATGGATGCAAAAATTAAAAAATTTAGGACTTTGACAACCAACTGCTTAATTCTGAGTTATGGCTCAATCAGGGGTGCCACATACTACAAGGTTGACTGTATTAGGGTCTCACAATTTGTTCATTTCCCTGACCATACATCACAGAGGAGCAGTGAAGGATTGATTTCAAAAGTATTTCATTTAATCTTCTTGGAAGCCTGAGACAAGATTAAAAGCTGTTGTTTAACAACACTGCATTCTTAGCCATCTTCGATTTAGCCAAATGCAAAACTTTTACCTGAACATTTTTTTTTGTGAACAGTGTCAAGAGTGCTAAAAGCTAGTAGTGAAAGGACATTTAATTATATGAACTCTTTTAAAGAGAATCCCCAAGGCCCACTGCTTGCATAAAACTGCAGTCTGGGTTAGAATTTGTGTAAATAACTGGCCCCAAATGTCTGAGGCCTTGATTCCTCGCAGGAATTCAGAATCTTTTCTGTCCCATGCTTTTGACAAGCCAAGACACCCAACTTTATCTCTTAGACTTAAGAACAAATTTTTATGAGCCTTAGCCAGCAGTGACATATTTTTGGTGGCTTTTTCAATGTCAGAGTGTAATATTAAAATTTCATTCTCTTCCTATTTTGAAACTACCACTATGGTGTAGGCCCTGCCTGCTTGTTTAGAGTGTGATAAGTCAAAACTTTAAAGAAGAGGCATGAATTTTTATAGGAAGGCAAGGTAAGGTGTGATTTGAAGCTTTCTCTTTTGAATTTGATGCACACAGTACTGTTTACCTTATAAGTGATTTGTGAAATTTTCTCAAAATTTGTTTGAAAAGGAATCAGGACTCACTCTGACTTTACTACCCACTCTTAGTAAGATAGAAATAGGAGTTAACCCAAACCTCTGAACCCCTTCATTGATCGTTTCCCATCTGTACAATGACACAACTGGAGACTACTTTTGATAAGCTGCACCTATTAATAGGATGCTATGTTCATTCCATGGTTTATTCTCCCATTCAAAGGGACAATAACTCTAGCTTCCAAGTGACTATAGGACATTAGAGAACTGCTGTCCTACTGGACACAAAGAACAAAATCAGGGCGCCGGTTATTGCAGTTAAAAAAAGGCAACTAGCTTAATAGAGTCTTTAGATATGATCATAAGGACTTTATCACTTTCATGAGTGATAGTTTTGTATTTCACTTCAAGCAGTCCTTGGAAGAAGAGTGGGGAGTGCTCTTGCTCTAGTTTTGTATCCAATTGTGACAATGTTTCACCCTTATATCAACTTTGTTTGCAAGAATTTTATTGGGAAGGAGTCTTACTGAAGCAGAACATAAGTTACTTGAAATACAATGCTTCAAAATTTGGATCTTCTCCAAAATTAAGCACAAAACTGGAAAGCAAACAGCAGGGCAATGTTCTGAGGAAAAACATTTCTTGAGAAGTTTACAATCAACATAGGATCTCTAACAGCCCCTCAGTACAAAATGGTAAAATACACAGTTACACAATACCACAAATTCACACTTGAGGTTTCAAGCACAAGTACATTGTAAGTTCATAATATTCAGGGTTTGGATCATATGGTCATTTGAATCTCCTTGAATCTGTTAAATGAAATGGTAGAAGAGTTACAGACTATGCTATGTTTTGGAAGACTCAGGATAGTTAAGAACTCTCTCTGCGAGGTGTGACAACCCTAGCATGCCTATCAAATAGACCACACACAAAAAAAATTTTAATAGACAATAACATCTACTTTAATTTTAAAGTGTTATAATAGATGTTTCCCTCATGTTGTGAGTTCACTGCAATATGTCTGAAACAATCATAACTTTAAAATATTCTGCTGTGTTAATTACAAAACAAATCTTTGAATTGAAAAACTCCTTTTAAAGTTTGAACTGAGTTTGTTGAATGGTGCTAATCTGTACAAGTTTCAACTCTAAAAATTCTTGAGAAATTCTTCTGCACAAATACGCGCCCTAGCATTGACAGCCAACTTCATTTCACTGATCTCCTTGTCTATGTCCTCCATGAACTGAATAACAAAATCAACAAGCTTGTGCTTGAACATTTGCTCCGTGTGAAAGTTGGTGATGAGGAAGCTTATGTCGTATCCCTCAACTGGCTTCCTTCGAAGGATAAAGAAGTTTTCGGCACGCATCATCATAAAACGCATGAACTTCTTGCACAGGATCTTTTCAATCTCGTCAGCTTGTTTCACAGCAATGCTGATTCTCAGAGAGTTGACGGAACCTTCAATGAGCACCTTCTCTTTTTCATTTCGGCTGATGATGACTGGCGTTAGAAGCAGCTCCTTACTGCTTCGGACCTCCACTTCAGGTTTGTTATGCCTTTCCACCACCTGGGAATCAAAATTTTTCACACACATGGACGCATTGAGAGTCGCACGGACGGCATTCAGATAAGGACGTAAGGTAGCAGCCATTTCTTTTTCACAAAGAGAAATCAAAATCTGTTTAAGTTACTGAAGGAAATTGTGCGACAGCGGAAACTTGCAACCCTCCCTCCTGCTAGTGCGCATACTCCAACAGAAAAGATACCGCTGGTCGTATTTGCAGTAGCAAAAACAGGAACTGTGGGATATCATCGTGCTCGGCGACCATTTTCGTTTTGTATTAACTGCTGGAAATTTTCAGTGATAGTTGTGCCCTCTTTATGGCGGCAACATGAATAATCCCATCACGATGACGTGAAACATCTCTTTCTTAAAAACATGGAAAAGATGATAGTTTTATTTCGGTAAATTTGGTGACCAGAGGCTAAATTTCTTGGGGTGTGTTTTGTAAGGTGGTCTGACAAAAAGATGACTACATGTGTAGACTCTTTGTCTCTAGCTCTCGGACAAATTAGCTTTGCAGTCAACGATTTAACCAAAAAGAATTACAAAGCGACCTTAAAAGAAATACACGAGGTGAGCGTTAATGTAATTTATCACCATAACATTGCATAAACACCAGTTATGTATGCTTAGAGAAGGTGACCTCTCTGATGTCAACCAGTATTTTTTCCTAAATACACCCAGGTAGCGAACCCAAGATATTTTCGTCAATTTCTTAGTTTCATATACCTAATTTCTCACGGAATAATATGTTTCAGCCTTTTAAGTTTAATGAAAAATCAAGCATACCATACATGTTTCATTTTGTGGATGAGATGTACTCTATGAAGTTTGATACTGCTGCATCATCATAAAACTGTTTAAGTTTATGTTTTCCTAAAATTCATTTTTCAGCTTATTGAAAAACATGGCTTTGAGGCAGAACGTCACTTATTCCGTTGCTTATTCTCTTTTATTGACTTTGCTGGTGATGGAAAGAATAATGGCAAAGACTTCCTGCAGGTGAGTATGGCTTCATAGGGTTTTTACAAGGTAGGAGAAGTTAAAGAATTCTCTGGGCACAGGGCTCAAAGCTCAACCTTTTTCCAAGTTACTATTTGGCAACTTCACATCCTGACATGGTCATCATAAATTATACTCTATTCACAATTTGTTTATGCAAGAAAATGATTAAGCATTGATGCTCATGTATCAGTATCAGCTTGTTACATGACTGCAAAACGTAGTTTGACAAATTGGTGACTTTTGCTAAACATAGGCATGTGTAGCATGCAAGAGTTATCTTTTTGGCTGGATAAGCTGAGATGGAACAGTTTGTGTTCTCAATGTTTTCATTTTTGTTACCAAAAAGAGCATAAAATAAAAAAAAAAATGAAAATGAAAGACAGAAAAAATCCAATTTTATCTGAACTCACACAGATATTATGTGATCTACTGTCTCTATTGTCTAAATACTTCCAAGTTAAAATATAATGCATCTGTGTCACACTTACTATTGTCTCCTTTGCAGGTGTTGTTTGGTCACATCACACAATGCCCTCTATTTTGCATTTAAGAGAGAGCGCGTTGCCTGATGAGATCAAATAACGGTTGCAAAAGAGACTACACTTACTGCTGTTCCTAATAAAGAGGAAATTAAAATTATTCATATACAGTTACCTTAGAAATATAATTCCAATAGACCCTAACCAAAGATATTACAATTTTGATTTAGTGAAAATACATTGAACAAGAGAAATGGATAATATTTCAAAGAGGGCTCTTTGATTGGTTGTTGCCGATCTGGACTTTGCCCTTTTTGAGTGAAATACGTGATAAAATGCAGGTTGTTTTACAAGGAATTAACATGCAATTGGGTTAAGTCCAAGGTAGCTTCAAGTGACTTTAATTCGTAGAAAAAGTCAAATGTGGGAGAATTGGGTGGAAAACTCAATATCAGTAGTATTTAGATCCATGTAAATTTTTTCAGTGGGGTCAGACAATGCAGTTAGAATATGTGATAAAATGCAGGTTGTTTACCAGGAAATGACACATGATAGAGGGAAGTCCAATGTGGCAAAATTGAATTTGACTGGTGGAATACAATTCAAGCATGTGAAAAATTGCATAATGTTCTTGTAGTGCAATGATTGGGTATGTTCTGATTGGACTTTGGACGTTGTTTTCATTGTACATGACAGAATGTAAGTTGTTTGGCATGTGTGTTGTGATTAAAGGAGTGGAAAAAACATGTTTTAACTTAAATTTATTTGATTTAAATGCATACCTTTCATATCCCAATAAATCTCATCCTTAATTGACAAGGTTCTTGCAAAGGCCATAAACCATTACACTTATCAAATGAGTCCAGTATTTCTGATTAATGTCATTCTTTGTGCATAGCCCCGCAATCCTTGACATCATTTAAAAGAAAACAATACCCAAATGCTCTGATTGATGCAAGATATTCAAATGCTATCATATAATTGGTGGGAGATGTGTACCCTAATGCAGCAGTCTGATTGGTGCAAGATACATACCCTAATACAGCGATCTTATTGGTGCAAGCAACATACTACCTTATATGCTAACATAGAGTAATTTTTTTTTTAAAATAATAACTCAAAAATGTAGATGCCAAAATTTGTTGTACTTGCTATAGGGTGTACTTGACAAAAACAGCCATAGCTTGTTGTGCTGGACTATTACACAAAATTCTTAAGCTATCTCTTGATGGCCAGAGCAAACAGAAACAGTTGGTTTTAAAGTAAAAATGATTAACATTATTGAAAATTTGTCACAATTTGCGAGGAGGAAAAAATCTGAGCTCCTGGAGTGGATCTGAACCCAAGCCAAAACTTATTCCAGAGTTATAGGCTCTGCTAATTGAGCAGCAGAGACCTCACTGATGAGCTGGACAACCATATTTACTCATGTATAAGTTGAACTTGTGTATTAAGTAAACCCCCCCATTTTCAAGGTTAAAAATTGTATTTTCATCATATTTAGTTAAAGAAGTAGAATTCAGACTGATAGAAATTTCCCAAAAAATTAATCTCTTATTTCTGAGGATGTATTGAAAACATGGCAAATTAATAAACTGCATGGCAAAATGCAACTGTGTGCTGTTAAGTTCATCAGCACTTGTTTATATTACCATGATTTAAGCATACACGGATTTCTGAACAGACTTCAGGCAATTGTTATGCTAATTTCTTGGACTGCTGGGATTAGGTCTTTGTATATGACTTGTGTATAAGTTGAGGGTGATTTTTTGGGCTGAGCTTTTGGTCATTAAAGGTCACCTTATACACAAGTAAATACAGTAATCATTAAATGTACATTGTGCTCCTAGAGAATTCTTTCATCAGCATTTTAAGTAAAAAATTGTTAGATGGCAACATGGTTGGCTAATGGCTTACCACCAATGTAAAGAACACAATTTTCACTACTTATAAATTAATGCAGAAGTTGGGTGAGCTTGTGTGGTTTCCCCAAGTAGATGCCTGCACATTGCAGTGTGTATTCAGTGAGTGTCAATCAAGAAGACAAAAATAGACTATATATAATGGTTTTATAGGAAGAAGGAGGGTAATTTTTTAATTGCATAAAAATAAGGGATTAAAATGCATACTAATGTACACCATATACTGTATGTTGTGGTTTAATTTTTTTACTGTGTCTTGTCATCATCTGATATACAGGAAACTGAATTAAAACTTAATTTTCAAAATTTTTCACTAAAAATTTAACCATATCACATGAACTGTGCATTTTACTCTTGGGAAGTGTTTAAGGAGATGTAGTCTGTGGTGTGGATATTTATCTCACAAAGGGAAATAGTACAAAATTGAAGAGATACTGTCTGTGTCTGTATGAAGTTGCAAGGACATCTTTAAGACCTATATCAGATAAAGCAAAGTGTATTGAAAGTGAAGCTGTAGATTCACTTGGCAATATTGTTTGTAATTATAAATTCCTATTCTGTCTGGCAATGCTGTTTTTTTTATCAGTTTGTATACAGCATGTTTGTATTGAATTTTCATATACAGCAATATAAGTTTGTTATGACTGTCAGGTAGACAAAATGATTTTCAGAGAGCAGTTTGAAAGACAGAAAATACATGTAGGTCTGGTCCTTTTATTTTTGATAATATCTAAGCTCTTGAACAGGTTATTATGCCATTTCTGTCTGTCATTATCACTTCCTTTTTTGGTAGGAGATATGACCTCTTTAGTTTCTTTATTTGACAGTGACACTAAATAAAAACATTCATACAATGATTTGCGACCTAATGCATTATTTATTGTCTGGATTGCTAAAGAGCTTCCTGTTTCTACATTAAGTGCCAGTTCCTAATTCAAGAATGCCAGATGCTTGTTTCCAAACCGAACTTTTCCTCCATTTTGTGTTACGCCATCGAGACGCCAGAACATAAGCAAAGGACGCTGAGACCTTCCCAACAGTTACTGCCAAATATTAGCAGAGTATTGAAGCTAAACAAAGTACAAGAGGTAAGACTGAAGTGGTTTTTTTCAAGATTAACCACAAGATTACAAGATTATTTTAGAATTAGTTTGCTGTAAATGTTGAGAGGTGTTAAATGGCTGCTTCTATTAGGGGACAATGAAAATTCTGAGACCTTGTGCTGGTATGGACCCTTGAAAGTTGCTAATTTTTAAGTTATATGTTCCACATAGGCTGAGCTACACAAGGTTGTTTACAGAGATTTTGCTTGTGAGTCAGAAAGTATGCTATTTCTCTATGAACAAGATTCTTTTTTATGTGTTTGTTTAATCAAAAGATTGAATTAAACTGAAAACTGCATCTTATTGTGGGAGCTTTCTAATCTTAAGTTAAGTTGTTGGACTGATTACTTGATATTTTTTAACTAGATTAGGAATGTGGAGAATGTAATTATAGTGTTATGCATCCAGACAAATTTTCAAATGGATGACTCCATAAAAGAAAATTGAATAAATAGTCACTTGACCCCTTGTAAAAGTTTATTTTCAGATGTTACCATAAGTTGTGCATGCTTATTCTCTTTTGGTCCTCCTTGTTTTTCATCTGCTTTGATAATACCAGTAATGAATGTAGACAAAAGACATCTGACAGGGTTAAAAGTAACAGCTGTTGTAAATTTGTTTTAGTTAATATTCCTTTCTTATGCAGTCACTATTACTTTTTAGAATGGAACAGTAAATGAGAAGTGCTTGTTGTTTTTATAACTGTTCCAGCCCTTGCTCCTTGGTGTGCGGTTCATCTTTATTAATGATGAACTGAATTTATTAATTGTCTACATCTATAAATACCAGATGGACTAAAAAATTCTAGAGAACCATACACCTCTAGCCAGCTCGAATACACTGAATTTTCATATCATACCATAACATGAGGAAAACAGAAAGGTAAAATGGCCATACAACTGTAGCTACAGTACATGTATATGTACAGACACACCTCAACAAGCTTAGAGGGCACATAATATTCAGACAGCCATTTTGATTTATGTTTGAAGGTGTAAAATTCCAAACTTGAACTGCAGTTTGCTACAGGGATTAGGTCTCAGTGCAAGCTAGAATGTTGAATTCCCAAGCAGAGATGTAAGAACCAAACAGTAAAAATTGTTCCAGTTCTCAAACCCTGCATGTGTTGACTACACATAAGCAGGATTGGTACTCTGCTTCCTTTGTGCATTACCTTAAATTTTCCTCTTTTCCGACACTTATTTTGCAGGTAATATTTGGCCTTAGCCTTTTAAGTTCCTCAAATGATGATTTAAAAAACCATGGTAAGTGTGTTGGTACAGCTACATGTGCATAGGTCTTTGCTACATGTGTATATGTCAAAGCTCTTCAAGTATTAACCCTTTCACTTCCACAAGTGACCAAGACAGAATTTCTCCTTACAATATCTATACAATAACAAGCAGGTAGGTGATGAGAATAGAGAAGAATATCAATAATGGGATTATTAGTTAATCCAATACCAAATTCTCTGAACTAACATCATAAGAATTGTATGACAGATAGTAAGGAGAATTATTGATTAGATCTTGGGAGTGAAAGGGTTTATGTCTGTCTATTTTTGTTGTCATTAGCTGTTTTTATCATTCTTGAAGATTTGTTTCAGCTGGTTTTGTTTTCTTTACAGCTGGCCAATTTGTCAAACACAAGTTGCCTGACCTTTTGAGATCGTACACTGATGCAGGTGAGAGATTTTTCAATAATGTTAATAAGGAGTTGGCAGCTATATACAATCAATGAGGGTAATTTTGTTTAAAAAAAAAACAACAACAACAAAACTGTGGTAATGTGTTGGTGGGAGAGCATAACAGGGTAATTTAGTTTTATCATCTGAGTTGGTAACGTAAATTGGCCACCAGAAAGAATTTCAAAGCTGACATTTGTAAGAGTTAGCCTTTGTCAGAGCTAAGGGCTAACACTCAAAACTTCAGCGTTGAAAGTATTGTATCAAAAAACGTGTACATATTCAAGAGGCAGACACCTATATCACCCCTAACTCCCCCACTTTCTCCCATGCCCCCCAGTACACTATTGCACTTTTAATTTGTACTTGGATATGGGAAGGGGGCACTGAGGCAAACTGCAGTTCCTTTTCCTGACATTCTTTAAAAAATTTCTAGGGGTATTGATATATTTGTTGGCTAATTTTGTCACTGAGAGTACATGCATGTTATCAATTTCTGTGTAGCCACATCTGAGAAGTACTGTGCATACAGCTGACACTGACATGGTTAATGCACTTCTAGCCTCTTTCTATGGGGTGTAGTTCCACAGAAACCACTAGCCATAATGAACAGTCTAGAGATAGTGTCTATCTGCAATATTATTGCAATACCACAAAGAGCTGTTTCTTAGTCATTAGAGTATCACATTCAGAGCCACACTTCTCTTTCTTATCCAGAGAATAAAACATAATGAAAAGATTCTCAATCTTTCATCAGATGTTGGAGGTGTACAGGAAGGAGGCTTGACTGATGTTGCTATTGAAGTGTTACATCGCGTTTTGTCTCATGTGATCCATGGACCAAGAGAACAGGTTGGAGTTGGAGATGATCAAGTGTCTGCCTTCTTGGAAACCCTAAAGAAAGGTTTGTGTCATTATTTTTTACCATCATTTTTAGCTTTAGGCATTGGCATTTATCTGTGTTTAAGGAGGTTTTGCCCTATTGCAATTGCCCCTTACCATCTTTACAAATTTGCTCCTTGAACATTAAAAAAAAAATTGCTTGTTTGTCGAAATATATAATGATTTCAACAGAAGAGGAATTTGTTGCACCATAAGGAAAGGAGTTGACATATATTTTTTAACTTTTTTTCTGACCTAATTGGATAGCTAAGGGCCACTAATAAATTGAAGTGTAAAACTCTTCATTCTTTCCCAGATTTTCCCAAAGAACGTGTACCTGTAGTCCTTGCTCCTCTTCTTTATCCCGAGACAAAGGATATTTCAACTGACGAGTAAGATTATGTTAAGGTCATCCCTTGGCATTGCAATAGTTACCACTTTCACTTCTCATAATTTTATTCATAAGAAGTGGGTATGCAAAAAAATAAATTATGGCTTTCACTTTATCGCTGGAGCTCACTGGAAGTATAAATTATCATTTTCATATACCAAACATTGTACTTCAGCTTACCATTGTAAGCTGAAGTAAGAATAAGATAATCTATTGATGAGTAGCACAATCACCATGCCCGTAGGGGGTTGACTGCAAACTTTCACTGATTTCTTCTGTTTTACATTTTCATTGAAGCCAAATCTTTGCTTACAGATAAAGTTGTTCTTGTTGATTATTGTAAAAGTATAAAATCAGAAAACCACATTACTGTCTTCGAGAAAATACCCGGGAAAGATGAAAAATTGAGCCAATAATTATTTTGGTTGTAATGCATAACACAATCTCAGAGGTAAAATTTTTGAAATACATTTTTCAGTGAAAAGAACGCTCATTTGAGCAAACAAATTACACCTAATGATAACACACAATAAACACTACATTTGAGCCAAACTTTGACATTTCAAGTTTATTAAAACACTTAGAAAGGATTCATCATTCCTAAGTATCCTTTGTGTAACGCTGGGTTTCAGAATTTGGAAGTACACCAAGTTGTTGTCCGCAGATTGGCTGAACTGGAATCCTGTGGGAAAAAAAACACATCAACCGAATGCTCATACTTGGTGTTCTAAAATAGCTAAAAATCAGTCTAAAGGATTGACCATAAAAGGAGAAATATCAGTGTAAGACAGTCACTACGGTTTTCTAAAACCTGATTATGCAATAATATTTTTCATCAACTTACCGGGTAATTACAAATTTGAATCAAATGCGACAAAAATGAAATAGTTTGAAGTAAATCAGTTGTAATAGTAAATGTGAGTTTAAAACAGACCTAAAGAAGTTATTTTTTCCCAAACTAGCAATTTTCACATTTTCCATACATGTTACAGAAGTGAGTATGGTGATTGTGCCACTCATCATTATATCTTTCCTTAGGATTGGAAGGTGACATCACATTTCTAAAATTTTAACCTCTTTGACTTTCCAATTTTGTGTATTGCACTTTTGTTAGCAGTTTTATCTGGCACTCATTATTTCTTGGCAGTAATGTGCAAAGGATATTTGTGAAGACTGCACTGTAGTATTTTAATTTTAAATGCATCTGTTTTCTTTTTCAGCCTTTTTCCAGAGCCATCAACTCCTTCAAAAGTAGTGGTAAATTCCTACATTTAGTTGTTTTAGTCATTCAAATGTGAATTATTCAGACAGTTCTTATGTTACACAGAGTCCACACAATGTTAAGTGCAGATGACTTCTTCCATTTTTCAATTTCTAATTGCAATTTTTTTTTTCACAAATCCGTCATTTTAAGTTATGATGCAAAGGTTGTTACAGTATAATGTAACCAACAGAAAAATGCTACAATTCCACAAACTCAGCTACTTTATTAAAGATTGAGTAATGTTCTTAACAAGGAGCGACTTCTAAAAACTGTTAGATACTTACTATTAATAAACTTAATTAGGCACACCACATATATTGTAGCTCACCACTGACACAATCTCACTGCTATCTCCAAAGTTCCTTGAAATGAGTAATCTTCTGTAGTAACTCTCTCATGCTATAGCTTTCAAAACAGTTGTTGTTCTGACAACAACTACTCCTACTTGTACATAAGTGAGTCTTTGCATATATTCACAAAGTTTTCTGGAACATTCCAGAAGCTTACATAAGAACTATTTTAGTAGTATCACATAATAAGTGTGTGACCTGGTGAAGTATTCTGGTAAGTTCTATGGTATGCAAGTCAGCATGACTCCGCAGTCTGGAAATTTCTTGAAGCGTCTCTTTAGAACAATTACTCGTAAGAAGGTTCCTGAAACAACAAAAGTAATGGATAGCAACCAAAAAATGGAAAGAGCAGAAACGTTGCTCTCACCATAGTTTCATATCTGACAATAAGCAAGAAAGTGCATTGAAATATGGCGTCTGAAAGTAACAGTTGGACATATAAAGAATAACTAAAGGAATAAATACATGTATTTATTTATTACACAGGATGATCTACTGGCCACATCATCATTATGGCAAATTAAGCTTGATTTGAGTTACCTTTCAATTTTGACATTGTTGTCTAAAAGTGACACAGTCTGTTTTTTTCCCCTAGATGGAAGATGATTTGGCTGATCTTATGCTGGAAATAGGATATTCAAGCTGTGCAAGGTAAGGCAATATATAATAAATACTTGACTGTTGAGACTTACAAACTTTTGAGCCTCAGCAAATGCATTCTGCCCAACACAGTACTTCATTGGAATCCAATCATCTCTATTAGACCTTTGTCTGGGAAGCCATGGACATCTATAAGTTCTTGGATCAGTTAAATGACTCAACAAAATGCATTTTTCGCAGTACATTGCTAATGAGATGTTACCTCACATGTTAAAGTGATTTCTCTGGAACTCTATGAATGGATGCACCTTTTAGCCAAATTTTGTTGTGATAATCTATTGGTACACTCTATTGTATGTTGTAATTTGGTCAGCCATTCAGTTGATGCGGGGTTTAAGATATGGTTTCAGTGCAGAGGAAAGATCAAAAGGATTTGTGCTTGTTGTACCACTGCCTAGTCATTGGGTATAAGTGGAAAATATGTTTCAGGAGTTTTTTCCCATGCATATCCATAGCTTTTATTTAATCTTTCTAGTGTTGAAGACTGTCAAGATACCTTGACTAACTTTGGTGTTCAAGACATCACACCAGCATCAGTAGCCAGAGTACTTGGTAAGTATCCATCTTAGAGACTATTGCTTTTTTGTTACCTTTAGTTGTTTATTTTCTCTAGCTTAAATAATATTGTGCTTTGTTCCAGGAGAGAAGTTCTGTTGATGAAAGAAAAAACAATTTATAATTATCTAGAAAGTCAAGCACTAAAACAAAATGTTGAATTTTGCATGGAAGTGTTTATTTTTGCTTCAGGGATGATGGTCAAAACAGTGTTTGGTCTTGGTGAACATGTTATTGTACAGGTATGAATGAGTCATTTTTAATGTTGTTAAAGTTTGTGTAATAAACCACACAAGCTCTGCTGTTTGGTTTGGGTCTTTATGAGTGTGATGATTTTGTACATACATGTCACAGTCTGTATATTATTCCTTGTCAATGTTAACACTCTGTCTTATTACAGAATTATGGAAATAGTTCAGTTTCATTAGACAAATTGGGACTCAGTGAACTTACCCCAGGTCCTGCTACATGGAATGTGGAAGTTTTTGTTCAAGCATTGAGGGAAGTGGTGAGTAAATGGACAAAAATCAAGGACATTTTGAAGTGTGGAACAAGGCTCTGAGCATAACTTTCTTTTTAATTGCCTATTGCCATCTGAAATCATTAAATGTTTGTCAGAAAGGAAATATTATGTTGAAGCAATGAGAGATCAGAATTGTGAGAAAATGAAATTCTGGCAATGACTGCAATATGTTTCACTGAGTTTTGTTGTTTTCAATTTGCTAGATTCCATTATTCAACTGGCGCCAAGTGATTCAAGAGTTAGATTATCCTGAGTTTGTTGTTCCGAGTCGGGAAGGGCTTCAGCTATTGTTAACTGCTTGTCACAGGGGACTGATGGAGATATTTCCAGTGGATGTTCTCTACAGAACCTGGACCAACACAGAAGGCCAGGTTAGCTCATACTTCTGTATCTTATTCTTCTAGTGTTTTATCAACCAGAATCTAATCAGGGTTCTTTTTGTGCTTTTAGCTTTCCTGGATCCAACAGATCCTTGCCAGTCCAGATCTGTTCTGTTTTGCTGACTATCCATGTCACACAGTAGTAATAGACCTACTTAAGACAGCCCCTGAGGATGATAATAGAGAGATTGCAACATGGTAACTATGGCACTATTGAGATGTCCAAAGGTCATTTATTGCTTATTCTGGAATGGCAATGTTCTAAAACTAGCCTAAGGTCTTTTTTTTAACTGTAATAATATTGATTTAGAGCAGAGGAAATATTTAAAGGAGTGAATTGGAACTCAATGTGAAAATACTCAAATGCTAAAGCCTGTCAAAACAGACTGTAAGTGACAAAGCCACAATAATTTCAGCTTTGGTGTTCATTTCCAAGAAAAGGCAAATTTATCAATTACTTTAGGTGCCTGAGAGTTGTGGATTAATCCAGTTTTCATAAAAAATAATTTAAAAAATAACTATATTTTAGCATGCATTTTAGCTCAACAGTTTTCCTTTTACATGGCACTTTTGTTTTGTTTGTGGTCATTAGTGCTCCAAGTATATGTACCAAATTAGGTCTTCATTTCCCCTGTATCACTTATGATTTTGCTGATACCTTACTGACTTAAGCATAATTCTCTTAAAACTTCATGATATCATTTTTGTATTTTTCTTGCAGGAAATCTCTCAATCTGTCAGAAACCTTGTTAAGACTAGCAGAGGCTGGTCACTACGACACAGTAAAATCTTTGTTTAATTTTCCTTTGAAGCACTGCCCAGATGTTCTGCTGCTTGCCTTGCTGCAGATAAATGTAGGTTGAGATTTGTTCAGTTTTAGCTATTATAGAAATAAGTCAACATTGTATCATTTTGGTTGCCAGCTGCTTTACATGGTTAAAGACAAGTAGATACCTTTACAAACCTTCATAACAGTATTTTGAGATCTACTTTGGGTTGTTGAAAATTGCTACCACTTGGAAAGAAATCTTCACATCTATTAGTTTGCTGGGGTAGACAAACACCAAAACAAGAATAAACCTCTGGGGGACAATAATGGTCTGGAATGGATAAATTTAACAAGGAAAAGGAAATGGAAATGGTCAAGTTTTAAAAATTTCTAAGAAGTGCAAACCTTCCAAGATGCAACTTTTTACTACCAGCTCCTAGTTGGTAGCCTGTAGTGCACCTGGATGTGTCACTCAATACCTTAGGCAAAAACAGTAACGTGCATGTATGTATGCAGGCTGTCTGTGGTGCAGACTTCTTGATGAAGGCTGCTCCCATGTTTAGTAAATCCTGGCAACCCAGCCATGAGAAGAGATGAAAAACACTTTGAAAGCATTGAAAAGGGATTGGAAAGAGTAACAGTACCTGATAAATTAAGATAGAACACAGTTTTACTTTAATCTTTTGTAGAAAAAGGAATCCTGACGCTTGACCTTGGTCAGTTGACTGTTATCCATTTAAAATGTACAAAGACTTATTGATGTTGTTTTTTGCAGCCTCTATGGCTTTCACTTCGCAATGAGCTTGTGTCACAACTCATCCCAGTGTTTTTGGCTAACCATCCCAACTCTGGCAGTGTTTTGCATTATGTGTGGCATGGTCAGGTATGTGACAATCAACAGACAGCCTTACATAATTTTCAAAGTTAAATATAGATTAGATTGTTACTACAATCAAAGTTTTCTTGAAGGACACTGGGATAATATGCTGACAGTTCTACTATTGGTTGCATTCATGAAATCTGTTTTCTAAAGGTTAGTCTTTTCCATAGGGCCAATCAGCATCAATTCGCCAACTTGTGATGCAAGCCATGGCAGAATGGTATGTGAAAGGAGACATGGATCAAGGAAGGCTATCCAGGATCTTGGATGTGGCTCAGGACCTTAAGGTCAGAAACATTTTGTTCTGGCCACTGTATCAGTATGGCTCTCATTTATGTTTCTCACAGGCCCTATGAGAGCTGTCCAGAGGCATGTTTTGCTGCTTGGGCAATGGCATATGGTAGATTGTCCAACCATTCATTATAAAATCTAAAAAAAAAATAAATGAATGTGCTTACAGTTTCTTACTTTTTTCTTGCATTAATGGCAGAATGATTTGTTGATTTTCTTTCAGGCCCTGTCCATGCTTCTGAATGGATCTCCATTTGTGTTTGTAATTGACCTTGCTGCTCTGGCATCACGCCGAGAATACCTTAAGTTGGATAAGTGGCTAAAAGACAAACTTAAAGAGCATAAGGTGATGGAAAATTTCTTACTGTAATGTGAAATTTCAAGACAGGTGTACTTTTAAATGATATTGTGTGATTGTTAGGGCTAGAGAAGCCCTGAAAATGTTTGTTTTGTTGATTGTTGTTCTGTAGTGCAATTTGTTTTGAACGCTAAATTGGCCACTGTAAAGAGTTTCTAAAGCTGACATGGGGATAATGCTCCAAATATCAGCTTCAGAAACTCTTTATGGTGGCCAATTACATTATCAATTCACTTGATAAAATTAAATTTATCTCTTCTTGTAGAAACCTTACTCAGATAGTCACACTACAGAATCAAGTTTTACTCCTTCCCTTGGACCATTCACTGATCAATATTTTTGCTAGATTGTGTTGTAACCTCATTATTTTGTGGATCATTTCAGGAGGAATTTGCTCAATCATGTATTGTTTTCTTGAGACGTCGCTGTCCCTCTTTGCTCGGGGTTACTATTGACAAAGAACTTCCAAAGAGTGCTCAGCTTCCTCAGGAGACAGTGGTTACCATGCTTTCATGCCTCCAGGCATTTTTAAGGTCAGTGTTTGAAAGCACACTGTCATTCGTCTCTGAGAACATATGGTGAGGGTTATATTGTACAGGAAATGATACGTTCTTTGTTAAGGTCACCAAGGCTAAATGGAAATTGCTTGAATTTTATAGTCAAGCACCTCCAGAACTTGCAGAAACCATCAGTCAGATGTTGACTAACCATGGTCCCCTGGTGAAGGCGCGACCTAGTGCTGCTGTGGTTGGAATTCCATTCAAGAGACAAGGAAGCTTGGATGCAGGACTACCTCCAAACCTTTCTGGCCAGGTAGAATGGAGACTTTGAATATCAATCTCATGCACGATCCTTTTTCTAATTATTACTTATTATTTGTTTCTGTGTGTTTGTTTTTAGCTTGACCCTCTGACAGGGCTCAACATCCCTCAGTCACCTCTCCCTACAACCCCAGCCACACCCACTACCCAGTTACCATCATTCCCACCCCACCCCCTCACTGGTTCTGTACTCGGACCCACAAGCAGCCTTGGAGCTGTTGGTAGCATGAGCACAGGTCTGCCCCAGGCTGTACAAAAGCCACAGTCTCAGCTTGGACAGCTTCCTCTTACAACACCAGCAACATCAAGCTCAGGGCTACAGTCCCCAAGTTTCAGCTCTTCGCAGAATCCCCTGTTGTCGCAGCTTCATCAAGCAGGTGGGCTAGGACAGTCTATTGGTGGATCAGCACTGGATGCCAGGCTCTTAGTAGGCCTTGGAATCCAGAAACAGCTTGGGGGCTCTTTACTACAGCAACAACAACAGCAACAGCAAAGTGCTCTCCTCTCTCAGTCAAGAAATCAGGCAGATAAATTACGACAAGGTGAGAGTGAGTGCATTGAGCAGCCTCAAATTTTTGTCACTATGAGTGTGCATCAAGCACCACTTACGGCTTGGACTCCTCCCTTGTCACTCAGTGTTGTCGAGGGAATAGCCTGAAATCAAGAAAATGTTGTTTTTGTGGTTAAAAAAAGTTCAACCTTCTCACATTTCCTCTTTTTGTGATTGTCAGCTGCTTCCACAGCAGATGTTGCTCAAGTGTGGCCAGGTATGGATCAGTCCTTCACAAAAGAAGTAGAGGATGAGGCGAACTCGTACTTTCAGAGAATTTACAATCATCCCCCGAATCCTACCATCAGCATTGATGAGGTGCTCGAAATGCTGAAGAAATTCAAAGATTCACCTGTCAAGAAAGAGAGGGTGAGTACCGTTATTCCCGGAACAATTTGGGTGACAGTCAAATTTTTATATATATAGCAAGGTTTTGTCTAGTAAATTTAAATAAAATCAATAACGATCACTTTTTTTCTGTTCTCTTTTTAGGATATTTTTCTCTGCATGCTTCGCAATTTGTTTGAAGAGTACAGATTCTTTCCTCAGTATCCAGACAAAGAGCTTCACACAACTGCTTGCTTGTTTGGTGGAATAATTGAGCAGGGACTTGTAACGTAAGTCAATAGTAGTAGCCATCTTATTTTTTTTCAGGTTCAAATTACTGTAGCTGATATTATGGTCGATGATTAATCGAATAAATCTGTAGGTTTGAATATGGAAAGTATAACGTCCATATCTTTCAGGTACATGGCCCTTGGAATTGCTTTGCGTTATGTCCTGGAGGCCTTGAGGAAACCGTTTGGCTCAAAAATGTACATGTTTGGAATAGCTGGGCTCGATAGATTCAAGACAAGGTATATTATTCTAGATGCTTTTAATCTTAGTAGTGGTTAGGAAAAGTACACTCTGGAAACTGTTTAGTGTTTTTTATCTGCTTTCAAAGAGTGTATGTTAAAATTAACCACTGAACACGGTGAATGAAATTCCAAAAAGCGACAAAACACAAATTTTGTTTTACCTGTCAAAATGTCCAATTTCGGACGTCGTCATATTGAAAGCAACTCAGTGATTGTATAGACTTCAACCAAGATGGCGGCTCACATCTTACTTTTCTGGTTTCGCTTTGGTTATCGCAAATGTCATAAGGATGTCTGAAAACGTAGAATTACAATCTAAGAGTGTTTCTTTCCCTTTTCTTACTTTGTTATTAGTGGAGGGGAAAATTGAAATAAATATTTGGAGCTGATCTTTCCCTTAACATAATTCTTGTGAAGTGTTGTAGAGGCGATAATGAAGGTTCTTTGTTTTCAAACAGGCTCAAAGACTACCCGCACTACTGCCAGCATCTTGCATCAATCCCGCATTTTATGGAATTCCCGCCCACGTTAATAGAGTACATTGAGTATGGACAGCAATCTAGAGAGCCACCATTGGGGAGCAGAAATGTACAAGTAAGTGGCAGCAACATAAAATAAAATATTCTATATGTTTTAGCGCTTTGCTTTTTGTCTACCCTGACTAAATCCTAATGTTGAGGTGCACGTCAAGTCTTGTGTGAAAAGTTATTATGGAATTTCGATTCTTGGAACCTCCTGGGAAAATTTGGTGTGAAACAACTTTTTTTTAGTGGATAAGGGCTGAAATATTGTGAGTTTCGAGGGAGAGAGAAAAAGAACCTGCGAATTCTGGATTGTGCCTAATGTGTTAACCAACTTCTTTGTTCAAAGTTGATTTCACTTTTTCTCAAACTTCTAGGTAAGTTTTGATGAGAAAAATATTTCAATGTGTCTCTAGACAGAAGTTTCATATATTCAAATTTTTCTTTTCAAGAGCTAAGTCTCTCTTTGAGTGTATGCAGTAGTTCGGTATTGTATCAATATTATACGATTCAAGTGCATAAAACTCGCACCGCACTTTTGCGCTTATGTTCGTAACGTGGACAAATTCGCTGTCGCACCACCCTGTAATACTGCAATTTATGGAGTTTTTATCATTCAAGTTTTCAAAATAACGCCTAAATTGGTCTTCATTTAGCTGAATAAAGGGGTAAGTTTCTAAGGAAACTGTGGTGCTGCGTCGGTGGTAGAGTATAACAGGGTAATTTAGTATTATCAACTGAGTTGATAACGTAAATTGGCCTTCATTAAGAGTCTAAAAGCTGACGTTTCGAGCGTTAACCCTTCATGAGACCCATTTAACTGCTCTTACGAAGAGCTAACGCTCAAAACGTCAGCTTTTAAACTCTTTACGGAGGCCAATTTACGCGATCAACTAAGTTGATAATACCAAATTACTTCATTTAGCTGACCTTGTTTCCTCTTGATCCGAGAATCCTTATTTGGACCTTAACGTTGTTTCTTTTAATCTCCCAAGGACCCTTTGGCGTCAAGATTGCTCAACCGAGCTACTCCAACTCTGACCAGTGTATCAGGTACCTCGACCTTCACCAGCACAGCAGTCAGCAGACCGGTTCCCCTTGGTCCTTCCATTCCCTCCATCCCGTTAGGTTCAGGACCAGTGCCATCATTACCTCTGGTCCCCTCTGTCTCTTCAACGAACACTGCTGTATCGTCGCCTTCTAAACCAGTGACAACATCATGTATGGCTTCTGTCATCCCGATATAGAGTCCCGAGCTCAACTTTTATCAAATCCAAACTTGGTTAACCTAAAATCGTGAAATGTCCGCCAGATGTAAAATTTTAGTCGCCATCGTTTATGACATTGAATGCGATTGCTTATCTTATTATGAGGTTTAACCCGTAAACGCACACACGCTGGTCTGATTATCACTTTTCTTCATCTGGATTGAGAGTTTTTTCTCCTTTCATTTTCCAAAAAGGAAGTTGTTTCTTGAGTCAAAGAGGGCAAATTTTACATAACAGTTTGCTTGATCCGACGGAAAATGTCTATCTGCCATGAAACGAAATAACCGTTGTGATATTCCATTTTCACATACCAGTCATGCGTGACATTATGCATATAACAGAGTAAAATGCCCGAATACTGAATGACTTTAACAAGCAGATTGTTGCCACAATAAGCAGGATACGTGCCAAATCCACGTATGGATAAGGGAGGGGTAGATACTGATTTGAATCGGTTTAAAAAAACCTTATTGGATGAACTAACAGGCTGTTTAGCTGCACATTAGTATGTTTTTCATCATCCTCATCGTTTCAGTAGAGTACAACAGTTCTTTTATTAATCCTTTGACCCCTAAGAGTGACCAGCATCTAATTTCTCCTTACAATATCACCTCTGAATCAAAATCAAAGTCACGAGAATAATGGAAATGATCATCGACTAAAGAGGCTCTTGATTTTGAAATTAACTCTCATTGTGAGTACCTCGGAAAATGTATGGAGAACAGAGTGGAGAATATTTCTATTGATTTCAAGGTGTTAAGGGTTAAAAACAGGGACGACGGCAATCAATAACGTTACTGATTCATGGATTTATTTGATTTTAGCTGCATCTCCCGTTCGAGGCAAGGAACCATCCATTGCCACTGCAAACAATATTGATACCTTACTGGGTGCTACGGAATCGAGTGAAATAGTTCAACCACCAGAAAATATTCAAGATAAAGTACATTTTATCTTCAACAATATCTCCCAAGCCACTCTGTCACAGAAGGTTAGTGTGATGATTTTCCTTGTTATTCGGTATAAATTAGTTCTAATAAATTTCACAGACTTCACAGTCACTCTGAAAAATTTTATCACCTAAAGATGGCTTTAAAAAAATAGATTATTGAATAATGAATAAAAGGACATTTAGCTTGGTTTGTCTGTCACATTCTTGGTGGAAACTGATCGCTGCACTTAAAAGGTAAAGATTTCCCAAATCTTTCAAAACTGAATGAAGTAGCTTGCACCGAGAAAGTCCAAACTAGCTTCAGCAAGTGATCTGTGGCGAATATAGAGCAGTTTTCAATTGACTGTGCAAAGTAATCCTGGATTATATAGGATTTGCTTTACTTTTTTTCTATCATTGGTCCTGAAAACTTCCGCCACTCTCTCAACCAATCAGAGACACCAGAGACATGCGCTTCAGGCTTAAGGTTTTTACTTTGTGTACTCATTGGCTCTTAAAGTTATTTTTCTTCTTTCTGAGAGGCCTTTTTTAGACACTTTGCTTTTGATTATACAACACTCAATCGTAAACACCCTGATACACAGAATGGCATTAACTGCTCGTGCATTTCGTTGTTATTGTTCCTCAAGATGTTTTGAAAGTTTACGTTATTTGAAAACTTCTGACATATATCACGAAAGGTATACACGTTCACGCGATTTCTTATCTCTACGGGTCTTCGTTTGATTTACTTTCGCGTGTATTTCCTTCCAAGGCTGAAGAAATGAAAAATCTTGTCCAGAATGAGTACACTTTGTGGGTATCACAATACTTGGTGATGAAGAGAGCCAGCATTGAACCTAATTTCCATCAGCTTTACTTGGAGTTTATGGAATCACTCGACATTACAAACTTTTCCAAGGAAGTGCTTAAGGAAACATACAGAAACATCAAGGTGTGTAGCTATGAAATCATAGACTGTTTGACTCTTCAAGTTCTATCGCATCCTTACATCAGTATGCATATTCCCCTTACTGTTTTCCATACAATTCTTAAGGTACTGATTACGAGAATTCGTTTATTTAGGATTTTTTTTTTAGGTGGCGATTATTTCCTTTATTCTCAATACGTAAATGTGGGATTCAGGAGTAATGGTGTAGGGAGAAGTTAAGATACTAGTCACTCTAAGGGGTTCACGGGTTAACGGTTGATTGCTTTTTGCGTGAACCTAGCGCACAAAGTATTTCGTTTAGAAAGTAATTTTGTAAGCGAGATCTTTTTATTGAACTTTAAAATGTGTAAGAAATGGTTTAATACAGTTGTGATTGTGATTTCACAACCAAGCGTACATCTAACTCGGAACAAGGGATAAAAATAAACTTTCGAGTTAACTTATTTTGAGACTTGCTGAACAACTGCTTAGTAAAGCTACAGCAATTTATCAGGCATTTGTCGTTGAAAATACAACAACTAGAAGCCATGATAACTCACTAGGTATTGGCCAACATAAGTAGCTATCTGCAGGATTGTATATCCAGGAGATTTATTTCCCCAACTCTTTTGACTACTAGAGGTGGCCAAAAAGATTTTTCGGTCAACCGTATAAATGCGTTTCAAGAAAGAAGGTATTATGACGGTTTAGAAAAATCTCACTGGGGGATTAATTTCTGATTTAACACCGAATTCTCTGAACTGAAATTACGTGAAATGTACAGCAGACAGTGCAGAAAAATGTTACTTAGATCCTTAAAGTGAAAATGTTAAGGTAACAGACGCTGAAGGTTTAAGTGTTACGACCCGTTTTGTTAATACTTATACTATTTACGCAAACTTCTTTAGGTGCTTCTACAGTCCGACAAAGTCCCGGCAAACTTCTCTGACCGATCGTTGCTAAAGAACCTCGGCCACTGGTTGGGACTCCAGACCTTGGCCAGAAACAAACCTATACTAATGAAGGTACTGTTCAAGTGATAGCTTGACTCTACAGTTGTTGTTGACTTTATCTGGTGAAATTCGGTCGAAATCTTTTGTATTTCTTTTGTCTGTGGTGGCTATCTAAAATATGAAGAATAAAAACTTAAAAAAGTATGTGGTGATTGGTTAACGTTCGTGTGTCAACGTTCGTGTTGTCCTGAAAAGGATTCCTCTCAGGGTGAGTGGCAGATGTGTCAGCAACCTGAGAGGACGTCATTATCGGAGTAAAGTGGTAAAGTTTATTAAAAAGCATTTATTACACTTATTTGCCACCTATTTGCACATGAGGTCATAGGGTTTTAAGGGCTAAAACCGTCATTTTGATCGTTTTGTTTTTGTCAGGATCTTGATGTAAAGTCGTTGATTATCGAAGCGTACTTTAAAGGACAGCAGGTATGCCGATTGGAGAATTATTTTGTATTATTTTTTTTGAAATGTGAGGTAATTTTTTCCGCGGAAGTGCTGCTAAATAACCTACGTAATGAAACGTAAGTATTTAATTCTTACTCTGGGTAGCACACTTTGAGTCCAGATAAATGAACGTAAGACACCTGGATTATATCATTGGGAATGAGACAAGACTATTGGTTTTGGAGCCATGCGGCAATTCGTCTTGACAGGGCGTGAAATTGCGCCTAATACAGGCGCCAATGCGACTAAATTTTTTACTTTGGCGACCAAATCCTGAAAATTAGTCGCCAAATTGGCGACTAGAATATTTCATCATAACCCTTTCCTAGAGATATAGTAAATTAAAAAGATTTGCAAAGATAAATCCGCGGCAAACTTCCTCATTAAGTTTGTTTCCAAAACGCAGCACATGCATCTCGATCAATAACTAGATTTAGGATGGATTTAGGTAGTTTGAACGTTGCATATCATGCATTCTATTGTCCACTTTGTAGCACGTTAAAGATCTTTTCCCTAACTTAATTTCTAGAACGATGACAGCGTAAAAAAAGGGTTTGTTTGTCTTTGAAAATGGCGACCAACTTTTTTTGATTGGCTACCACTTTGGAGAATTTAGGAGCCAAGTGGCTATCAGAAAAAAAAAAGTAATTTCCAGCCCTGTGGTACTGGAGTTAGTGTTGACCCGTTCATTGTTATTTTGCCCTCAAGAATCAAGTAACGGAGAGTAACCGCTGGTCAAAATGTGAATCAGTGCTTACCAGGTTTTGTTTGTTTGCTTACTCCATAAAAGGAAATGCTCTATGTTGTTCCATTTGTGGCGAAAATCATAGAATCCTCAGCCAAGAGTAGAGTGTTTAGGCCGCCCAACCCGTGGGTGATGGCCATCATGTCAGTGTTGGTTGAGCTGCATCAAGTACCTGACTTGAAGGTGAGTAATTATAGGAGTTAGAGACGGACGGACGGACGTTCTGGACAGAGGCCGCATACGGTTCAGTCGTGGATTAAGAGTATTTTTCGCTGGAGCAGGGAGCCGATCTCTTGTCCGTAGTGTTGGTTTTTAAAGTTGATAAAAATCGCAATATTTTAGAGCAGCTGCACGGACCTTTCAGAAGTCGCTCGTTTTTCAAAACTGCCCTTTTAACGCTCTTTAATATCTTTGGTATAAATTATTCTCTTTCCGTGGTCCTTCCGTGTTTTTTGCTCTCCTTCTTTCGTCTTCCTCATTTCCCCCTCATTTCCTCTCATTCCTTCTTTATCCGCCTTCCTTCTCCTCCTCCTTGCCAAATCTTCTCGCCTCCTCTCTCTCATTTACAACCCTTCTCTCCATATATTCAAACCTTTTGTCCTTAATAATGCACATGATATATTCATGAAGTATTGTACCATTCTTTGCTTTCGTAAACTTTTCTCTTTTTCCCTTATTGTAGCTGAATCTTAAATTTGAAGTAGAAGTCCTTTGCAACACGCTATCCATTGAGATGAAGGTAAGACATGTCTCAGTGAACCCTTACCATGTCCAAGGAACAAGTGTCATCGTAGCTGTTATATTAATGTTCCCCAATTTTGTCTCCCGCATTGCTCAACCAGGTGCACAAGAATGTTTGTACCTTAACGCCTCACCAGCCGAGCCGTAAGGTCACTTATTTAATTTAAAAATATGTACAGATATGAACCGAGTTAAAAGAAAGATTAAATGCACCAAAGCCGAGCCGCCAAGATGTCATCCGTGGGGTTGAAGGGTTGAAGGGTAGCCCTTTGTTTATACCAATGAATAGACGTCACTGTACGGAGGCTATATTCGCTAGGAAACCGAAAACCACATGATGATATCAAACGAGAATTTATCGTTACCGTGACACGGCAAAGGCTGACCTTGAGCTCCAAATTACGAACCTTAAGCTCGTAACATTCTGTGCGCCTGTGGCTCTTCCTCAGATCTCTGATACGTGCCGGGCGTCATGGTCATTTATGATAATCACAGTGCTACTTAGGTAACGAACGAAGTTTTGGACTTAAAATGAAGTAGTAGTCTGTGAACAATTCTTTATCAGATGTTTCATCTTTTTGTCGTTATTAAGTTTTTTTTTTTTTTCAAGGAAATTAAAGCTTCAGAGCTGCTCAAGGATCCTGAAAAACTGAAGCACATCCCTCACCAGTTGTCTTCTCCAGAGAAAGACAAACAGAGTAAGTGCTTAAATTATATACAACTTCTCATCATTCATGAATTTCTTTTGATTCTAAGTGCAACATGTTGGAATTATTTCAACACTTTGACAGTCCTTCGATTATTCTTTGCCAAGAGGCTTTTAAGAGTAGAATACTGTCCTAATTTTCGCATTTTAAGCGAAGAAACGCGAATATGAAAAATGAATCTGCCCTCATCTAAAGCGTTAACGACGGATGTGCTTTTTTTTTAACCTGCAATATACCCTTAGGCTTGGCTGCGCGCAATTTTTGTTTGTTTTTAATTACTCATTCCACAATGCGCTGCTAGTTTGTTGTTTTATTGTTTCCTCGGGTTTAGCGAAAATTACACTGCATCTACATCTAGAAGAGTTCACACTAACCATATTTTTCCAGCTGAAGTAATGATTGTTTCGTTGTATTTCATCCTTGTCTCCAATTAGCTGCGGCTAGTAGCAGTTCTACGCCTACCCCCACAGGTTCATCTCAACAAGGACAGCCTCCTGTGGCACCTCCACCCCCTCAGTATTCATATCAGGAGATTAATGTAGCCTCACTCGCAGGGCTGGCACCACACATTCAGGTTAACACGCAGGTATGTCATCGTCCAAGATGTGAGAGCTAAAATCCGCAGATTTGAAATCTTCCCTTACTTACAGTACTTCAATGTCATCATAAAGGTCTAAGGCCTTGATAAGAGTGCTGAAGAAGAGTATAATAGTCATATTTAGCGTGTTACGAACTGTCTGGAACAAAAAGGATGCTACTGGCTTAGCATTGAGAACTTTTGGGTTGATTTCAGATGATTAGATTAAAAGATTTCGGCAAAATGTCTCGATTTTCACAACCTGTGATGTGTAGCATGAGTGTATTACAAGAAGATTTGTGGATGTTTAATCGCATTGCCATGATTATAATATTTAAACAAAGGAGCAAACGAACGAGAGCACGAACGAGCGGACCACTATGTGTTTCTTAGCGTCAATTTTTCTCTGCCACCAGATCCCACTGTTCCAGCAGCACCCACATCTTAAACAGTTTGTACGTCCAGCTATTGAGAGAGCCGTGCAAGAGCTTGTTCATCCAGTGGTGGAGAGATCCATTAAGATTTGCCTTACCACAGCTGAGATGATAGTGAAGAAGGTGGGTTTCGGTGTGAAATGGACGGTATTGTTTGAGTTTTCGATCCTGTTATAGACTACGAGCAGTTCCCCTTTTCGGCGGAGTCTGTCGTGCGAGTCAAGAAAGATCACTAATTCGCCCCCCCCATCACTCTTGGAGGGGCCCCCTGCGGCGCACCAACATAATTTTATTATTTCACGGTTTATTTTTTCCGATTCGCGCGAGGGACTTCGCCGAAAAGGAGGGAATGCTCGTGATCTAATTCTTTAGCAGGTTTTTGCGTCGTCTTGGTAACCGGATTGGATTTTTTTCTCTCCAAAGGATTTTGCCTTGGATCCGGAAGAGTCCCGAATGAGAGCCGCCGCCCATCACATGGTCCGCTTCATGACAGCAGGCATGGCTCTGATCACGTGTAGGGAACCGCTCCTTATTAGCATCAATAACAATCTTAGATCGAACTTCCAGGCTGCTCTGAGGGTGAGTATGATAATTAAATCGAGCAAAATCACGCGGAGCGATTAGATCCTTTGTATAGACTACATTCTGTTAGTTATCATCACTCAAATTTCGAAAATCCCTGGAGGAACACAGGGTTAGCAAATCTTGTGCCTCAAAGTTTTCTTGTTTGTTTGTCTTTTTTATCTATATATCACTGAAATAACCCTTAGGACGTCAAAAAAGCATGGAAGCAATACTTTAGAGCCAAAACCATCATCCCCAAAAGAAGACATAAACTAGGGTTTAATAATCTGAAAGAGATCTATTTAGGAGAAAGGTCAATTCAGGGGAGTCCATTCCGGAGGGAATACGTTGTGTAAAATCTTGTAACAAAATCTTTGACTTCAGGGTGCTAACCAGCAGCAAAAGGAATTGATTGAACAAGCTGCATCTGTCATCAGTGAGGAGAACACAGAACTGGCGTGTGCATTCATTCAGAAGACAGCGGTAGAGAAAGCTTTACCTGAGATGGACAAACGTCTCACTACAGTAAGGAGTGTGGTTGTAGACTCTGATTTCTAATATGTACTGTACAATACGCTCTGTAGAACGCACTTCGATTGAGCCTCGATAAAAACAAAACTGAGGCAATCGAATGGGGTCAGAGATTACAAAGACGAACATTACAAGGAACCAATGAGAATTAAAATGGATTGTAGTAAACTGCTTAAAGGTTTAAAAATATGCGTGACTAAGCACCGGATTCGCTTTGGTTTTGTGTCTGATTGATTGATATAAGGGCGGTTTTTCTGTTGACCACCAAGTTGTTTTACATGGATTAATGTGTTTTGCAGGAGTTTGACGTTCGTCGCCATGCTCGTAGTGAGGGACGGCGGTACTGTGATCCAGTGGTTTTAACATATCAGGCAGAGCGCATGCCTGAACAGATTCGACTGAAGGTAAGCGTAATTGGATAGTGCTGTCTGTAATCCTCGTTTCAAGCCTCCAAACCAATTTGAGTTCACAAAGCAGATTAATACCTTGTGTATGAAATGAAATTGGAATATGAGTTACCGACTGATTAAGCCGAATATCTCGGATAAATCTCGATACAATTTTCATCCAAAGAGTTAAAATGCACGCGACACCTTCTTGTAACTTGTGGATGCTTATCCGTGTCAGGTTGGTGGAGTAAACGCCAGTCAAACAGCTGTGTATGAAGAGTTTGCACGAAGTATTCCTGGATTCCAACCTCCAGCTGCAGGCGAAGCCATCTCCACTCCACCTCTGCCGAAACCTGTCCAGTACGAACATGGAATACTCGGCAATGCTGAGGTGGGTTGGAAAATTTTTTTGGATTCAGAGATTTTAATTGTTTCAAGTAAAGATGGTTTCAAAGTTGTGTGGAGCAATTCTAGTACCTCATTGTGGTTGATAGTCAAGCATGGACGATTGGGTAATTGTTTTAGAATTGAAGTGACAAGTTCAACTAAACTCGTCGCTGCTTAAACCGCAAGTTGTTCTGTGAAAGTATTGATTACTCCCAAACTCCGTTGTGGCAGGTTCTTTGCGCTCTTGGCGAGAGGATTTTGAGGCGGTTGTTTTTTTACCATCCTCAAGCGCTTTGGTAGCTATTGACTGAAACGTCTCTCCCTGTATTCTTGTCGTCCACCGATTATTTATGCACTATTGATGATTGCCTGAAAGGTGACTCAAGGCAGGCTGGGTTGCACAAATTTGTTAGCCATATGAGGATTACTTTATCTGGCGGCTGGCTAGCCACAATTTGGGGAGTTCTCTGGGCTCCCAACGGGGCAGCTTTTGTTACCATCTGTTTCTGTCAAGTTTCAGGAGCAGTACACTTCACTTTTCCTATGGATGAAGAGGTTACTTATGTATATGAGGCTAATTGTTGTTATTAATTTTTTTGTCATTTTTTTTTTCACCAGGCCTTTATGCCTGAGGAGGTGGTACAGATTCTCGGTAAGTGTGCAGCAGAAATCGAACAACATCTGCACGCCATCATCGCTCCGCCCACCAATCAGCATGTCGTCACTATACACAGCCTGCTGGACGCTGTAGTGCAGGCGCGAATTTCAAGAGACAACATGACTGCTCTGAGGCTGTTACACAAGGTTTGTGGAGTCAAACATCGTTTTATGTGGTCAGATTAGATGCTGTCACTTTTAATAACAGGACACACTTCAACATGATGTAAATGACCACCTGGACATACAGTGGAGGCTCGAGCTGCTTATTGCTTTGCCCCACTTACCGGTAGTCCTACGACCTCTTTTGGGGTTGAAACTATGCTAAGTGTACACAAAACCGGCTAATTTTTCGTTTGCTTTGTGTTAGGCTGTAGAGGGTCTTCTTGAAGGAGTTGCGCCATTAGCTACTGATGCAGAGTTGTCTCTAAGATATCGTGATTGTCACCTGATAGTACTTAGAGGACTACAGGACCCCAGAGGATATGGACCCATGTGGACCGCCCGTCACGTGACCAAGTTAGTAACAGGAACCGTTCATAACGTTGTTTTTCCATTCCACGTAAAAAGTGATTTTTTCCAATTTACACTACCTTTACTATGAGGTGGTGTCTTCAAGTTGGTGTTTCATGGGCAGATAGGTTTTCATACACGTAGACAACACTGTCAAGACAAGGATAGTAGGGAATGTTAGGATAAAACACCAGTTTTCCTTTAGAACAATCAAATAAATTTATAGATATCAGTTAAGAGATTTAGTATTTAGATAGGGTGGGAAAAGTTGGCTGATTTATTTATTTATTTATTTATTTGCCCTTAAAAACCTCGGGATTGAATACCATGGCTTGACATGGTGCCATGAAATCTAATTTTGCTTTTTCTAAAATTTTTTCCAGGTTCGTGTGTGATTGTCCACCTGACTTGAAGTTTAATGTAGACGCCATTGACATTTTGATCCGTAGCCACTTGATCAATATGAGAGAGTTTGATCTTCATCTTGTTCAGGTGTGTTAGCTATGTGTGGTCATCTACACAGATCGATTTCCACTTGAGTGTATTTCGATTAAGTACTGTGGTCCTAAAACTAATTATATTGTGAGTGCCAAACGGAACAAGGAAAAGCTTAACAGAGCCGATTATAATTCATTGTAAAAACAATCAAACTACCAGAAGTGCGAGAAATCGCGAATGACTTAGTTGCGGTTGGTTTTGGTTTCGCATCTGATTGGTGGAGAGTGTAGCTTGAGTAGTTTCAACCAATCGCAGAGCAAAGAACACCCATGCAATCCCGGATGACGTATGACGCCCAATTGAATTGTTTTGTTAAAATTTCAAGTTCAATTTTGTGATTATTATTTCCTTTTATTTGACTTAACGGTTTTTGTTTGTTTGTTTCGTTTCTAGTGTATTGACAATGGTCACAATCTGCAGGCACTTCACTTTGCTATTCAGCTTGCTAAATACGTTTCCGATGAGAAGCACAGTCCACATGTCACAGAGGTAAAGGCGGTTTTAAGTGCGAAGTATCAATACACATTAACAAACATTTATGTCATCTAAGTCGATGTTTTAAGATTTGATGACGTGGGAAAAAACGGAAAATGCGGCTGAGCAAGGAATGTTAGGCTTTCGGTGTTAAATATCATCTCTTACAATAGCTATAATTTTATGTGATATTTTTATTGTCTCTTTTAATTGTAGAATGATCTTTATCACACAATTGAAGCTCTAACGAGGATAGCTCACAGCAGGCAGAATAATGAAGGGTACGTTTCTTATTATCTGTTGAAGGTCGCCTATCAAATTGTTTCACTCTAGAAGAATCCGCTACATCCTGCTATACTCTCGACACTCGAATCGAACTGTTCCCTAATGCCTAATATTGTTATTTTCTTTTCTTTAAACAATCTTCCAGTTTGTCCTCTTTGTTGGAAGCCTCACACAATGGCCCTCCTTCCCAGTCTGTCGGCGGAGGGCACCACGAAATGGGTGACAACAAGGCACCTGGAGGGCCTACATCTTTGACCTCTAGTGTGTCATCTGGTGTGAGCTCCAATTTCCATGGTTACGAGGATCCACCTGGTCTGCACGAAAAGGTAACAGAGTTATTGTTATATAGCTGTGCTAGTGATGAATTGAAACCAGTGAGGACCATGATGATGAAATTAATTTTGTTTCGTATGATTTTATGAAGATGACCACAGGATTAAGTGTCGTTTTTTATGTTCTCTTGGTGTTATTAAGCCGTATCTTGATTTTCAGGTGGAGTACTTGTTACGAGAATGGGTGCGGCTTTGCCACCAGCCCGGAGCAGGGAAGGAAAGTGAGAAGGCCTTCTCAACATTCGTTGCCCTGGTCAGTCCTTTCGTCTTTGTTGTGTGATTTGTTTTGTGGTCAATGGAAAATGGTAGACGTCATTTGTTGTGATTAATATTTTATCGTATTAAAAAGAGAAATACCTTAAGTTAGTCCTGTCTCAAAACTACCAAAATTATTGAATAGGTAGAGAAAATAAAATGAAAATACCAGGAGAATTCAGTGTCTAACAGCTGCTTCTGTATTTATTTATTGTAGCTTCATCAGCAAGGCATTCTGAGAACTGATGATCTGATCACAAGGTTTTTCCGGATCAGTACTGAGTTGTGTGTGGAGGTGACATACAGAGCTTTGGGAGATCATGTAAGCTCCTTATTATTTCCTTTCGTACCGAGCCAGAACTACAGGAAGCACTCCAACCAATCACAACAAAGATCAACACCGTAAAGAGTAAATGATCCCTAATTGGCTAAAGATTTTGCATCTGATATGGTTGAGAGGTCGCTGCGAGTTCTCTAGAAAAATTACAAAGCGCAGTAAAACAAAATTAATGCAATCTGGAAAATATATTGTTTTAAAGTGCGCGTGAAGAAGTTGTTTGCCCTCCGAACTTCGTGAGATTGAACCTGCTCTTTGCCCCCTCTGCATAGCAGTACCGTTCAATAAGTGTCAAGGTTGTTCAGAAATCTTTCAAAAGGCTGTTTTCTACCGAAACAGAATCATCCTGTCTTTCGGTGCAATAACATGACTAGCTTCTTTCAATCCAATGGTTACAGGTTTGAAAAGTGTATCATCCACATTAGAGAAAAAACACTGTGCAGTGTCGTATGAAACTCTAGTTTTCAGTAGCTTTGGGTTTAACAGTACCCCTAACTCGTTACTTTCCTTTCCCAATTTCAGCCCAACAGCCCCACCGTGGCGAGGGCCAAGTGTCACAACACCCTGGATGCTTACTGTCGTTTGATAGCGCTCCTGGTGCGTCACTCAGGAGATGCCTCCAACAATGTGACCAAGATTAACCTCCTCAGCAGAGTGAGTCACTGTTGCTTTAACAACTTGTAGTTCTCAGATGATTTTACTGTAGTCATGATCAAATCTCGTAATGATGTGCCTATCTTAATAGGTCCTTGGCACAGTCGCTACGGTGTTATTCCAAGATCATGAGATTCGTCACACGGAGTTTCAACAGCTGCCTTATCACAGAATCTTTATAATGCTGCTTGTAGAGCTAAACCAACCCGAACCCATCCTGGAAGCTATAAATTTCCAGGTCCTGCAAACTTTTAGGTAAGCATTTTTTCACCTCTGAAATGAATGGCTTGAGTGAGTTAAATCATTTGTCCCGAATCATGATTTAGAGTCTATCATCTATTAATCACGATTATTACTTCTAGGTGTGCATGAGTACGGGACTTTTCTGCTAAATTTCACGTTAATAATAAAAGTTTATGTTGCTTAGTGATCACTCTGTAGATCTAAACATCTAAGAAATTGTTTATATTAGCACTGTGTTCCATGCCCTCCGGCCATCCCGTGCATCAGGGTTCGCATACGCCTGGCTTGAGCTCATATCGCATCGCCTCCTGATGTCCAAGCTGCTTCTAAACACACCGCAGCAGAAGGTAAGTTGGATCAGAAAGTGAGTTTGATTCAACGTGTTCAGAAATCGTGCATTACACAGCACGCTCTAGGCAAGATGAGAGGCAAACAAATCGTTGAAACTAAGTTATCCAACAAGTTGTTTTGAGGTTCTGCAATTCATACCATGTTTGGGCAGTGATATATCATTGGATTAATACTTTATTTAACCCGATGCTGAATAAAAACCTGTTGTCGTGTTATCAACAATCTTCGTTTTACCAGATTTTAAACTCGTAAGAAGAAAACGTAAGAGACACTTGAGTAACTAAGGTGATGTTAACATTGTCACCCTTTTCTCACCATGAACCATCTATACGCGATTTTTTGATCGCGCTTGGGAATGTGTATTGAAATTTTTGTTCGTTTATTTGTTTCTAGGGCTGGGTTTTGTTTCAACAGCTGCTAATCGATCTTTTCAAGTTTTTGGCTCCATTCCTGAGGAACGCTGAGTTAGCTAAACAGACTCACTTGCTTTATAAGGTTGGCAGAGACAGCTGTAGAGCTTCGATTTTGTGAAACTTTTTTGTTCTTTTTTTTTTTTCAAAAAAGTTTACTTTCATGGATGGTTTGTTACGGAAAACCTTAATACTGAACAGTTTTATAAGTTGATCATTTGATCCCTTAGAGTGACTAGCATCTTAATTCTCCCTATAATATCACCCTTTGTGTTAACAAATTGGGAAATGTATATAGAACAGTATGGTGAATATGCATACTTATTATCCAACTGTACAAAGCAGAGTACAAATAACGCGCGAATAGAGTGCAAATATCCAGTGATATTGCCGAATATAGCAGGATATTGGTTATTTTGTACCGTAAAAGACCTGTTGAACTAGTCGGCTGCACGCGCTACGCTTCTCTATCCGCTTTGCTTTTCTCGTCTTATGAGAAAGACTTGGCAACAAAAAGCCGTTGGATGATAAATAACTTATTAGACGTTTTGGTGCGAAGTATCGTTGAATATTTTTACCCGTTGATTGTAATTTGACACGCTCGTAGGCCCCACTGTCGTCTAAGACTTCGAATTTATCTTCCTACGTCCCCCAAATAAAAAATAGTGAAGCAGTAGTTAAAATGGTTAAAAGTTTGGTTTAGGTAACGTTTCAGTTCAAAACATACTTATATTTGGATTTCCGCTCGAATTATCTGAGAATTTTCGCCAAACAAATGCAGTGTTTGCGGAAACAGTATTCTTTAGATCAAGGCGATAAAATCAGTTTCTTGTAATGTTGATTGATTTCAGGTACAGTTTGTTTTAGGTAACGTGTCGTTGATGTTCTCTGCATTTTTATTTTTAGGGTACACTACGCGTGTTGTTGGTCCTGCTTCATGACTTCCCAGAGTTCCTATGTGATTACCACTTCAGTTTCTGTGACGTCATCCCTCCCAACTGTATTCAGATGAGGAATCTTATCCTTAGTGCTTTCCCTCGGAACATGAGACTCCCAGACCCCTTCACGCCAAATTTGAAGGTAACGTCTCTAATTTAATTTGGAAAACTGGCGCAGATTGGGTATTATCTTTATATGGCAGTTTTTTTTATTTTGTTTTGTTTTGTTTCGTTTTTGCTTTCTAATAGACCAGTGTGGAAAGGGTGCATGGCTGTGTGTGTTAAGTAAAGCTACTAAAGCGGTCACGAGATTTGCACGCACTGAATGGAGGGCTTTTCGATCGAGCGTCGTTAAACAAAAGCAAAGCAATCAATCAGCCAATCAGGGCATAAGAAAATACTACAAGGAGCTTATGAGAACTTGAAGGAAATACTAGGGAACTGTGCTCTTCAGACAAATCACAGAGCTTACTGAAATAACACATGTGAACTAGCGGATTGCTTTCGATTCCCAATGATATCTCCATTTTTCACATTGTCTGAAATTCTGGTTCACAGGCAAAAGTTCTTGTTAATTCTTGCCCTCTGATTATACAGGTTGATTTGCTGACTGACATCGCTCATTCGCCACGTATCCTGACAAACTTTGCCTCTGCTATCCAGCCTGCGAACTTCAAAAAGGTAAAATAGACTGGGAAGTCTGCCTGATCTAATATCCGACAGAACTTAAAGAATTTTAGCTAAGCTCGATATTTCTTTTTTTGTTTCTGTACAGGATTTAGATTCGTATCTGAAGACACGTGCTCCAGTAACCTTCCTGACGGAACTCAGAACGCATTTGCAGGTAATGTCTGTTTCTTTCGATTTTTTATGATTTTATTCATGACGGTGTAAAAAGAAAATGAAAAGATCCTTGGGAGGTTAGGAAGGACATCGCAATGAAAGCAATGTTTATTATGACTTAGAGGCAAAGTCACCGCGGTTTTTTAAGAAGCTGTAGTAACGACCTGTAAAAGCAACAGGAGCATTTTTTTAATCCGCATTTAAGGGAGCTAAGAAAGCGCAAAGTATCTCATCTGGCTTTTTTGTGAGTGTAATTGTTTTAATTATATCTTGTCTAATTAGGTATCCAATGAAGCTGGAACGCGTTACAACGTACCTTTGATGAATGCCTTGGTCCTTTACGTCGGAACGCAAGCCATTACTTACATTCACAGTAAGAGCGGTACCCCCTCCATGTCAACCATCACTCATTCGTCGCACATGGACATCTTCCAAAATCTGGCTGTGGATTTGGATACCGAAGGTACAGACTTTATCTGTAAACGAACGGCATTGAGTGGAAAACGGGAGGTTATTTTTCTCACAGAGGAACTTTTTAATTGGGATTGAATTGATTTGCTGTATAACGCCTGGGGATTGGGCTAGAAACTGCGTCACTGTCATATCCTCAGCCAATCAGATACAGAATTGAAACCAATCACGACTTCATCACTTGCATTTGTGTTTACTTTTATTTCGTATTTTTCGCTGTGATATATCCTTCTATTTCTCCTTCGGTAACTGTGGTCCTCTTTTTTCGGCATTGTAGTGCTGTAGCATTAGGTAGTCTGATGGATGACAAAGTTACTTTTGCCTCTCCAGGTCGATACCTATTCTTAAATGCGATTGCAAATCAGCTGCGTTATCCAAACAGCCACACACATTACTTCAGTTGTGTTCTGCTGTATCTCTTTGCCGAAGCAAACACAGAAGCCATACAAGAACAGATTACAAGGTGCGTACACATTCTTCCAAGGCTATCCTTTGCTGATACCATTTTGTTCAGAATAACTCATCCTTTTGGCCAATGCTCCAAGATTAAGAGGCGCTGCCTTTGCCCGACATTTGATTGGCTTGTAAAACAGACAAGATGGCAAATGAATTTAAAACAAGACGAGTTTCTGTGCAGATTTCATCCCTAACTCCTACCTCCATCGGTAAACGATCCTGTCTCCATTGCTGATTTATTTGAAAGAAGTGCTGAGATAAACGTTTTTATGTACTTGATCTCTTGTAACCTTGGATATCCCGAATTATCTTTTAATACTTTGATGACTGTGAGCAAACATTTTACCCATGTAATATGTGTATATATATTTTTTTTTTTGCTTTTTTTTTTTGTAGGGTATTGCTGGAGCGGTTGATTGTGAACCGACCTCATCCTTGGGGACTACTGATCACCTTCATTGAACTCATTAAGAATCACCAGTACAAATTCTGGACGCACGAATTTGTTCACTGCGCTCCGGAAATCGAAAAGTAAGATTGAATTTCTTCTACGATTAACAGCGGTGCTCCTTCATTAAATGCATTTTATCGATAAGTTGAGAAGATACGGGATGCATCCTTCCGTACAGATGCTTAGTGTAATTGTAAAGTGTATATAAATGTTACATTATCCATCTGGGTAAAAAGAGGAAGGGCGCTTGAAAATTGCATCGTTTTTCCAGTTCTTTCTCGATGAATAGAAACTTCTCGTGTGCTGTGCGAAAATTTTGTGATGAAGGGAAGAGAACTGTGTCAGAGACGGTTGAGAGATCTATTAGATTATTGTGAAAAATTCATTTCTGATTTTTGATCATTGGACTGGTTCTGACCATCGTTGAGACCGCTACGTTGCTCAACCCTTCAACCCCTAAGGCAGGCGAGCATCTAATTTATCCTCACACTATCACCCCTGGTACTGAGGAGAAAGGAAATGATCACCAACTAAAAAATTTCTTAATTGTTAAATAAATGCTCCTTGTCAGCACCTCAGGAAATGTATTGAGAACGGTATGGAGAATATGCATACTGATATTAGGTTGGAAAGGGTTAGTGGTTTTCAAATAACCTGGTACATTTTCCTGCAGGTTGTTCGAATCCGTTGCACGTAGCTGCATGCAGCAGAAACAGGCACCGCCCAGAGATACTGCTGAAAACCGAGAGTGAACACACAAGAAACAAGCTGTAAATTTGTACAACAGGTTTCAAGAGATCCAGTCCTTATGACATTGAAGTTTTTGACAATTTGTAATTTTTGTATCGTAGAATGCTGAATAAAACAACGCTTTGGAGAGTATGTTTTGTGTCTTCCTTGTTCTTGTTTTACATTTTTAGGACTGGGTATTTGACTGCGATGGTTTTATTTTCTTAAATTTACTCCTGTTTTCATTTTGTTTTTATTGGGAAAACGTCAATCAAAAGGAAATATAAGAGTCATGAAGCATCAATCCCCCCCACCCTTTCCCTCAGCCCTCATTCCCGGATAACTCACGGGCATTTTGACTGCTGTCCGTGTTCCGGGGGTTAAGAATTTGAACCACTGGAGTATTAAATATAGAGGAGTTTTGATGGAAAAGAGTCCGTTTCCGTGAGCAAATGATTAAGAAAAAAATGTTCATATCGCAGAATGTGTAGAATGACTCATTCAAGCGAGAAACCCGTCGGGGACACCAAAAACTAGTATAAGTCACGCAAAGAATCGTACGATAAAAAATTGTGCTTGAGTTGGGCATTTGAACGCAGTGTTTTTTCCTGCCTGTATAGGGCGCTTTTAATAAAATAATTAGACACTCGCGCTTGTTGAATACGATTATAACCAAATCGACCTTACAGGCCTCGTTGGCTATCTATCATCTCATCCTACGCGCGCTCGTGATTGTTACAATGTAATTCATTAAAAAGAATTGTGAGCACAAGCTGTGTTAATTTGGTTTGAGAATTCTCCAGAGATTCTATTTCAAATTAAAACATATCTTAAATTGTGCATCTCTAACCTTGATCTTCGCTGCCGTTACCGAGCTGGCCTCACGGCCCCTTCAAGGAAGTCGAGAATTTGACGAGGATTGTCGAGAGGTTACCGAATCATAGTCGTCAAAATTCGGCGCCATGAATAAGATCACGTGGTAGAATAAATTTTCGGTGGATACGAAAAATGGCGGTATTTTGATGTTTTGACTAAATTGATTGTTAGCTTTTATGTTGAGGTAATTGTGACACATACATTAGGACACCTGGTTACAGCAGACCTCTCTTGGTGATCAATAATGAGAACCAAGCCTTCAATCTGGCTAAAGATTTAGTAATGGTTGATGACGAAAGTTCTTCGCCGGAGTGGTGTTTTGGCCGCAGACTCTCCGCTCTGCAAAACGCTTCTTGCGCTGAGGATGAGATCGTTGCTTTAGGACAGTTAAGGGAGACGCTTCTTCCCACTGGCGATAAAACGTCTTTGGATGAGGATCATTGCGAGAAAGAATGGCTTCGCTCAGGTTTAGATAACATAGTGAATCCTTTCCCGGCCAAAACACCTGAAACCTGTATACCTTCTCAAGATGATCTTGATTCGTTTACTTTCTATCTTTTCGAACGACGATTTGGTTGGTCGGAGTTTACAGCGAACTTAGACGATCTACATACAGAAGCAGATGAGCATTTAGTTCGTAGGGGATCGTCTGGGTCCGTTCGAATTCAGGATGAATCCAAGTTTAAAGCGAAGCTGAATGAGTTACTAGACGAATTTCTGAAGTGGTATGTTCATGATTTTAATTTGTCGCTGTGGGAAATCGAGAAGTAGCACCAAATCTATTAGCACACCGACGAACCTCAGGTTTCTAGATGTAATAATTTAAGGTGAAATAGGTTAGTTATCAAATCCAGTTGTGATTGCCAAATTAAGAATCGTATCACCTTTTTGAGTAGCTAGAACATGTCAGCTCAGTCTGCGACAGACAATTTACGCTTTACATAAGCTTTCCCTTGATCGAATCACAAAATCGCACCTCTCTCGCCAGTGTGAAACCCCTAGCACTTAATTTGAATAATTCCGAATGTGTTAAATTTTCTCGCTATTTTTACGTTAATTTCGGGCAAATTGTGTGGGTTTTTACGCATCCACATGGATGGTAAACTGAGAAGTTTGTTCAAATATTGATTCATCGGAGATTACGTTGTCAAGATCGATTCCTGTCTCCTTGAAAAGTGCACTTAACAGCCCTACATTTTTTTAACAAAAATTGATGCAAATCTTATTAAAGAGAAAGATTGTTTTGATAAAATTTGAATTGGCAATTTCCCAAGGGGTCAAAAAATTTCCATTGGACTGTCTATCCTCTTTGTCATCAGAAAAGCCTTCTTTTTTCGGTGGGAAAAGCATGTGTTGAAATCTTAACAATATTTTATATTTGGGATTATGGTTCCTTGCTTGTTTGCTCAATGGAGTTATGAAAGTTGTGAAAGTGGGACAGAGTTAAAGCCAGCTGGTCAATTAGAGCTGAGCTGTTTGGCAGTTTGTTGACTGTTGTGACTGAAGCATGTTTTCTTTTACAGGTATCTTGCCCAAGTTAACCTAACGGAAAATCTTTTGAGTAGTTTTAAATATGCAGTTGCTAAAGGTTAGCCAGAATTCAGATATTTTCTTCTGAAGTTGCAACTGTTTGATGACTAATGATCCCAGTATACATTGCACAACCAAACAAAATGTAATGATTAACACTTCAGATAGTCTGTGAGGCCATCTATTCTTGTGTATTCCTAAATTTGAGATTTTTTTAAGTTAAAAAAAAAGTGGGATACGTTTACTTGTACTAATTTCTGTCCTTTTCAGCTTATAATATGCCAGTGGTTAGGAATCAGGCATTTGTGCATATCATGGACTGGCTAAAGCTTGCTAGCTCAGATAATGGAGTGGATAGCAAAGTGTTTCCTTTAGTGAAGGATGTTGTTTTGGCTGGAATCACTGATATCTGGTCAGCAATCAGGAACACTTGCGTGGCTAAGTTGTCAAAACTTTTGGAACTTTTTACAATGCTACAAGCGGAAGAATTCTATCAATGTTTAGTAAAGGTAGCTAAGAGTGAAATGAAAATTTTTCTTCTTGCCACATGATATATGCAGATCAATTTGGGGAGGGGGAGGGAGAGGGGAAGGAGGAGGGGCATGGATACATGTAAAACTTTGAAACCTTTCACACCAAAGAGTGACCACTCTGTTCACTCTACCATTATGTTCATGAAGTGCGATGAGAAGAAAAAAAAACTTTTCATCTAAAAGGAAAGTACTACTTGAGGTAACACCAAATCTTGAAAGCTAAAATCATAGCAAATGTTCTGTAGAAAGCAAGGAGAACAGATGTTGAGTTCTGTAGAGTGAATGTTTCAACCAGGCTGGAGATAGAATATTTTTTTATAGATAATATTTAAAGCCCTGATGAAATAGGCCTGATAGATGATGATAGTTTGCTTACTCCAACTGTCATTTTTATCATCAGCTATCATGTTTGCAACCAAGAGGTCCATGATCATTGACAATGGTTTGTGTTGAATCCAATATGCATGTAGTGTTCTCATTACCTTTGCCTGTTTTCCCGTCGTAGATTTGTCTGGGAAAGGAAACATCCTGGCAGGCCAAAGAGGGAGCAGTGATGTGTGAGTTTTGAATATTATTGCTTTTTTTTTTACACATCATATATACTGATTACATTAATTTTTGAGACCATAATATTTTTTTTGTTTGTAAGTGTGTTTTTCCAAATTATACTTGCTCCTTGGTCAATTTCCAGGCATGACTGCTTTGGTGTGCCAGTTTCTCTGGAGTGGAGTTGTATCACCTGGGAAGGAGTCCATGTATTCAGAAGGACCTCGATACATGCTGAAGGTCAGTGGTTGTATCATAACCTGCAAGTCACCAAATTGTTTCTTGATTGCTTACAGTAACTACATGTAGGAAGCCTCATCCATGTCTAAAGAAAATGCTGGTTAAAATAATGCTATGTTATATTTTGGTCAATCTCTAAGTATTAACTGTTATTTCCTGGGGCAAAAAATAGGCTTCCTTTGCATCAGGGCCCTTGTTTATTTTCTCTGTGTTTCACTGTATGTATATTGCTAATGTGAGTATTATGCATCATATAATAAATGTGGAAACTTGAACAATTTATTAAACCTTGTCACTTGCTTTCCAGTGAATTACTTTAACACCCACCATGCAAGTTACACCTGATCAAGTTAAATGTAAAAATGATTTTGTTGTGTTTTGCATTAACTGCAAATCTTGCATTTTTATGAATTGTTTTTATCAAGGTGATTCCTTTTGCAAAATGAGACACAAAAAAGCCTTTTAAATTATTTGAGTATGAACTTCCATATATACCTTAATTCTGCAGTGAAGGCCCCATTTGTTTTAAGGATGGATAATGCTGTCCACTGGATAAAGCTCTATCTGGTGGATAGTGCTGTATATTTTGTTAAAACTTACATAGATAGTTTCTGAATAACGATGTATCTGCAGGGTAACATTCTCCATCCATTGAACAACTGGGTCCAGAATAGAACTTAAAGTGTACATTGAACTTATCTCCAATGACAGAAACATACCTAACATGTATTTTGAGAATAATGTAAATGTACTGGTCAGTGAGTTTGTGGTAGTGTTATATTATATGTCTATCTTTTGTTTCAGTTTGGGTTGACAACTTTGACATCACTGCCAGAATTTATCATGTCCTCTGTCCACTCTGTTCTGTTCTCTCTGCTTGTTCATCCACAACTTAGCATCAGGGAACACACTACTAAAGCAATATCTGCAATATTGTCAAGATGTGAGTTTGAGGTAAAGGCCACTTTCTTACAGCACACATACACCTGTTCATAGATTGCCTTGCAGTATAAAAATTTCCCAAATTAAAACAATAAAAGTTAATCATAAGATGCTTAGAGGAATAAAATCTGCAAACAAAGTATGAAATATTGCACTCATTTTACATGTAGGTTGCATTATCATCATTCCAAGAAGTAATCAACAGATTGTGCCATGGAACACAGGAAGGCAACAAGGATATCAGCGAGAGCATAACTGAGGTACATGCCGCATGCAAATATGATTTATTATCCATAGTGACACAGTGAATTAAAATGTTTTGGAAAGCTAGAGAACCAACTAACATGTGCTGTACCAACTACATGCTCTGATACAACTAACTTCCCAAAGCAAATAAACACATTGTCAAGTGATCCACCAGCACAAATGTTTAACTTACTTTTATCATCTCAACAATATCTCAACAAAGTCTTCTTTAAGAAAATTGAACAAATGCTCCCTTGGTTTGCTTTTGTCAGATTTTTGTGTTGTCTTTCTTCCTCTTATTTGGGGTGTGGAATGTATGTGTACTCAAAAAGTCATGACCTCTCCATTGATCAACAATATTACAGCCATTGCTGTTTGATTGGGGATGTGACCTTTGGGTATATTTTTATAGGAACTTCCCTATAAGCTTGCCTCCCTTGCTTGTCTTCTACTTGTGTTGCTGGATGCTGGTATTGACAAGTTTCATCAAGAGTATTTAAAGTAATTGTTTAGTTTTACCAAGGAGTGGAATTATTTTGTTTTAATCCAGTTACCCCACCATGCAGTGTTAAGACAGCACTTTAGGTTCCTCCATGCCCATGAAGCTGAAGGCTTGTTAGGAGTTTGTATCTTCTTGATCAAGGTAAGTGTTGGGTGTTAAAGGATAAAATTCAACTCACCTCTGCCATGCTTTCCTTAAACTACTTTATTGCCATGTGGTATCAGGTTGAAGTAAACATTTTCAATTCTTCTCATCCACAGCATATCCCGCCAGGTTATCTGTTGCCCAAATGGCCTCTATATTTCTCAACACTAAATCTTTACCTGATGCATCCAGCTTCCACTGTGAGGCAGGCAACAAGTGTTGCCTTTAAATATCTTGGTAAGGTTATAAACCTCTTAAAATGGATCATGACTGTAAGGGTTGCTCAATTAACACTCATTCTAAGGAGAAAAGTTTTGCAATTTGCCTCATTTTTGAGGTGAGGTAGTTGCAAATTAGAAATGGCCTAGTTAATGATTCAGTAAGCCTTTGACTCCCAAAAGTGATTAACATGCACTAGTGGGTGAATTCTTCTTATATTAGTGGCGTTAGTGTCCGTTTTCCCATGGAGGGTCACATATTATACAGCTAACAGGTGATGAGAAATTACAAACTTATCAGGTAGAAGTTGTTATCTTGACTTGACACCATTGAAGTTCTCAGGACTAAATGTGTACCAACTAGAGGGGAAAATTAACTATTACATCTTGGGAGTTCAAGGGTTTCCTGAAATGCAACACTAAATACAACAGAACTATTTCAAATCAAGCAAAAAAATACCACAACCAAAAGTGTAAAGTAATGTAATCCATGTTGCGACAAAATATTATTGCTTTTCCTTACTTGTCTACAGTTGCTAAAGACAGCAGTAATCCTGTGTTCTTAAAGCTTGTCCTTCAAGGACTAGCGGCTGACTGGAAGGTTGAGAATGACTTGTTAATGGCAAACCTAAAGTCAAGCCATGCCCCTGATCAGTTTGAGCCATTCACATCAAACACTACTCTTAACCCTGAAGATGATGCTGGTGCTTGTGGATCTGAAAGCCAAGTTCCATTGATACGCACCCCTAGTCCAATGTCAAGCCCTGATTTATGCTATGCCTCAGCTGACTCTTTAAGTAATGTTGGTGAGTTTTATGCAATTTCCCTGCCAAGGTCTTCATTGGAAATTATCATTAGTCTTAAAACCTGTGATCATGTTGACTAATTAAGGTATCGCTTAATCTGCACCACACTTAATTTCACCAATGTGTGGTGGATTATGCAATTTTTTAACTCAAAACTTTTTCTTTCTCTTTTTAAATTTGCATTTTCATATGAATGTAATGGTGGTAATGGAACTTTGTTTTGTGCAATGTTGATCTGAAATCACACTTGTGATTTCAAATCTTGCATATGATTTCAGACCAATTTGTGCTCCACTTAGTTCAAGTACCATAATTATACAGTACAAGTCATGTATACACTACACAAAATTGTATAAGTATAGGAGCTAGAAGAGATAATAACTTAATTGAAGAGGATGATACATCTCTAAAGCTTCATGGTGTAATCTCTTTCTTGTTTGGGTTTTAATTCAGGACCTGAAGCCCAGTGTGGCTCATCTTCTGCTCAGACTGGGATGTCACCAGTGCCACCTAACAAATCCACAAGGACAAGTATTCGGCAAGTTGCAAAACTGTTGGCAGGTAGAAAATTTGTTAATGTTTACTAAAATGTATCTCATTGTACAGTTCATGTAGACTTAGTGATACTTTATTATGAAATAATAGTCTTGAGCAGGGTGCAAGGAAAAAACTTAACACTGTTACAGTTGTGGTGTCTCCTAGGTCCAGTTGCTACTGTTTCAATCACCATGTACTACAGGCTCATTATTGCATTTCTCTAATGTTGAAAAGTTTAATGTGCAAATTTATCTTTACTCAACCCTTCATCATAATACATGTACATACCAAGCCACTTTAATGACTATTGGTTAAAAAAAATGCTTTTTTTTTTTTTTTGACAGATGGTGCATCGCCTGATTTCTTAATGTCTGAGAGCTGGGAATGGAGAGAAGGAAGACTGTTGGCTTATGAGCTCATTTTAAAGTTCTTAATAACAAACCACATCCATTATGTGTTTCCAACATATGTCCTCCCTGTATCAAAAGCCTCTGCATCGTCATCTTCAGTGGATGAAACTCTTATCAACAGGTACAGTCACAACATCAGGTGTACTTGATGGTTGTGAACACCTTTGTATTAAACCTTTTGACTACCATAGGTGACCAAGACAGAATTTCTACTTACAATTTCAATAAACATCAAACCGACATGTGATGAGAATAAGGAATAATATCGATTGGGAGATTATTAGTTGATCCAATACCATAATCTCCATACTAACAATAAGAAATGTATAGCAGACAGTAAGGAGAATTAGTGATGAGATCGTGGGAGTGACAGGGTTAAAAACCAACAACAGTACATTTAAGGAAACCACAACCCACAAGGTCCTGTTTAAATGGCCTAAGAATTTGAGTTTAAAGAGATAAAAAAATGGTTTATGCTACATGAGAAGGAAAATCTCAAAATTAATTATTTAAGTATCCTTTTAGTTCGGCCACACGATGTGAAACAGATTGATTGATCAACCACTAAGAATTTAAACATTCTTCAGACAGCTTGTGCGTCGATCAGTTTGAGGATTCAAAGTCCCGCCCCCGGGCCAAGATTGCGTTCAAATGCCCCACTCGATACAGAACAATTCTTTTTGTGATTAACGAATGTTGTAGAATTTAGCAAAGTTATGTATTGTTGCTGTTGCTGTTGGGTTTGTTGCTCATAAGCATCAATCTACGATGTGGAAATTGTCTCTCTAAGCCATTTGCTCACGACAGCAGACTCCTCACCTTAAAAATCGTTCATTAAAACACGTGTATTATACTTGAAAGACTTGCCCCACCCCACCCACACAAGGTTCAAATTCCCCACCCCCCGGGCATGGACGACAGTCAAATGCCTTAAGATTGCCGGCGGGAATGTCGAAGCTTCAAATTGATCGGCGCATTATATGTAGCAGACATTTTTTTATTATTATTTTAACCACTGCACCCTAACAAAAATGATAATCTACTCTTGATGATGCACTTTTAACTATCTACAGGTACATGTAATTTGCACTTTAATACTACTTGCACCTTTCTTTGTGTCTAGTTTGTCAAACAAAGCTTCGCCTAATCATTCTTTCTTTGTTAGAGACAGGTAAGTGGACACAGATTCACTTTCAAATTTCGTGTCGTTGATCCGTCTCCCATCCTCAACTATCCTTGTAGAATATTCCTTTTATCTCTCGTTTTAATCTTTTTTTTTCGCGATGCTTGGAAATAACGTTGCTCCTTTAAGCCTTAACTGCCATCTTTCCTGCCCTCAGTTTGTTTCTCAGGCGCTCTCGTCCAGTTGTGTGATTGGTGTGTGATGCATGGAGTGTATTACAGTTACCTTTTCAGTCGAAGTCTCCTATTATATCCTCTATAGGCTCCATTACTTAGATTCAAAACTAGCAGCAAAAGTTACAAGCTATGTGGGGTTAGTTGTCGTTCGTAATTTTCTTGCCGTGAATTTGTTTCAGATCAAAGTCAGACGTGTCGCCTAAATCACATCCTTTATGTGTGAAGAGCAATAGTATCGGTATGATAAACTCCGCGTCATCTGGTATGCTGTACACCACAACAACCATTAAGGTACGGGACAAGATTTCTGTTCAGTGGCCGTGAAAGTTGGATAAAAAATGTTCAGATTAGCTTTTAACTGATATTTTTTCCCATAGAGATCATTTGCGCCTGTAGTTCTTTCAAGTGGTTACTTCACATACTCTTCATTCACCATACTCAATCTAAGTCGTGCTTTGATTTATTCTCCTCTATCTCATAACCCTTCAAATGTCTGGAACTGATCGGTAACTCCCCTGTAGCATCTGTAGCTCATCTCTCACCAAAAAAAAAAAAAAAAAAAAAAAAGAAAAATCAATACTGGAAAAATAAAACTCTTCATTTAGCAGACAAGTTTTTCTATCAGCAGAACCGGTTTTTCCGTAAATTTGTGTCTTATTGTTAGGGGAATTAAACATCAGTTACTTCTAAGAGTTAAAGAGTTAACCTTTTTAAATTTGAAAGTATCAATTTTTGAACGATTGACAAACTGAAAATGAACATGCTCTCTTTGTAGGAAGGAGAGAGCGGCTCCTTGGAAAAAATGCAAGAAAGAACAGAATCAGTTCAGGGCACGGACACCAGGAAAAGCAAATTCCCCACAAAAGCGAAAGCAAAGTGTGTTTCTTAAATCTGAACCCTTGTTTGTTTTTAAGAATATTTTAATTTTTTCAGGAGTTTAGTTCTAAATGATATGATTGGCGATATATTTAGGTTACAGAACGTGAGCACATGCAAATGTTTTTTCCATTGGACTCCGATATATCACAATTTGTTTTGATTAACTGTTTAGTCTTTTTAAGCCATGTATTGTGGGAGAAAGATGTGAATATTTATTTTCAGAGAAATTTTCAATTTACTCTTCGATCCTCCCGAACAGAAACTCTTCGGGCCTTTTCAGAGGAAGGAGCGTGGGCTCGCTTGGCCTGCAGGGCTGGCGTCTTATTAGGGCTTGTTCACGTTTAAAAGCTCGCGATCTTTTATCAGAACGGCCGTGTTTGATTCGGAGTCAGAGTGGACAGTGGGGGTAGAGGGCGAGGTAAGGGCTAGAAGAGTAATTTTTATAGCCCCACCTTCGTCCCTCTCCTTCCTTTTGACCGTCGCTGCTACACCACTCCCGGCACAGATTTCTATCTCTCCTCAATCTCCGTTGCCATAAAAATCAAAGATGGCAGCTATGATTTTCGTCAATAAATTAACGAGCACTCGCTCGCCAAGATTACGCCCGCTCTGCTGGATAGGGCTCGCTTAGCGATTGGTCCAGGATCTCACGCGATTCCCTCAACAAATCCTCTCGGTCAATCGCGACCAATCGCGACCAATCGCGATTTCCCGCGCTTGATACCGATTATTGTATTGACTGTGAGTGCGTAAAGCTTCATATTTATTTGACTTTGTTCTGAGAGGCTTTTTCGACTACTTCAGCGTTTGAGGTGTTTAATATCTTTAAACTCGACAGGAGAGCATCATCTTGTGTTGCTGTCGAAGCTGATACTCACACAAAACAACTCATCAGACAGTACTCTGTGGCAACGCCTCACATTTCACCTAAGAGACCTTTTAGACTTCCACGAACGAGCACGTTTGCTCTGGTAAGAGTTTTTTAGATAGATATTGGAAACAAACTGTTTCATTCTTCGATGCATTTCAGAATTACTCAAAGAATGATCTGGACGGCGATAATTCTTTTCCAGCCAGGGATAGGCGTTGCGAAAAATGTCATGAGTTTTTCAGGGCTACTTGGTCAGGCAATGCGTTGGCTATCTTTATTTTTGTTTGCTTTTTCAGGGTAATTCATTACTCAATCAGACGAAAGCTTTGGATGCAGAACAGCCCTCCACTGAGGTATGAAAGAGTCGACATCTTATGTTGAGTATGTATTAGGAATTTAGAGTTTTAGAGCGTTATCGTGTTAACTTTCAGATCGTTGGACTAGAACGCCGTTCCATTCAACAAATTAACGGTTTGCGTAACATGGACTCGCTAATTAGTACTTTTAGCGTACTTAGTATAATGTTGGTTACATTGGTTTTTTGATAAAATCAATTTCGTTTTCATAGGATCTTTCTGTCGAAATGATGTTCCGGTGTTTAAAATCTCCTTTTGGATGGAGCAGCTCTCGATCCGGTTTGTGTTGCTAGCTCAGTAATATTTTTAAATGAATTAGACATCTTTAAAATTAGAATTTACACCATAAGTAGTAAAGGTTATTGCCGAAGTGATTAGAAGTGATTTTTGAATTAACGAGTTGACACTGTCTTTGATCCTTTCATCTGAAGTGCCATTTCGAAGATAACATTTTTAACTTAAGAATTTGAACCTATAATGAGTAAACTCGAAAGTGCCCCCCATCCGTAAAGAAAATTCTGGTAAGTTGTAAAGACACGCTTAAGAGAGCCACTACATGTGAAGAACGAGCTTTTGCTTTGAGTTTTCTCTTATGACTGTCAGCTTGTGCCAGCTGCAGATGGTGGGTCAGGGAGGAAGATTGATAAAGCGAAAACCAGCCAAAGCCTGGAATAGTCTACGCCATTTTTGTTCGTCCTATTTTTTTGGATCGTTTCCACCATACATGACCTTACATGTCTGGCTTTTGTATTATAGGGGAAGGTTCATCCAACAAGGTGTCTCTTAATCTATCAACGTTGGTCTCGTAAGTCTCGATTGTCTCGTAAACTGCACACTTTGTAACATCAGTGGGATATTGATTCTGATGGAATGATGATTTTCCAAATTAAATTTGACATTCCAGAGACGAAGATCCTCAATGGACGAACGCTCTTCAATTGGGGCCACTTTCCTCTGTCTTATCGCAAGTAAGAGTGCTTGTAAAATTATGAAAACTCTGCCGCACTTTTCTTAGAATAAAAATTTCGTTTTTCTTGTTCTTCAAATAGTTTTTACAGCACGCGGATCAGAGCATTAAGTTCGAAACCGCTCGAAAATCTCAGCATTACAGTGGTTACTCTATTGGAATATTTTAGTATTTTTCAATGCTAAAACAGTTTTGTTTCTTACTCACTAGGTATTTCTGCAGACCGTAGAATGTTTAGCTGATACCAGATGGGAACTGCGTCGAATGGGGCAACAGGTACTGACATAGCTAACTTAACTTTGACCGAGAAAAAGCCGTTAGAAAAACTTCGCCTAAATCCAGTGATACCCAGTGACGCCTCTTACATTCAAGTTCCATGGTGCTCCTCTTAGTCAAGGTTGTAAAAAGGTATCATCCGTGATACAAAGAGATTTTAGATGGAGCGTCGTTAAGCCCAAACCAAAGAAGTGACCACTATTCACAAATGGGGAAATATGACCGAGTCAGTGATACATGAGTACGGCTCCAAGTGCAGGAAACAGCGAAGGATGAAGTCGCGAAGGGTTTTGGTTTTGCATCTGATTGGCGTTGATTATATTGAATCTAATAAAGAAATGCAATCTTAGCTCACTTTCCACACTCAACTTAAAATCACTGTCAAAGACTAACATGCTATCTCAGTCACGCCCTTCTTTAAAGGATATTTGATGCTCGGGTTATTTTCTCTTGCCTAAAATGTTGTTGTCGTCATAATTTTTAAGGTTCTTCCGCTGGCTACAGAAGTGGTTCGCTGGTTTGACATGAAACCATTAGAAATCCTATGGGACAATTTCCTGTCACGTGATCACACCCTGTTGTGTTATGGCAGCTGTATTGCCCTCAGGTATTCCATTCTCCATGCTGGTCGCCTGATGCATTTCTTGGAGCAGCCTCCGCCGAGTTGGAAGGTATTGTAGACAAGGCAGTGTTATGGCTAAAGAACTGTCACGACACACAAATAGGACTTTGCGCAAACTGGGAAGGCGATGACAACGAGAGCGCGCTAAAACAAAAGACTAATGAGCTGGAAGAAAGCTTTGATTGTTGTTATCTGCTTATAATTGTAGTAAAATTTCCAAAATTTTGTTTGGTCTTAGAGCGAAAACTCCAACAGCAAATTATGTGCATTTCTTCTTGGAAACCAACGACGCCTTCACATCTTATTCTGAAGTGAAGGTCTGGTGTCATTTATGGCGCAAAATATTTCAGAGAAATATATTTCCATATTTTTAGTCAGTGTTTTCCTCCGCGTTGTCGTCATGATAGCGGAAGGTCCCTTATGTAGTACTGCACTGGCATCCCATTTAACAGGAGTACCAATGCTCCAGATTACTCCATGTTACGGATGGATAAGCTCCTGTGGCTGTGATGAGTCAGCCAATTGTGCAGACTTTCCTTTTACATTTATGTGTCCGTGTTTGATCTGCTTTGGAAATGAAAGGATTTGATGTGGATGTTGTTATAGACAGTGATTTACGCAGTGACTAATCTTAAAAAGTTCAACCTTTTTTCGGTCTCTAGGATCCAGAGAGCTGTGGTCGGGCTGCATTGACAGTTGTGGAGGAAATTAAACGAGGGCTGAAGAGGTGGCTACATCAGGTGGGTTTGCAGTCTACTAAATATAGCCCACATAGTTGCCCACCATTGTCAAAACTTTTCGCTTTAGCAACCTATCAGTTAGACTACTAGGAACAAACCAAGTTTAAGCACCACTAGTTTTGGTTAAGTAGGGTGGGTTTTGAATGAACTCTAATCTGATTCGCCGAGAAAAATCAGTGGGCCTCGGAAAAATTAAGTGTCCATTTGGCCAAGTTAGAGAATTTTGAGTTCCCTTTCATTCACCGTGGTTTATTGGCTTAAAAGGAAGGGAGAAGACTGAAAGTAAGGGTTAAGTGTCAAGAGCTCGTTATTTTATGTAACTAAAACAAAATGATTAAATACACTGTTTAGAATCTTATGTTCTCTCTCTTCTTTTAAATCTTTTCCATGCAGGTGTACGATCTATTCACAGATCCATGTTTTGATAAGCTGTCAGTTGTCGCCATGGAAACGATTATGATGTCTCACATTTGTTTTCCTTATGAACCGGACAACTTTGACCAGGTTATAAAATTGAGATAATTGGCCAATGAGAGCCTGCAGAACAGGCGTCATTATCATGCATTACTGTACATTCGCACAATTCAGGCGAGGGAATACAGGCGCGAAGTGCGCATGAAGGGTTAGTCGCACGCGTGGAGGAGCTGCCATATTGTTAGCGAGAAACGTCTTGATGCATTTGCAAAGGCGATTTTTCTTTCGCCCTTTTCCTCGCGTGCACAACTTGCTCGAGGCGTTTAGGTCGTTCTTGCGTTAGCTCGACAAAAAGCGAGAAAAAGTTCGCCTGATCTATTGGCAAGGTCGTTAAAGGCGTTAAATTTTAATAAATTTCTTTAGGTAAAGGAGCTAGTGTCGGGACTCTGAGAAGTCTTGAATATGAAGTCATCTCCTGTAAACTTTTTCCTTGTTTTCTTTAAGATAGAAATGATCTTTCCTCCTTATTTGAAAATATGTGGATCTGTAGAAACTCCAAGGGTGGAATACTAGCAACATCCGACGACAAACCACCTTTTACTTGCAAATACAAAATGTTCTCTTTTATTTCAGAAAGCGTTTTGTGATTTTATAGGTTCCACTTGGTGGAGTGTGATCATTTGTGATGGCATAGTTTTGTTGCTTTAGAGAGATACTGCCTCATGCAAAATGAGGATCTGTGAGGGTCAACTGAAGTTGTTTTATACTGCACTATTTTGGATCAACGTCAGATTCTGAGCAACTGCGCACCTTCCCCTCCCTTAACAGTCTAACCCCACTTAAACTCTAACTTGTTATCAGTTGATTGTTGTTGCGCATTTGTTCAGATACTGACATTGTTTCATTATTTTTAGTTCATATCTGCCGCTTGTTTCGAAACCTCGGTCAGTTCTGGGTGTCCTCCTTCAGCATGTTTACTCTGAGTGTTTACCAGTGATAGTAATTACCCCTTTTTTGAAAACAATCAAACTTCCATTTTTGTTCTCCTGACAGAAACTCAGAGGGGAAGAAATTGTTTTAAACAAAATACTCCTTCTTTATGCCCATTCGTATCCAGAAAGTCCTATAGGTGAGTCGATTTGACTGTTTTTTATCAATATGCATAGAAACGCGAGAGAGCGATGTGCAACTAATTGCAGTAACGTTATATAAAAAGGAAAAAGCTATGAGCCAAATTCGAATTCATTAGCAAACAGCGTGAGCATACGGCACTAACATATATTTATGTATATATTTTTTTCTTTTTAAATCTTTTGGAGTCGCTTGAAATCTCTTAAATCTCATACGCCCAAGAAGTTTAAGAGAATAATTATTTCAGTGGAAATTCTGGGAAAATTGGTCGCTGGCGGGCATATAGCCTGGGGGAAGTTTTAAATGCTAATTAACTCCTATTTGTCTTTTTCCCTTTTTTTTGTATTTCAATTTTTGCTTTTTTATATGAAAACGTTATAAGGAAAACGAACATCAACAGAGACAAGTGACTGTGACTCCATGGCACTTGAAACATTATTCTTTGCCACAGGAAACAGTCCATTTTAGGACTACTCTTATCCTGACGATCGCCCGACGTCATTCAAACGTGTGGGTAGTATTAAATGTCACTCTTTACACTTTCTCTTAGATGCGTTCACGCCTTTTTAGACAAAGCGCTAGACACCTTCTCAAGTAAAACACTCTAAGGATGAGATTCAGCCTCTTCTTCTTTCCGGTTGGTTTTGTATACAGAAGACTCAAACTCCCATTTCATTAGAATTTATCTCGTGTCTCAAGGAGCGGTGAATGATATTTTCACTGCCCTCGATTGCGAAGGTTTTTTTTTTCGGTTCATTTGCTCGCTGTACTTCATAAGAGATTTCCTCTTAGTTGTTGCCTCTTTACCCTTTTTAATCTTAGATTCCTCAATCTTGACTTGTCGATTTCATTCGATTGTTGTCCGCGCATATTGATTCATTTGACTTCTGCTACAAGCTTTGGTATAGAGAAATAAACATTGACTTCAGTGGGTGAATTTCAGTCGTCATGTCTAGAACTCGCGGGGTTTGTTAGCGTTATGAAAGCTCAACAACGCTGGTCTTTCTTAAGAGTCTTAGGTTCGATCAATTTCTTAATTTGACGCTTTAGTATTTGTGTGGATTAAAGTGTTGCAGGTGAACGAGAGGGGAAAATTACTTGTGATTTGGACGATGTTGATTTAAGTTACGTGCAGACGAATGGAAAGAACAGACTAGTGATGTTTATTTTACAGATATTTTGATAAATTAACTAGGAAACACGGAGCACTTACACGTATAGAAATGGGTTTTACGGTGGTTTGAATGAATCAACCAGGAGATGCAATTTTCAATTCAAATTTTAAAGTTGTTTTTATTTTCGGTCTTGTTGCATCAGCTATTATTTTAAGTTGTCAAAGGAAACTTTTAAGCCTAGTTTGCTTCGTCAAATATCGAAAATATGCAAATCGTTTACTGTTAACTGGATGATATCACCTAAAGGAAGCAGTCTTGATTTCACAGCATTGATGCTTTTCTGAAAATGGAATAGATGAGCAATATTTGTTACATAAGCTACTTTTTAATCTTCATTGTTTTGTTTTTTTTCTCGAAGAGAGTGGGGGCAAAAAAATTAAAATCTAAAAAAGATATATTTAGAGTAAATAATCTCTCGGTTTTGGCTTTGTTTAGCAGCAGGTGTCCCCACGTTAAAAAGAAAGGTTAGCTGATTCGGTATTAATTATTTGGAAGATAAATTTTTTTTTTCGTATGCAAAACGGTCAGTTTTATACACAATATTGTTAAGGTCTTCCATAAGTGCTGCCATTTACTTTTGACTGATATTAAAGATCATGGGCGGGGAGATTTCGTTCAAACAAATTGAAATACAGTTACAATGACATCGTTTATTATCCATCATGAGAAATTCTGAATTTTATGGGGCGGTTTATTTTAATTAAGGGTATGGTAATCTTACAGGCCTTAGTTGGCGGGTAATCGTGAAAGAACACCAAATATTGTTAATACTGAATTCCGCGAACATTGTCAATATATACATGTCGTGTGAGGAAGTTTTGTCAGAATTCACCCATATGACTGATTTGTTGTCTTGACATCACCTTAGCTATGCAAATTTGAACTGGATTATTGGGTGAGGTCATTCAACTAATTTTTGTTTAAAAAGGCAAGACGTTAACTGAATTGTTGCAACAGGCAGCGATAACATGAAGATCTCGTCTTGCGAAGCGGTCCTACAGTACGTCCCAGCACTTTCCGAATTTGCAGATCTTCGCTCGACTTTCGTGGTTAATTTGGTGCTTAATGTTTTCCTTTGTCATGCAGCGGTAGCGTTAAACCTGCTCACGATCCACGCAATACGAAAAACCTGGTCGTTGCCAAAAACGTTGAAAATATTGCTCTTAAGTCTTGCTGTTTCTGATGTTGGAGTCGGTTTAGTGGTCCATCCATTTTACATTTCTCTTCTCGTGAAGTGGCTACACTATAGCAAACCCAGCTGTTTTACCTACAAGATATTTTTCATGATCATGTCTCTGTTTGCATTGGCGTCGTTTTTTGGTGTTGTTCTTTTAAGCGTGGACAGATTCATGGCGATTCAGTTTCACCTCAGATACAGGGAGATAGTAACTCACAGGCGTGTTGCTGCTGTGGTGATCACCGTTTGGGTTTTCAGTGCTTCGCTGTCTTTGACACCAGCATGGTTCCCGAGCGAAAGTTCTCTTATTATATTCTTTGTTGGAACCATTTGCCTTATGTTTACTACTTTGGTCTACTGCAAGATTTTTGTGGTTTTACGACGCCATAAAAACCAGATTAGAGGCCTTCAGTTGCAGCAAGCAGCACCGAACAGTGAAATGAGAAACTTAACTAGTCTTTCAAAATCAGCAGTCAATTTATTCTACGTTTATGTTGTGTTAATGGTGTGCTATTTGCCAAGAGGAGGCAGTTTAATTGGAACAGCAATTTTAGAGCGGAGTACTATGATAAAGGGTTTTCTTCTTTGTTCGTGGACTCTGGTGTTTCTTAATTCGTCTTTGAATCCGGTAATCTACTGTTTAAAGATGAGACACTTTCGACATGCTGTTAGAGACATCTTGAGGAACATGCGTTTTCGCAGAAATCGCTCCCAAAGCGAACGTAGAACTTTTTCTGATTTCCGCGGTGAGGACGTGACTCGCTTTCCAACCGGTTTATGAACGCCCGATTCGGCAATTGAGCGTGAAGTGCAAATGGTTGAGTGAAAGAGTCGGTTTATTCAAAATCGGGGAAACTTTCAAGGAGAACAAGGAGCTGTTGCTTAAGTCGATGTTTTTTAGAATCGAAACACTTGGAAAACCGTTTTGGCAATTGAAGTATGATTCACTTCCATCATAATTATAATTTGATTGATCAAATGTCGACAAGTATACTGTGGTCATAATAGTGAGATTTACTGCGATATTTCAGTAAATTTACGACTTTTGGTGGTATGTGAATTAATTGACCTTATTTTCTTTCGGATTTGTGAGGGGTGAGAGCAAACTACTGACTAACAACTACAGCGCGATAGAAGCGAACACCTGGTAGCAAAGTATTTCTATTTTTCTATAATTTTGATGAAGATATAATCTGACTAAAAGTACTAACCCTTACCCCAACCTTTTTTCCTAGTCGATGTTTGGCTCGTAAGAGCAGATCCAATTCTTAGGAAGCTATGATGAAGTAGAATATTTCAGTCCGAATGCGATTTAGCCTGACCCAAGCGGCATATTTTATTTTATCTAGTTTTTTGCCTATATTCTTATAGACCTGTCGACCAGTTTTTTAATCCTCGAATACATTTTAATTCTAATTATGGTACTTTCAGGATCGATGGCCTCTAGTTCATTGGTTGAATTACTGTTATGTGTTACCCTCCTTAAATAAAGTTGTTGTTATCATTATACTGTGACCAAAAAGCGTTTTCTCCTCACGGTATCTGTCCATTGTTATAAATACGTAATGGAAGAAAAATATCTCCTGGGGAAACTGTTTCATTAGTGTGGGTGATTGCGTGTTTCCTCGTAAATTTTGGATTTTAATTTTAATATTTCAGGATGTAGGAAACCAGTCCTGCTAAAAACAAAACATTTGCCATAATGAAATTGTAATTCTCTCGGGAAAAGTTCAGCCTTCTTTTAATATTTGCAATTTCAAGCAATTTTGCCCGCGACAATTGCCAAAATTAAGGAGAAATGCCTTGTCTCAGCTTATCAGTTTTGGTTATTTTGACATGTTTGTTACTAAATACCAAATCGTTAGGGCTAAGTTTCTGAGAAATGTTAGGCAAACAGTGCGAAAAGTTTAGATATTTTGTGTCTGTTTTATAAAACATTCTTGTTTAATTACGACTAATCTATGAACTGAATATACTCACAGTACTACTGCTGAAGGATCAGCTCTAGCTTGGCATGGATGACAAAGTTTGCGTTCATTGCAATTATGAAAGGGTTTTGAATGAGGCCAAATTGTGATCGTTCTTAAGATCACCCCATTTCCTTGCAGAGATATAATATTTTTTATCGGCTTGGTTCTCTTTTAAGCCGCAAAGATCAAAAAAGGAAATAAGCAACGGAAGTCACCATCAAAGCTCAACTGCACTTGCTCTCTCGAAAGCCTATCTTTCCTTTAGTCCTTTATAATCCAACATTAGCATTCATATTCTCCCTACTGTTCTCTACATTTCCCATGGTACTGGCAGGAGAATTTGTCTACAAATCAAGAGTTTACTTTTTCTAACTGGTGATGATTTCTTATATTCTCATGACCGTGATGTGTTATTCAGTATCAATACTTTAAGGAGAAGTTTGATGTTAGTCACTACTGGGAGTTAAAGGGTTAATCACTACGTTTGTGGATTTTTTTGGTGTCTTGCAATGACGTCAGGAAAAAAACATCTTCGGTGGTCGTCTGAAGAGTTGTGCCTAATTGTTCTATCTTCATTATCTAACAGGGGTTGTGCTGAGGAAACAATCTCGTGTGGATGCTGATTCTTCGTATATTCCACCGTCCGACGGTTTTCTCAGGTAAGTATTCTTTGTATTGATGCTTTGCATTTTTTCAACTTTTTGTTTAACATAGGCATGCTCGCATGCAATAATTGTTTTTTTGTGGATGGGTGGTTTTATGTTTGCATTTCTGAAAAAGAAAAAGAGCATTTACCTAGCCGTAAGGTGGCGAGGTGAGTATCCATCTCTCTCACCGACGCTGAGTTGAATAACTGCTCTGGCGTGTACAGTGAGTACCACACAAGCCGAACAACTAGCAGATCAAACAGTCAGGCAGCCATTTTGTTTGTCTTTCAGTTTTTCAACGAGAGCGGCTACCGTACAACAGCATGCACTGCAGGTCAGAGCTTATCTTACGTTTTCGTACACTGTTGCGTCTTAAAAGTAATTTTATTTGGGGGATCTAAGTGAAGGATGATCTTATTCAGTGAATGGCACAGACATACTTGAAGAAAAAGAAGTCCGATTGCTGTCGATACGTGTCGAGCTAACGAATTTCCGATAAGAACGAGATTGGAGTGTCCGAAGTACAAATCGGATGGTCGTAGGCTGCACTCCTACTGGGGGCAATCGAATTTTTTATGTCCGAGTACGCATATGTCATTCACTTAATATCTTCATCTTTCTCTTAAATTGATTATGTTGTGATGTAATAGGGTTATGTGTCGAATTTCTTCCGAACTCTCGGTGTTGTAACTGTGAATATATGAAAATCATATGTGCGAAATACGTATAAAGAAGTGAATATGAAAGCGATCTTCGCAGTAATGAACACTACTTGAGCAGTAGTGAAAATAAGGCTTGGAAAAAAAATTCAGGCCTGTATGGGATTAACCCATGACCTCCGCGGCACCGGTGCAGTGCTCTACCAACTGAGCTGACAAGCCAACTGGAAGCTGGTCATAATGTTATAATGTTTTCAGGCCTGATTTTCACTAATGCTTAAGTAGTGTTCATTACAACGAGAATCGCTCTCGTATTCACTTCTCGTTGTTGTGTTCCTAACATTGAATCAGTGTTGTCTACTCGTTTTTTAAAGAGAGAAAAGGTTTCACCAAAACTGTTTTTGTGTAGGCCAGCAAATTCCTGATCTCCGAAGTACATTCAGTTCTCCCAAGGTTCCTGAAAGATTGCGATGCTGACCAGTTGGTGAGAAAACTATTTTTTTCTCTTCCACAGCTTTGGGGCTGTTATTTTGTCGTTGTTACTGGTGTTGTTTTTTATGTAGCATTTTCATATGTTTGGGCGAACCTCTATACTAGAAGTGCTAATGTTAGTGTCCTTTTTTGGAGAAGCGGAGGGTTATATCCAGACCGCTCGAACTCCGTTTTAAAATGGTCTTGATGGAAGGCTCCGCTTTAGAGAGAAAAACAGAGTTCTAGTAGTCAAACTGCGTTCAATCTTGAACTTGAAAATGTGTGTGTTTTCATTATCAAACAGATCATGATCTTCCCAGTGCTAGTTCATTATATTGCACAATTCTTTGAGGATTCTGCCGTGTGCAGAGCACTGCTGGATGGGTGAGCAGCCAGTTTTTAAGAGATTTTCGGTAGTATATTCAATACTTTTTGTCGTGTGGCTAAAAAGTTTGCATAACTATACATTTTCCTCTGCAATCGCCTTACTGATTGACTTTTGACCCGAAAGCTCATTTAGTTGAAGTCGACCTGAGTTTGTTGAAGCCACTAAACAAAAAAAGAAGTGATTACTGATGGGCATTTGCTGTCTGAGACGAAAGTAGATACTAATTATCTACTGGAAATGTAGTCGTTTCAAGATAACAGTTACTTAACAAGTGTTTGTCTTTCATGGTTATAACTATAAAAGAATGTGTATCACAATAAGCTCATGATTAATTGTAGATCGCGTCGTTTCGACTGCTTTACTGCAGGTATTCGACTTTTGAAGTCTAGCAGTATTGCAGTCGAAATGTCGCCGCTAAAATTGATAGAGGCTCCGTCTATATGGTGAGTCAACCGATTGATCGTTTATTTATCATTTTAGTTACACTTAACATGATTGCTTTTTCAGATTGTACATTATATTGTACCGGGTGGAGGAAATGCACATGCAGGGAGACACCGGGTGAGAACACTTCGTCAATATCCTCATAGTTATTGCGTTGATCAATTAGAAGCTTTAGCATTCTCCCTCCGGGCAACCTCCCCGGGCATTTGAACTTTTGAAGATTGATTCGTTCAAATCACCCCCTCCCTCCCTCCCTCCCTCCCTCCCTCCCCGGGCTAAATGGAGTTCAAATGCCCCACCCAAGTGCCAGATTTGATTTTCAATATTTTGATAAAAGGCAATATGAGCGACCGTGACTCACCTGTAAACCTTTTCTTCTGAGCCATCTGTTCGCGAAACTGAACTTTTTACCTTTAAACACCTCCATACTAAAAGATAAAACACGTTAATTCCGCTGGAAAGACTCGAAAGATCTGGTTCAAATTCTCCACTCCACCGAGGTAAGGTTAAAATTTCCACTCCCCGGGCACGGACGACGGTTAATTGCCCGTGGGTTTCCCGGGGGCGGTGTTGAATCTTCGAGTTAATTGGTGCATAAGTCCTAGCCTCAGCCCAAGTGCTCTCGCGGGTATATTAGCTAGGAGGGCCCTTCCCCTTACCCACTCCCCGTTGGAGCTAGCTCCCAGGCTAGTTCATGCCATGGCCTAAGAACCCAGCGTTGAAAATTTCCCAATTATGAATGTCCTAAATTTCTTTCTATTGCAGAGACGATTTACACTCGCTGGTGCAGACCTATCTGGATTTTTCCCTTCTTGGCCTCAGAGAAGTGATTAACACGAAGGTAACTTCTGCCAACTAGTATTCTTACACAAGAAATTAAGTTTTGTCGTTTGTCGCACAATTTTGTCACTTCTGATGTGGATCATAACATGTCGACTGCATTGTGCTTTTCTTGGAGCAAACTGCAGTCGAAACGTTGCGATCCACATCGAAAGTGATTTAATCAAGAGATAAACGATATTCCCTCATTTATACGTAATCAGCGAGTTAAAAATAATGTAAATTGCCGGAAATGGCCTTTTAATTCCTTGTTCAATTTGTTGTATTAAAAAGCATCTATGAGAGAGTGAATTTAAGGTTTACCCATCTTACTACTTCGTCACCAGGAACTGGAGTTACAAGTGGTGCGAGAGGTCCTAGAAGTGTTCATTAGAGTGTGCATTTTTCTTGATCAACCCACATTTCTCAGCTTTGTGTTCAAAGCCATCAGTAACAGGCTGGACTATGTAAGTTTTCCACTTTGTGGCTTGTATGTAAACTCAAAAGATAATGTTACTGTGACAAGGGGCCAATGAAGAACCCAAAAAACAAAATCTCGATGTGCCACCAGTAAATATTAGCGTTCAAATATGGAGAGATTTTAGTTTTTACTTTGTTGCATTAGAAGTTCGCAGGTGTCTATCCACCATTATCCGATTTAGGGTGTAGTCAGGTTAAACCCATGCAAAGGTGCGGTTCTATCGACTCCATTGGAGAATTTCTCTTCTTGTTTGATAAATCTTTTGTTCCACAACACATCTTTGTCTGTGTCAAGTTGATTTGTGTTGTAGGCCAATTATTGTTTGTTTACTTTTCATGTTAACCTTACGTCTCAGTTGACGGACTTCAGTTGTAACTTCTTACGATATCAATACACCGCAAAGCAAACAAGTATCTTGTCAAATATCTTGATGTAGTAGGGAGTTCTTGTTTTTTTGAAAGTAATGGATAGCAAGTTGATCGAACTTCAAGCCGTAACATGATGAAACTGCCCAACTTCACTTCTCTTTTTCTTACCTCGTACTCAGGAACCTGACTTGGTGCGTCTTATGAGTGAGGAGGAAGGAAGCAGCAGGTTGAACGAGACACCTGATTTACTGATCTTGTCTAACGATATACCGACCAGTCCCGCTGAGGAGCTCGTCATAACAGGCGAAGACGAGGAGGATCCTGGTTAGTGCCTCATGAAATTTACATGTAACTGACCTGATAAGAGGGTTGTTTGACTCCTGACACGAAAGGGGCTGTCCAAATTTTTGCAGAGTTTTTAATGAAGGGTGAACTCAGAGCAGAGTTGAAAAACGAATGATATTCACCGAGCCGTAAGGCGGCTAGGTGAGTATCCACCTCTTTCACCGACACTTAGGCGAATAACTGTTTTGGCGTGTACAGTGTGTACCACATAAGCTGAATACCTCGCAGATCAAACAGTCTCATGCAGCCATTGTTTTTTCTTTGGTTGCCGGGAGATAAAATTAGTAATATGCTAATCATCTCCCGATCAGTCAATCAATGCGCAGGGAAAATCGATGGGGACTTTAGTTTTATACATTTGGTTCAATATTGCTGAACAAGTTTTTCTGAGTGGTTACGGTCTCTTTAGGAGCTGTAGCAACTTTTCTGTCCAAAAAAACAAGAGGCAGCAAGTTCTTTTTAGTCAATGACCAATAGAGGTGCATGCTCTTAACTGGGAAACGAGATTAACGCATGTGCACAATTGCATGGTTCAAAAAGTGAACGTGGTATTTGTATTCGCATGCAACGGTTAAGGTTCCTGGCAATTGCTGCACTCAAATACTAGTCTACAGGTTTAAGGGTAACGAGTTTGGTGTCTTTGACGTCTTCTTTTGATCGATTGTTTAGACGCTGGTCGTGTAATGCAAGAGTCAGTAGCTCTAGACACTTCACATGAGAGTAGTCGAGGTACAACACGATTGCCCAGCCCAGAAGTAAGCGCGGACAATGAAGAATTCTCTGACTGGGACAGCTGGGAAGATGAAAACGAGGTACAGGTGTAGTTTAAGGACCTTTTTCAGGTTTGAAGATGGGGAGAGGGTGGGGGTGGGGGGGGGGGGGTGGGGGTGGGGTGGGTTGATACTATCAGTCATTCGCTTTGCAGGCCTTATTCTCCTAGTCCCTGTCGTTTCCTCGTCGAGGATTCTCAACTAGCAAGAGCTGAAATTCTTTTTGCAGGAACACAAGAGAATCCCACCATGGTCAAGAATACTTTTTTACGCAGGTTTCCTCAGTTGTTTTGAGTAGATAATGTTAAAGAAAACATTTTTCTACATGTAGTGTATAGTTAGAGTGACTATCGTGTATAGTCACAGTCATTTAGTGTATAGTTAGCTTAACATTCCTTTCCTCATCTGGCTAAGGGCAAAAAACAGATTAAAAAAAGGTTTCATGGCTACTTATTGTTTATCGTTAAGTCTCGTGTTTGATATTGTTTGTTTTTGCTTCCTATTGTAGAATGAAACTGTCCTTATGAGGTTGTTTTCGGAATTTCTGCGTCAAATAAGTCAAGTCTATCAATCAAGAAGCGCGGAAGGTTTGTAATTCTCCCTTTTAGAAGAGTTCTCAGCAATTATGGGGAGGAACTCATCTCCCATAGATTCCTTTTTTCCTTGCTCGGTATAAATGAGTAACATCCCTCTCTGACTTTCATTTTTCCTCTTAAACCAACCATTTACATTTCTTTTAAGAAACAAATGGAAAGAAGGAGTTATATAACGCCTTTTGGTATTTATTTGTAGGCTATTCTGTATTTCGAGAAGAACTTGTCAAGTGTGGGGATACAGATCAGAAGGCCATAACAAAGTAAGCACAATTGTTGGGTTACCGGTAGAGTTGAGTTAACGCAGTTGTTATTTAAACAAGTTTGTACAAGATTTACAAAACACTTTCATTCTGAAGCAGAAACATTTTTCTCCGTTCAGTCTAATTTAAATATTAAAAACTTAGATAGATCGCTCCACTTGTTAACGCTGCAGAGTATTGGTTGGTTGGTTCGCCTGCGAACAGGCCTTTATTATAAACGCTGCAAGACGTGCGTTTCTCCGCCCGCGGGCAGACGGGCGACTAATCGGGGAGAGGTTGGCCCCTAGACCCCTCGCTAGTTCGCGTTGCGCAAGGCCTTATAGTTTCCGGGGGGGGGGGAGATACGCTGTTGCCGGAACGCCATTAATGTAGGCCTGCTCACAGGCTATTGATGGATATACATTCTAAACCTAACGGACGGAAATTCTACCTATTTCAGAAACTTGCGCTGTTAAATTTAGGTGATTACTTTATTTCCCTGTTATGATGTTTCTGTGTTTTCGTCTCTCCTAAGCATAATGTCGTTCCAAGGTTGACAGACTTGAGTCCCGCTTACTTGGTAAACATCACTGGAGTGTGAGTTGAAAATGTCTGATTGATGGCACCGATTCTTAAACGAATGACTGACTGCCGCAAGAAATGAAACGAAGCTGATGGAAGGATGGAATGTTCCCGTGTTGTTTCACTTGCTTCATCAGAGAGACAAAACGGAAAGTGTGTGCAATTTGTCTACGTGACTTGTTGTCTGTCGTTTGATAATGTTTCCTGACATAAATGAATCACGGTTTTGGCTTTTTGTAGTTTGTTTGCAAGTGTACAGCTGTTTACAACAATATGTTGTAGTTGCTACTCTGTACGCAGCCAGGTAGCGGTTGATAACACACGAACCGAAGTTAATACTCATTGAAGGATCGTTTTTGTTAGTCTCATTTTTTATAATAATAGACGTTTTGCCAAATCTAGGCATGCCTGGATTTTTATTAAAGAGAGGAAGGAGCTTAAGAGCACCAGAGCGTAAGATAAACTTACAATCTTATCGTCATTTTTCAAAGTCGTGTATCCGCCTTCCATTTAATTTTAGCACGAGGTAATCGGACAGCATTAAAATGTTTGTGGCTACTCCTCAATAGGAAAGAGCAGAAAGGATAGTTCATGACTCGCGTTGAAAACGCGAAAGTTACTTGTTTGAAGAGCGGCACCTTTTGAAAGTTGAGCTCTGGGTTACAAGACTGAGAGGCATGGTGTTGGAAGTATTAGGGGTGACTGCTGCATTGACCCTAAAGAACACGTAGCGCGTTAACAATATTGGTGTGGATTTTGTGGTTCAAAGGGAAGGTTATATGGTCATTCAACATCCTTATTATCATGTTGGTATCTTTCTAGTAAAACATCTGAAATAAATGTTTATGTCAGTTAATGGCCCGTGCGTAAGAAGTCATCGTGTATAAAATAATTTGTACTTCGTACTCGTCGGCGAGACTGTCACGTCACTTTTGCTAACATGCGTTCTTGTAGCTTTATTTTTGGTTTGTTCCACTGATATGTACCATTTTCCCGTTAGCGACGATCCTACAAGGGCCTATATGTTTTTGCATTTCACTCGATTTTGAATGCAACAATAAACTCCATTACAGAGCTGTGTCCTCTTGTTGTGGATTGATAATTACTGAGTTCACGTAACTACTCGGCGCCGGACTGGTTCTAAGAACTGATGGATTGACCCGAATGACACTATTACCACCGATAAGCAATCCCTTCAGCGAAGCACGGTAGGTACCATTTGTGAAGGCATACACGAATGGGTTATAAATCACAGACGCCTTTGCCATCAGTTCAGGAATTTCCGCTTCCCCGGATGAAAGCACGTGATGACCATTTACAAGAGCAGCTATGCTTACTACACAGTATGGTAACCAGCTTACCACGAACGCGGCTATAGAGAAAGAAGTCATGCGCACTAGCCTCATTTTAGATTTCATTCGACATGCGCGGATCATTGGGTTTCCTTCCAGAGGTACTCGTCGAATCACCCTGCGGAAAAGAATAGATATGGGAAACGGAATGTGGAAGCAGACAAAGAAAGTCCGGAAAGAGGGAGCTGAAAAAGTGTGGTCAGTCTTAAACATCTCTGCATGGGGGCTGCAGTCCCTTTTGACATATTTGAATCCGCCCGTTTACTTCCCCAGTTTTGAAAAAAAAGATATTAATACTGACATGTAGCAGAGTATGGAAGTTGAGTACCGTTCATGACAGTTTCTAGCCTCGTTTGTTCATGTGTTCCAAACAATATGCGTTGGTTAAAGTACCTAGGTAATTTGTACGAAACAAGGATATTTGCTACGATTTGAGATTATTTTGAGTGTTAAGCGATTACGCATGGTCTCTATTGTGTGATGACTACATGGTTCCCTTTGTATCCCCAGTGGCTGGGTAGTATTGTTTACGCGGGGTAATCACCGGTAAAGCCGTGACACATTTTGGCGCCTTCCGATCTACGGAGATCATTTAGACTGGAAATAAAAACGAAATTGGCTTTCGACTGAAAAAGTTTGGAGAAGCAGGGTCACGTTGAAATGTTGTCTTTTCTATTTGGCCAAATAATTGCTAAATAATATTACATTAAGTTTCATGCCTGTTAGCCACTTTGTGCTCTGAAATCAGTATGTACAGTCTCCATGCTGTTCTCTGTGCATTTCTTAATGTGCTGAGAAGGAGAATTTGTTTAACAATCGAGAGCTCCGTTAGTTGGTCATCATTTCCGTCATTCTCACGACCTTACTGTGTGATTCGGGGAATTAGATGCTGGTCACTCCTAGGGGTGAAAGGGTTAATGACACTCACCAGCTAAGAAAGCTAACTGATATTGTGTGGAAAAACACAACTGATATTTCGTCATACGGTTAGGGTAATTTGAATCTAACGACTCAAAATGCATTAATTGATGCACACTTACCTATAGATCATGTAATGGAACGTCCCAATTACAGTAAGCGGAAGGAAAAAGCCAAACACCAATAGGAAGGCAATATACGCTACGCTCTCCGGCTCTGGACTTGTCCACTCAGGGGCGCAGCTTATGCCAGCTTCACCGGGTACAGCCCTGGTCCAACCAATCACAGGAGGAAGATTAAGCAATATCCCGTATAACCACGTACTTAACACTAGCAGAGACATATTTTTAGCATGTATTTTAGGTTTTGGCAAAGTCTGTTTGATACCGTGATACATAACGCCGCTCATTACAACTAATGTAGCGATAGTGGTTATACCAATGGCGCCATTTGCGAAGGCGGACCACTTGCATCGCAGCGATCCCTCCTTAAGCTGTTTACCAACGAGATTCGACACAATTACCACGGGGTACACTACGATAACCATGAGAATGTCTCCGACTGCTAAGTTGATCATAAGAGGAGTCAAGACTTTCTTGCGGTGCTCGCGGTAGTGAAGAATTATCAGAGTTAAGACATTTCCAAGGAATCCAACAGTTACAACAGCAAACATGACCACGGCATATGCGAAGTACATAGCGCGCCAGTTGAAAGATTTTCCTCCTGGTAAGCTGTGAGTATCTTTTGTAGTAATATTATCCATGGATGCAAACTGCTGGGCTCATCAGTTACAGGAAACCTGGGCAAAGAGACAAACAAATCAAAATTTTGCGTCAAAATAAAGAAAACCTCCAATTAAATAAAACCTGAATGAAGCAAAGTTACGCTTGCATATCGCGAAAAATCTAACCCTGCAGGCACATTTTTCGATTGCAAACCGTGGTAATCGTCTCTGATTCTTAAATAAACTCAATCTTGTTTTGTACTGCATGGTTTAATGCAACCTTTTCGATATTTCTCCCCATTCGCTAACACTTGATTAAAGCTTTTCCGTCAAGTAATGACAATTTTCAATGTCCCTGGTAGACAAAGGCTGAGTAGGTATAAATAGACCGGAACAACCCAAGGATGTTTTTAAAGCGTCCCACGCCAATATCATATAGGAAGTGATTGCCTTCATGCACACACCATAGCGTGGGATGTAAGGTGCTATTACTGACATGATAAGAGGTTAAGAGCTTAGCGTATTAGTAAGGGCAAAAGCAAGGTGCAGATGTATTTAACAGTGTTGCCATTAATGTGAAAAGGGATTTGTGATTAACTTAGCTATTTGAATACTATGTAAACGGCATTGGATGGAATCTCGCTGTTTTGAAGCCAGAAATTTTATTATATTTGGCTGATTCTGGTAGTTTATCACTGTTTTGTAAATTTTATGTCGGGCTGACCTTGAGAAGTTGATGAACTTGACCAAGTACTGGCTTGCCTTTGCCGGGTTTGATACAGATGGGCATATTAAGAGATTGCCTGAGTGGTGTAATTGAGATTTTGAGACAAAATCCTGAATGAACCAAAATATCGAGCCTGGCGGCATGATTTGTTTTGTCTCGTTCTACAGAGCATTTTAACAGGAGATTAATAGTACATACAGCCGTTATATAAAGAACATTCAACTCTATAAATCATTTCAGTTCTTCCTGTATTTCACCCTGAAGTGGGACTATGCTAAAGTGGTACTTCCAGTTGTACCTCAGAGTAGCGGCTAAGCAAGCAACGTCAGGATGAACAAGAGATTCCGAACGTGAACAACACCTTCTAAAAATCTTATTTTTGTACAATTTATTGGCCTGGCAATAAAGCGCAAAACCTCCCGTAAGCCTGCCTTTTTGCCGAATTTTCAGTGTAATTACCAAAACCTGGTGAAACGGAAAATAAACGAACAATAATCTCTTGAATCACGGTTTGCTGCTGATTACAGTTATACGCAACAGGCGTGTATATTGTATGTTGATATTTGATCAAACATTTTAGTGAATCCTAGCTAACGTTTCGAGCGTTAAACCCTTCGTTGTTCGCTCTAACCAAAGGCTAAAGCTTGAAACTCTTAATGGTGGCCAATTTACGTTATCAACAGGTTAATAATGCTAAATTACCCTGTTAAGGGAATCGGTTCGAGATGAGGGGAATTCGAGTTAGAAGATAAGAATTCACTAAAAACCTTTCTTCTTAGGAGATAATTTTAACCTGGCAATGCAACAAGCAATTCATGGAATACGACGATCGCAAAGACAGAGATTACAGGTGAAAATCGCGAGCGAATTTCGCCACTGTTTGATGTACGGGCTTACTTGGCAAGTTTTGAACCGATTGCGGCGCTTTTTTCCCTTCGATATCGTTTTCAAGCTTCATTTTGAAGAGTTATGTAATAGTATTTCATAATGAAATTTGATTGGCCGACTTCACCGGCTATTCGCAGCAGTGAGCTATGGAAATCGCACGAATGGGTGCGCAAGGTAAATGCTAGCGAATTTAATCATCGACATTAATCAAGTCGCAGCGATCGTACAGAATTGAAATCGCTTCACCGCCGGGCACCAGTTGACGATTCTTGCCGACACGATCGAGTTAACGCGAAATTCGAGTTTGCTAAGTTTGGGTCAGTGAGGACCTACTTAAGTTTTAGAGGCAAACACCAGATTATTGTGTTCATTGTTTTCGAACTTTTTGAAAAACATAATAGCTTTTGGGTATATTAAAATTTCTTTTGAATCAGTCATTCCTTTTATTCATTTAAATCGCGGCAGGTAGGTCGAGTATTACTGACTTTCTTGGCATTGAAAATAATTGCTAAATATAGATAAAAGAGATTTTAAGCAGGGCACCTGCCATTCCAAACGTTACAGACAGTTTCCGACGTTTTCAAGTGCCGGGTTTTCAAGGTTGTGGCAGTAAATATATTTCTCCATATAAGTGGTTCGCATAACCTGTGGAAATCAACCTGGATAGCCTCGAACCAGTCAGGAGAACGTTGTGCGAGTGTCTCGTGGTGAGCAAAAGAGAAAAACAGATTTAACGGTGTTTCGTTAATTGTCAAAGCCTACGCTAAGCATATTAAAATTCTGAAAAGAAGAAAAACACACGCAAAAAAGGAGAGGCTTCTTTAGTGGTCTTTCATTTTTTGCTTTTTTAAATGACTTATTATATAAAGCAGAAGAAATCTGAAATGCATACTTGGATATTTGACAGTGCACGGAACTGATTTCTTCAGTTTTCAACAGACTCTAAAAATTGTTCTGGTTTTTTTAATTACTAAATCACTTGTCTAGTAGCTTTTTTAAGGTTCTACGCGATGCTTTGAAAGCAGCAGTGGTTTCAATCTGTTTTGAAGGAGATTGGTTCTACGTTAATAATATGTTAAGGGAATTCTCTCAGATCTGTTTGAAAAGAATGGTGAATTTATTCCAAGAGAGATTTTTTGTTAACTCGAAATAGATAAACCTTTCACTTATAAAACCTACCTTTTGACTCGACTTAGTGTTAATGAAGATGACAGGTAGTGAGAAGCCGGCGCGGTATTCTTGTTCAGTTTTCTCATACGTGGTGAACCCGAACTCTTTACAATACAGAAGTTCTCCTATAATTAAGAGATGTTTGCCACGTACTGCTTAAGTGTCCACTCACTTGTTTTGAAAAAGGCGTAGAAAGTGTTATTTCTTGCTAAAATATTTAAGTGCAGGTTTAAATGACAGGTAGGAACCTGTCCAGAATTTTTCTGCACATTCTAATACGGTCAGCAGGGTACACATGTGGTTTTGTTAATTCAAAATATACCATTTTATTCAAAAACCGGATTCAAAAAGCCTAATAAATAATGCAAGCTGAAAAGGTTTTTAGTCAATTAAGGGAAATATTGCGACAAAGACCTTTATCAAGACTAGATAAAAAAGAATCGGTCTTTGTTTTAGAAGAGACTTTTGGATCGACATTAATGCTTAAGATATGACGAGGAAGATGTGTTCTTTATCCTTTAGTGGTTTCGACGACTTTTTTAATATATGCTTTTCATTCTAATAGTCAGTCATAACTTAGCAGTAAATGACGTTCCTCTGGTTCTTAAATGCCACATGTTCCAATAAACACACTTGGTATATTTCATTTATCAAGAACCTTTTCCGAGATGTCAAAACAACAGAGGCATCGGAGCTTTTGTTATAGGGGGCTTTTTGATTTAGAGTATTACACAAGAGCGGACATTGAAAATAATTTAAACTCCCATTAGCCGTTCCAGGTCAATATTAAAAAGTGGTTTGGATTTTAATACCTTAGACTGAGAGAAAGTTGCAATTTTTGTTTTTTATAAAGCTAAACGACTCTACAGAAGCACGTCACACATCAATGAAATCTTTCCAGCCAGCTAGTATTGAAGAATTCAGATAGTGATATCAAATATCTTAATTTTGTTTTTGTTTGCGGTACAGTTTTAGTCGCTGATAAAAAATAATATAAGATTTAGAATAACAACTTTGAGCACTTACTGTACCAATTATGGTAAATTGATTCCAATTCCGGATTTAAAAATTGATTGTATGGTTTTTTTTTTTATTTTTCCGGCGGTTGAATCGTGTTGCACATTTGACACTTCTCATTTCGACGGGCGAACGTGTGGTAAAAATTGCGGACTTCTCTGAAATCGTTCCATTAGAACAAAGAAAAATTATTTCTAATAGTCCCTGATAAATGGTAAATTTGAAGTCTGTGATAGGCTGCAATAATATCGTTTCAAAAACAGTTGAAGATGTATGGATATTTCCAGACTTAGCAGTCTCAGCGCCGAAGGCAGGATTCTTAGAGTAACTCTATTTACCAGAAAGAAAGAACACCTTTCTCGTTTGCTCTGAAACAACGGTTTCAAGAGAGTAAAACGTCACTCTTTTCAATGAACGTTCTATCCATGAAGTCTTAAACGCAAGTATTAATAATTACCTTCTTCCGGCGCTTCCTCCGATCATCTACATTTCAATAGAGATCCGTAGGTTGATGCAATTATGACAGATCAAAGGAAAGTTAACCATTTTGCCGAACTTTGACTTGCTTAGCGCACATTACTCGTTGAAAAGACTTCAGAAGTTATAACAGAGAGTATTAAAATCGACTTTTGGTTCACTCTAGCGTTTCGGGTGAGTTTTTATTGCCGGACTAAGTTTGAAAACTTTCACTTGTGTCTTCAAGGCGCAATCCCACAATTTTAGGATACATCGTAGTCCAAAGTAAAGGATTTACACAGACAGACAAATCCTAATACAGGATGTTTATCGTTTATCGTTTGTAGTTTGAATTTGTTCTTAATGACTTACAATGAGTGGGAAAAGTCTTTCTCTCGTTCTACTCCTTTTTATTATTTGTCTCCTCTCCCCATTTCAATGTTGCCTGTTGTTACCAAAACGCTAACGAATTTGTTGCAACTTTTGCCACTCATGTAGCTTCCAGGAAGCTCACATTCATGAGGAGGTCATATGTTCGATTTCTGTTAAGAGTATTCAGTTTTTTTTTCTTGTGTATGACCCGTGGTAATATAAAAATAAAATCTTCCGCCGATCACGTGAAAAGGAAGTAGCGGAGCGTTTCGTGGAGGATAATGGAGTGTAACCCTGCTTTAAAGTTGGGTCAAAATTTCAGCCTAAATTAGGAAAGAAAATAGAGATCAGAAAGGAGTTTTGTGTCCTTTGTGAAAAAGTTAGCAAATACCACTGCTTGAATTTTTGT